AGATACTTCTTTTAAGTGTGCCGTAGGGGTCCATTTAAGGACCCTAAAGCCCCACAGGGGGTACTTCCTAGTAGTAGGCTAATGGGTATGTGCCGCTGGATGAGGTCGCATTTTCACGACTGAATTGACTATCATGGGGTTGCATTTTCATAAGAGTTAATAGAATGGGGTCGTTCATCTTCAGGATTTTGTGCGTCAGAAACTTCAGGTATGTAGGGATTTACAAATAGAAAGATTTACTCCACATTAAGTTTAACAAATGTATCAGTTGCATCGTTCAATTCAGGATGACCAAGTTAAAAGGCTTTATAAGGCAGATGTAGAAACAGAAAGTGACTAAGCTGGGAATGTATTACTTTTTCCCAAAGATGGGATCTGCTCCGCTACCTCGACCCATATTTAGTCTTGGCCGAGATAGGGCAGCATAACCAGCAAGTTTAAAATATCTTTATATAAGGTAAAAAAGGAAGGAGCTTACATAGGCTTAGATTGATGTAAAAAAAAACACAACAACAACAACAACAACAACAACTTGCAGGTAACCAAGACAATGACTATCATACTTTGCTAAAAGAAATCCGAGGGTAACAGATTGACCAATCATACAAGATATGTGGCAGATACTATCTCTAAAATGACTAACAACGTCTCAAGCGGAAATAATCACGAAACAAAAACATTGTTGTGAAAGGTTTGAACCCAGGAGTCATTTCAAAATTAGGTTGAGTTTGATCGTCTGGGTGAACGTACTCCTGAATAGGACTGTTGTTGTTGACAGTGACTGACGTTTCGACAACTTGTGCGGTAGTCATCTTCAGAATCAAAGTGAGTTGTATCACGTCAGTTGATGGAATATTATACTCTGGTTATTGATCTGATTGGTCAGTTACGTCGCGATGTTATTGGTCGTCTGTCAGTTAAACCGTGATGTTATTGGCTATGAAGACTCGTAATGTAATTGGTGCGTTTCGATCCGTCTATTGTCACAGTCAATCAGTCGGCTATTGTTAGTCATCAGTTGTCCAGTTGTTCTCCCTAGTTTTGCTTGATTTCGTCGATAAGTCGTTTGTACGGTGCCAGTAACTGTTGACTACGACTCAGTGGCGTTTGTTTTAAGTTAGTAAACCAGCTTTCTAAAGTGGTCGTTGATAGTAGTGTGTAGAATACGTAATACATGTCGCAGAGTCCCAGTAGATTTGATGTTTCGTCTGTAAATAAGACCTACGTCAACTCTGGCCTAGAACGGCAAAGCGATAAATAATTTTACTATCTCTATCCTCAGGAACCCTGCTGAGGCAGTCCTCTGACTCTTCAGCTCCGACCTAATTTCCCCACTTTTAGGTAACTGAGGGACGAAAAATAATGGAGAAAAAGTTTTAAAACACACGAAGTCTATAATTCAGCGACGTTTTCACTGTTGTCGGATCGTAAGGTCCTTATTAGGGAGTTTACGCAACGACGAAGACGACGGCAACGAGCACGGCAAAAAAGCAGGAGGTTAAGACAAGCAAAACAACAACTTTGTACGTGCATCACGCTTTTTTGTACATTTCTCTGACGTCGTTGCACGACTACAACATGAAACTACCTAATTTCACGTTTTGTCGACGACGGGAACAAAAGACAACAACTTTCTTTTTCTTTTCCTGAACTTTGATGAAGTCCTTTAGAATTCAACTCTAAAAAACTTTGCTAACATTTGACGAATTAAACGAGATGGAATAAGCGCGATAAAGTTTGAGGCAGCGCAAAGTCACTTTGTAAGTGACGTTTTCGTAGCCCTCGTCGTTGCGTAAACTCCCCGATTAGGGACTTTAAGATCCAACGACGCTACGGCAACGGGAACGTCGCTTAAAAAGTGAATTTGCGTTCTTTTAGTCTTTGCAGCGATTATTCCTGCCCACTTACTTTGTCAAATGTAGGCGAAACCTCCTAAGGCTGAATGTCAAGTGACCATATTCAGGCTCAGAAAGAGAAATAAAATTTCTTCGTTGCTTATTTATGTCCTCCTTAAAACGCGAAATTAGGCATTTTCTCGTCGACGTCGTGCAAAAACAGAAGAGAAATATACAAACAAAGCGTCATGCACGTGCAAAGTTGTTGTTTTGCTTATTAAACCTTTTGTTTTTTTTACGTTCTCGTTGCCTTCCGCGACGTTGGATCTTAAAGTCCCTATTATCAGTCCGTGCGTACGTCTCCCGAGGGTCTGTTTAACGCCCAAACAAGTCTCGAAGGTGTACAGAGTGGCTAAACCATTAATATTTAGCTTGTCCACAAGTTGGGCTCTAGCTAGGGAGTGATTGCTTTTGTCGTGTATAATAACGTAGGTTCTGATCCTTACATGAGGCGCGCTCGGATCATAGACGTCAGCGAAACATACAGTAAAATTCCGAAAATAAGCCCCGGAGCTTATATTTTTCAAAGGCCCTTTTTGAGAGGCTTATATTTGGAGGGGCTTATATTCGGAGGGTGTTAAGGGAGGGAAATTTGCGTCTCAAAATCGATTAGCCTAGCCTTATTCTTGGAAGGAAATTTACTGTTTTTCTTTGTTTTACTTTGCATTTGAGGGCAGTTTCCCAGTTCAAGCGGGGGGCGGGGCTTATATTTGGAGGGGCGATTTAACGGAGGGTTTTTTGCGTTACGAGTTTGGGGGGCCTATATTTGGAGGGGCTTATTTTCGGGATTTTACGGTACTTTTGCACAGGATCTGCCGATTCCAACAGTGTTTTGACCGCATACCTCAGTACACCGGTAAGTCACGTTCGAAGCCTCTGTTCTTTTGGAGGTCTCAGCTTCCTGCTCCTCGCCGTGCTTCTTTCCCGTCTTGCTGGATTCACAGCATCTCGCTCTGCCCCATCAATACGAAGCACGGTCACGCGTCGCTGGGACATATTCCGCAGTTTGGGGTGAAGGTGCAGTCTTTCGCAATGTGACGAGACGATGAAACGCAGCGAAAGCAGATGTGGTACCGTGCTAATTAAGCCCAGGCGCTCAAAATACGGTCTACTTCGCAGTTCGCGACAGACCCGCAAGGGGCTAGGTCTTTCATGAAGAAACCACCACTTGTCAGGACTGTTCTCGACGGACTTTACCTTATCAGGGGTCTCAGGAGTTGTAACGTCAGTTTTGACAGTCGATATGCCATAGAAACTCTCAGATTCATCACAACTGTCTAGCGTTAGGTAGTGGTCGTTTCTTTGTTGAGCGATTCCTTGAATAAACCGCGAAAATCCAGCGAGGGGGGGAGGGGGGTAGTCTACCACTTGCTGTGTTTGAATGCTCGAAAAGTCTAAAAAATGCAAAATACATAAAGACCCCAAAATAAGCGCCGCTTTCCCCCCAAGTTGTTTTATTTTATTCACATGACTCGGATGCTGAAATGCTAATACGGTTGTTATTGTGTTATGGCCGCTCAGTTACTGATAGTTTAATTTGGATCTGGAAGGGACATAGACCTTTCAAAAAACTTTTATTGCGTCCTCCTTTTCGAACGAAACAAAGAAAAAAGTTTATGTCGTAGCACTGCTTTCGTAAAACAGCACTGAACCACTCTTTCGAGTACTACGGTATGGAGCAATGAGGTAATGTAAAAAGACAGGAAGCCAAAAGATGGCATGCATGCCCAGTGCCCGTATTATAACACAAGGTGATGAAGAACCGTCTTTCTTTCTTTATTAACTAACTACATGACCTTTAGATCGCATTTATCTTTACTTAATAAGGAATATCACTGTTTTTAAAACCCAGGCCATTAATACTTTATATACAAACTCCTGTATTTTAAAAAGTTACACTGAAGTATATCCGGGTCCATCATTAGCGAAAAAATAAATTATGAAAGCGTTTCTGGTCCTTTTATAACAAAAATGTGTGATCATTACCATACACCAAGAATTTTGTTTTGCACATGACATACGATGGGGCATTTAGATGTCTTTCATTATGCCAAAAAGACTGACTTGGATATTCACGTTAACGAACAGACCAGTGACGCTTACAAATATCACTTCCCGGGAGCGAGGGAGAACAGGCAAATTAATGTACAGTCGATTGAAAATACTACACCCTCAAGTTCGCAAGACAGCTAATTATCCCGGTAAGGGACTGCCTAAAGTCCCTTTCTCCCGTTCTCCCTCCCTCACCACCTCCCACCGAACTTGCACACTAAAGAGAGCCACTCACCAAACGGAGGCTCGGTATTTCGGTCGGACCGAAAAACCGAGCCTCCGTTCGCTGTATTCAAAGGCTAGCTACTACTTGTTCCTTCCTTTAAGTGAGTTTCATTAACTTAATACTGAATAGAGCATAAACGAGAAACGAAATGTTACATCGACAACCTAGAATATGCTCTGCTAAATATTCATTCTCATAAGTAACCATTTGTTTGTTTGTTTTTGGTTTTGGATGTCAAAATAACTGAAAAATACATTACTGTGGTAAACCAATTTACTGCCGGAAAATATGATGGTTTAACACTTACAGAAATTTCACGCGACTGAATATCCACTATTCTTCTCCCCCTAATACCCATCTGATTATCTGCTTAAACGTTATTTACCACAGAGTTAGAAGAACGTATCAAAAAATTTTCAATTAAGCGATACTTCGAATTGTTCCAATGCCTGTCTTTGTTAAAATAACGGTAAAAATCGCTCTATTTTCATGACCTGCATGCCTGGCTCTGTGCTGATATTTTTCATAAAACTCCATAATAACTGGCAAAGTATAACAAACAGCGAGCTTTGAAATGATCTCAATTGAAAATTAAATATAACTAAAAAGCCTCGTTCACTACATACAAGCAAAAAGTTATTTAACGAAATATTTAAATGCCAAACATCAGATACTCTAGGCTGTTTCGATGTTCAACAATCGTCTATTAACTTCGTCTGTTAAAGGCAAACTCAGCTGTCTAGAAATGACACCAGCGCGATTTCACCACGAAACCTCCCAGGTCAATGTGACGGTCAAGCATAAATAGCTGCCCCGTCAAACTTGCTTTAGATCTGTGATTGTGACTCGTATTCCGCACCGTCGTCGCTCCAGTAGGTCCAGTTGGCGGAACGGCCTCCTCGACGCCATGTTGATGCAGCTTCATCCCGAGAGCGCCAAGTGTGCCGCGAGGAAGCCGTAGAAGATCGGTACCCACTGGAGGCCTGCAAATAAGAGAATCGTGAGAGCGAGAAAGAGAATCAGCGAAGGCTAAAAAACAACAAACAAAGTGAAAAAGGCTAAAAAACAAAAAAACAAAAAAAAGAACATTCTCTCTAATTTAAAGCAAAGAGTCTGAATAACGAGCGCAAATAACAGAAGAAAAAGTGTTTTAAATGTGTGCACCAATAATCATGTATTCCAAACGAGTAGTATAGTAGACACCGAATTATCCTTTTTTTGTGGAATTAATGAATGTTTGTGTGGAATACACTAACGCCAAATTACGTCATACCTTTTTGTCTTTTACCATGAATAAAATGAGGAGGAATCTCATTAAGCTAAGGTCATTTGCATATAATAGTTGGTTTAACCGGTCTGACAGGTTTTCAAGTAACTTTAAGGTCGATAAATGTCTTGGATTTCGATTGGTTGATTAGAAAACAAGAAACGTTTTCATTGGTTAATTCATGATGTCTGACGAGTAAACTCAACCTTGTCTACGACTTAAAACCACTGAGTCGTAACGTTATTATACAAGTTCTATTCCTACTGCTGCCATTGTCCTAGCTCCAGTTTAATGATTCTTGGCGTGTAAATCGTGCATATTAATGAGGGCGAAGGCAAACTAAGTCTTTTTTTAATTTTATTTTCCCTCCATCACATCGACCCCACACCAGCCTTACATCGACCCTACACTCAGTTTCTTTCGACACAGCTGCATGAATAGCAAAGTTATACCACCACCACCACCACCACCACATTTCTATTGTTTTCCTCCACCACCACCACCACTACATTTTTATTGTTTTCCCTCCTCCTCCTCTTCCTCATTTTTTATTGTTTTCCCTCCCCCTCCTCATTTTTGTTTTCACAGACAGGTTATTTAGAAGGAAAGACAGGCCAAAAAGGCAAAGCACAGCCCAAAAAGGCCAAAATCAGGCTGAAATAGCCAAAATCAGGCCAAACTGAAAATCTAAATAACCAGTCTGTGAAAACAATAAGAATGAGGAGGAGGGAAAACAATAAAAATTAGGAGGAGGATTCAGAATAAGGATTTCGGCGCTTGCTCGCAGTCGACTCAACCAGAGGTTTAGGTTCGTCTGTAGCGCAGGCACTAGGTGTGGGCACAGCACATAGCAACAACGCAGATTTCAACTGGTGCTCACATGCTCCGACTGCTTGCTTTTTCCTTCCCTTTGACGCGCTGAATGAACGACCTTACAATCATGATCGACTTTCCAACGGCTTTCGTTCTAGACAATAACAGCACGACAACTGAGATATCTTAGAGGTAAACAGAAGTTCAATTTTAAACTAGGTTTAAATTTCATTTTCCTTTGTTCTTGGGTATGGTAGTGTACGATAATGACTTTAAAACAAAGGCAAATAAAATTTAAACCAAGGGTATAATTGAACCACATCATCCACATTACAGCTGGCGACCAAAGGACTTTGCCTACCCGTTATTCAAACATCTTCCGCGACATGAAAACAGCTGAATTCGCCTGCAGGTCCTCTTTCTTAAACTGCAATAAGCTACCTTTGTACCCAAAAGCGTATACATACATGGCAATCGAAAGAAAGAAAGACGAAGGTAAATATGCATTTACCATGTACTGTTTATTGGTTGTAGTAAACACATCAAAAGCCACAAGACTATACCGTTTGACGTACTGAAGAGTCAAATGTTGATAAACTCGTGGAGAACGATCCGTTCAGCTTAAAATGTCTGACTTAAGCAATGTTGATTTTAAACTACAGTTTTAAACTTACAACAACAAACAAGGGATAACGTTCTAAAACCTGCACCAGAACCTCCTGCCGGAAACTTCTCTCCAACTAGTTTCGAAAGGATAGTTCCGTTACCCTCTATTTTTAGAAAAAGCATGCCAGGCTAAACAATAGTTCATGTGCTTCGAATTCTGGTTCTAACGAGTTAATACCTACAAGATGATACTCTTGATTTACATTAAAATTCTGCGTAGAGAGCAGCTGGCAGGAAGTTCTCCGCAATTTAAAGCAACGTTTACAGGGTATTTACTGTCCTCATTACCCTTCAACTGTGCACTACAATGAGTAAACTTCGCTTGCTTTGACTATGATGGTTTGCAATTACAGATTTCAAATGATGGTAAATAGGAATCTTCTTTTAAGGTTCTCATACTTAATACATATCTTTCTTAGACTGTTGAAGAGAGATATCGTGCTGATAGAGACAAACGTTGCATAAGAACCTAATGAACGCCGGCCTACACAAATCACAATGACGTTCAATAGACTCTTCAGAAAACGAGAAGGAGATAAACTGTTGGTTTATATTGAGCACTAGCTGGGTGTGGCGTGCAAAAGAATACCGAATGACTTACCACGTGCTATACGTCGTAGCATTCGGTGCCAATTGCGAGATCTGGATTTGTTAGCATCTTAATAAAATTAAATAAGCTTCAGTTACTGGTTAGAATGTGGGCTGGGGGTGTAGGGTGTTACATATAACACAGCACAATCCAAACAACAACAACAACAACAATTTGTGCGTTAGCTAATGTGTGATTTTAAAGCTATAAATAACCAATCACATGCTTGCAACACGTCTTTAGGTCTCTTAAGGAAAGCTTCTACTAACTCTCAAAAAGAAAAAAATTTATACCGCCCATGTAACTCAATACACTTCTAACAATATCTTTAGCAGTTATACTGTTAAATTTGCACACCATTTTAAGAAAAATGCTTTAAATCCTGTTGTTTAAAAATTTAGTAGAAATACTATTTGCGCAAGACCTCGTCATATTAAAGGAAAAACATATGGACCACATAATATTCTTAGATTTAAAGCAATGAACTGGGTACAAAGGTATGAAAGAAACATGCAGAGAAGGGATAACAAAGACTGATAACTTACCAATGAGCTTCTCGTTCGATACCCAGAAAACGACGAAGACCGCGTCACTGGTTCCTGTTAAATCCGGCAAAAACAACAGCTGTTAGTACAATAAGAAAGGCCACTGCCAAATAGTAAACTCTATCATCTTTGAGGAGAAAGAAAGCCCAATGTTAATCATGTATTTCTTTGGATGAAAAGGATAGACAAGGTAAAGAAGATGCATCTCACTTACATGATAAAAACGCTGCATGCGTTTCCCTAAGTCAAATAATTCACTCACAATGTCACTATAAAAACCGGCACCAAAGTCTGAATACTGAATATTTTGGTGACAAGAATATATCACTTCTAGACTCGACGTAAGGCTTCAACATATGTTCACACCCCGTTTGCCACTACCACAAATCAACTCAGCCTACTACAGTTACAAGGCCAACAGCCTACTCAATAAAACACACCAATAAACAAACAAACACGGTGGTATTACTCAATAACAGACTGAATTCACTTTGGCTGGAGTGAAACCGAGTAGTATATGTTGCATGCATTAACGTCTGTTTATACAAACGAAAGAAAAACACTGTAACAAACAAATAACAGTTGTCTGGATGAACAAAGACTAAGTGATCACTAAGTAATAACACATGTCTTAAAAACACCCACCCAACAAGAAATCCCTAACAAAAGCCTAACGAATCATACCATGTTATCTTCAGATGCCAAATAGTCACTAGTCTCTGATAAACGCGCATAATCTGTTTACAGAGAAAGAACATGAAAGAACATCAGAAAGTAGTACCATTAAACTACGTTCTACATGCCACTGCTTCGGCAATAACACAATCGACATTCAATGGCTGTGTTGAAAGTGGGAAGGTGGTAAGTTAAACGCTGATAATTGCAAATAAAACTACGACGTTTCGGCAATGCTGCCTTCATCAGGGAAAATATGTCAGTTCAGATGTCTGATGTCAAACATCTGATGTTACACACCCGATTTCAGACGTCTCATGTCAGACGTCTCATGTCAGATGTCAGACATCTGATGTCTGACGTCTGATCTCAGACGTCTGAAGTTCGACGTCTGATGTCAGACGTCAGATATTTGATGTCAGACGTTTCATTTCAGTTGTCAGACGTCTGATGTTCATACATCTGGTGTCGGATCTGATGCCAAACGTCTGATGTGTGATATGTATGATGTCTCATATCATGTCTGGCAGCAGACGTCTGATGTAAGACATCTGATGTCAGACGTCTGATGTCAGATGTCAGACGTCTGATGTTCATACATCTGGTGTCAAACATCTGAGGTCAGACGTGCCATCTCAGACGTCTGATGACAGACATCTGATCTCAGTTGTCAGATGTCTGATGTGTCATGTCTGATATCAGACGTCTGATGTCAATGTCTGATGTCAGACGTGTTATCTTAGACGTCTGATTTCACATTTCAGATGACACGTCTGATGTCAGATGCTAGACGCCTAATGTGTCATATGTATGAAGCCTGACAATAGACGTCTGATGTCAGATGTCTGATGTCAGACGTCTGAAGTCAGATGTCTAATGTCACACTCTGATGTCAGGCATCTGATGTCACATGTCTGATGTATGATATGTATGATGTCTGATATCAGATGTCTGACAGCAGACGTCTGATTTCAGATGTCTGATGTCAGACATCTGATGTCAGACGTCAGATGTCAGACATCTGACGTCTGATTTTACAAGCCTGATGTCAGACGTCTGATCTTCGACGTCTGATGTCTGTTCTTAGTTGTCAGACGTCTGATGTCAGATGCTAGACGTCTGATGTGTGATATGTATGACGTCTGATATCAGATGTCTGACAGCAGACGTCTGATTTCAGATGTCAAACATCTGATGCCAGATGTCTGATGTCTGATGTCGGACGTCTGATTTTAGATGTCAGATGTCAGGCATCTGATGTCACATGTCTGACGTCAGACGTCTGATGTGTGATATGTATGACGTCAGATACAGATGTTTGACAGCACCCGTCTGATGTCACATGTCTGATGTCAGACGTGTGATGTGTGATATATGTATGATGTCTGATGTGTGATATGTATGTTGTGGTTCAATTTTATCCTTTGTTCAAATTTTCTTTTCTTTTGTTTTAAACCGCTTATCATATTATTATCATACATGTACATTACCATACCCAAAAACAAAAGAAGGGAAAATTTGAACCAAGGATAAAATTGAACCGCATGTATGTCTGATGGGAGATGCCTGATGTGTGATACGTGCGATGTCTGATGTCAGACGTCTGACCTCATGACATGCAACAGACATCTGACATCAGACGTCGGATGTATTATGTCTTATGTCAGATGTAACAGGTCTGAAGTCTGATGTCAGACAACTGATGTCTACTGTCTCTATGAAGTCTGATGTTTGTTGTCTGAGGTCAGACGTCTAATGTTTGTTGTCAGATATATGATGTCGGTGTGTGATGTCTGATGTCAGATGTCACACATTTTTTTTCTGATGAAGGCAGCATTGCCGAAACGTCGGAGATTTATTTGCAATTACCAGCGTTTAACTTACCACCTTCCCACTTTTAACACACACAAACGCTATGCACGAATCCCCTTTATTTGTATTCAATGGCAGTGACCATGTTCGGAGACCAACGGGCAGTCAATTGGGTCGGGAAAACTGCAGCGAAAGTTTTCAAGAACGGGCAAGACAGACCCTGGGATGCTACTCTTAAAGAACCAGTTCCACAACTCAGTCGACTGCTAGTTTCTGATTGACCCAATCGGGGGCCGGCATTAATCGCGCTGCCTTCGTCGTCTTCTTATACAAAGTAGTTTATCTGCGAAAATGTCTGTTGGCCGTACCTGTCTGGCTCGAGCAGCCGAGCTTTCATCGAGAAGAGTTTTTTAGTGAAGACAGGGCCCAAAAAACCAAAGAAATTCCATAATTTAGCATGTTAGCAAAACAAAACAAAATGCAAAATGCACCAACCGAAGAAATCAGACTGTGGGTCAATCAAAGGTAAATTAGTAAAAACAGAGCACTTCTAGGCTTCTTCAAGCAACCCCGCAAGTTTACTCGACCAGTTTCGTTCGGTCTTCTCGTGTCACTGAGGGGAAATATTTAAGGACAAAACTACAAACTTTAATGGGAGAGGAAATTTCTCCTGCACATGAATGACAAGTATGCCGAGTAGGCGAAAACAGTCAAGTTTGAAGGTAAACTCGCTCGTATAAGATCACGAAAGCAGCGCGATAGATGCTGGCCTCCGATTACGCACCGTAATTTTATGCCCGATCAGATACAAGCATTCGATTGTGTCGTGGAACTGGTTCGTTGAGAGTGGCATCCCAGGGGCTCTCCCGTCCGTTCTTAAAAACTTTTGCCCTTCTCTTTCCCGGACCAGCTGACCGCCCCTGGGTGTCCGAGAATGGGTAGTGACCGGCGCTGACGAAAAACATAAGGGTTTTTCTCGAGCTGCTAAGAAATTATCAACATTTGCGTGTGTTTCTTTCAACTTTTGGAAACCGGGGATTCTGTTTAAGGTGCTTTAGCTTGATGGTATTCGTTCCATAAAACTGAAGCGAGGAATAGGCCAGTTTCGAATCATTAAAATTCGCACAATACTGATTTGCCTTAAGATTTGATGTGTGCGTGTTGTATTCCAGTAGCTTTGAGGTCTCGATATAATGGATTATATTTTTTAGCAGTTCCTCTGAACATCCCCATACTCAAATACGATCAATCAAACGCACCTTTACACGTAATATAAATACATTCCTTTTCAAAGATGGTCAGTTTTTTTCCTTCAAGCACGTTCAGGTAGTTTTACTTCCCAGATGCGAAGTTTGATATCACCTCACAAGAGTCATTGGCAAAAAGCTCATTTAAAAGCCCACGTTTACCCCTGTTTTATTTTTTCTTCAAAAGCACGTATTTCACAAACCCATCCCTACCTATCAATAACCCTTCCATACAGTGAAACCGGTACTAAACCGGACGGCATATTGAGCAATTTGCACCCTGAGTCATGAGCACTGCACATGCATCAGTAAGTCGCAAACTTTTCTTCCCATATTTTCTGTAAAACGGCTTTATGAGGAGGACACTAACGACAGTCCAGTGAGCCGGGTATCCGCTGACACAGGTTTTACTGTATTGCCTTATAAAATCTAGCAACAAAAGCAAGCATCATACAGTTGTATCAAGCAAAAGTATCTTAACAAACAGCTCCATATAGATACAAGTTGCGCTTACCCGAGTCTAAGTCTACAGTAGATGAAGGAGAGCTGGGCCGAGGGGAATCCGATTGGAATCCTGGCGAAAACTGCTCATCGTTGATAGAGAACTGGGAACCGGGAAGTTCTCTTACGCGGCGGGATGATGAACGGCCCTGTTTAAGGCGCTGAATTTGCGAGTTAGCGTATTGAAGGTCACACCGTAACCTGCATTAAAAACGAAAAGAGACACTGTTTAGAAGTCAGTTTTTTTTTAGGTGAGAGGGTTTCCAAGCCTTGACTAACACGGAAAACTTATTCCAGGTTCCAGCTTCAGAGTGCACTGTATGGGGTACTCTAACAGACCTTGAAACATCGCGTCAATCGGAACAGGGATTAATGACACAAAATTCAACATCACCCTTCAAAATCGAAAAGGTATAAGTTTACCTTTCCCTTGCCATGTCTCGATCAGTTATAACTCCCTGAAAGAGAAGGAAATTATAAAGGCAAGTTAAGCGCTCGTATATAGCAACGTAACGAACACTAAAAAAAAGGCAGTAAACTTCGCTGCTACTTACAAGTAAAGTTGTAAGCTGCTCATTCAACACCGACGTTGACAAAACAAGTTGTTGCTAAAATGAAAGAAAAATGAAGTTATGTTATGTACATTATCAAAATCAATTGACACTGATTATGATCACATGAACTCACTGTCGCTCCACTATGGTGCGTTCGATTGATCGTATTTTGGAATAAGAATACGCAAAAGTTTTAACGCAAATCTCTTCTACCGTGATTTTTGGGCCATTTAAACTCTGCATACACTGGAATATTTCATTTCAAGCACATTTCGAGATATTGCAATGCACTATACGAATTCGAAAACAAATGACTTCTAGATTTTAATCCATCCATTCGTATTCCGAAATACGGCAAATCGAACACACACTAAGTACTTGTTACCTAACTAACAGCCTATTCATTAAAGACGAGTTCCTCTAACTCTTTTATAAAATTGAGTCCTTCATTAAGAAATCATAACAACACATAGGCACTTAGCTTTGATATTTTAGTTTCAACATGCTAATCCTTTCGGTAGCAAGCCTATGGCCTACCTAAAATACTGTATTGGTTAAAAATATATTTATATATGGTGAAAATGAAACTAAACATTAGCCACGGTAGTACCTGCGGCGAGAAGTCGCTCTGGACACCATCACAACCCAGTGATACCAGACCATGAGAAACGTCATCTATATTTGGATTTAACACATCGCTCACAGCAACCGTTAAACGATTTGCTAAAATAAAACATAACAAGATCCCATCAGAAGTAACAAAAGCCGATTTCAGTGACCAATTCTGAGTGGTAAAGCACGTATATTATCTATTTAGAGAAACAGCAGTTAAACGGTAGATCAGTAGCACTAGTCTACATATAAATTTTTAGATCGATCAGTCTACACTTAATCCGGAGAAAAAGTTGAAGCGCAGAAGGCATATGCGATAAACGATCGGAAACATCGGGATTCTTACGAATTTCTTACTCTATGAAAATACCGCGAAAAATGACAAATCAAAAAAATATATATCCACACATAAAAAGAGCCATAGGGCAAAAAAATTACGGGAAAAAGAATTGATAAGATTCCATTTCTTTATATTTCCGTACCATTCCGAAAGAAAAGCCCCTCGATATATAAGCACCTCAAAATATAAGCCACCCAAACTCGTAACGCAAAAACCTATGTAAATGGTAAATGTAACCCTCTTAAATGGCCCCTCCGAATCCAAGCCCTGGGAGGTCTATACTTGGAAACAGCCGTAAAATACGACATAAAACAAAGCAAAAACGGTACAGGAACACAATTTTGTTTTATTTTCCAAAGACTATTACGTGTGCAAAATGATCGCAGTCAAAAAGTGTCACAGCTTATTGCTGTTTGCGTGGTGCACTTTTCACTCTTGGCTTGGATTTCTTTGGTCCATATAGACAAAGCAGTTGCTAGGAAATTATGTTCCGCCACCCTGCACCATAGTTTTTTAACTTTGCATGGCTAAATTTTAGGAAGATCTACTTCCTCACGACAAGTCTCGGTAAAACCTTCGTGCAATTTACTGACATAAAATTCCTTCCAACTAAAAGCTAGCTCAATCGATTTTGGGACGCAAATTTCCCTCCAAGTGTAAGCCTAACCGATTTTGTAACACATAATTTCCCTTCGTACAAAAATAAGCCCCTCAAAAAGGGCCTTTGAAAAATATAAGCCTTGGGGCTTCTTTTCGGAATTTTACGTTATTTCAATTCGTTATGATCCTTTCAAAACAACCCTTACGATAAATGTGCATTACAAGTTTTGCCACACGAACTTAAGGCAAATTGTGTACATGAACTTCAGAATAGCTAAAAGTTCAAGACAACGCAAAAGTTCCACAAGTCACCACTATGAATATTACAACTAACCTTGAAGAATGGCGGCTAGTATCAAATCCCTACCAAAGAAGACAGAAAAATGAATTAATTTCCTCGAAGATACAAGATATAATAACATGTTTTGCACCATCTGCAAAATATTTACAGTTTCTACAAAATAATATAATACCTATAAAATCTACTGAGCGACGGAAACTAACAAATAGGTAAAAAGAATCAGAGCAAGCACTGCACTCAGTTCGTTGCAAATAGAACTGTGGTAAAGGAACAGTAATTACCTAGCCTCCACTGAATCACTGTTGATATGACTCTGAAATAAAATGCACCCAAATAGTGGTAAGCCAAAGGATAATTCCAGCACGCAAAAACTCCTGCTTAACATAAGTCTCGCACTAAACCAGAGAAGTGACGTCTGATTGGGTACGAGATTTCCTTTAACTTTATGAACAACAAGTCACATTTCGAAACGTTAACGCTTAAAAAAGTACTCTATTCGTCGACAAAAGCACTGAGCTACAACAAAAATTGCCTTGATTAAGTCAATGAGTGAGTGGACTGATGGTTGCAAACATTTTGAACCTAAAACTTTAATTCAATTCTGCATTAACAAGGCAAAATCGACACCTACCTCACTGGTTGATGCTCCTACTGTCATATTCACTCCCTAGGTAAAAAAAAAAAGTAATAAAAAGTAATCTAATATGGACAGCTGCAACGGCCCACGATTCCAGAGAGAGAAAAATTACTTCATCGAGCACTAAGCTGTGTCGTCTGTTGTACCTATTATAACTGACTGCGCTGCGGTACAGCAATCCAATATCTTGTCACACACTAAAAACAACCCTCACTGCTAACCAGACATAAAAACAAGCTAAAGAAAAAGATCCATGATTATTTCAAAGTGTGTTCCAGTGAAATTGTGTTAGTGTATGTACTGTACTAGGGTTAATCGTTTCTTTAAGTATGCAATCTTATGAAATTTACGTAACGAAATGGCAAAGGTTTATGGAGGGAAAAAGGGTCGGAATTACAGTGTAACTGAATATTATACAATAACGTTTTACCCTCAGTTCAGCAACAAGTCTAGATTTTTCTTCTAAAATTTTTCTAAGCTCTTCATCCTTCGACCTCAGCAATTCTAAAAAACAAACAAAAATAATGTAATTGTCTTCGATGTATTGTTTGCCCGAAATACAGACGTTATTAGCTACAAGACTAAGACTTCAGCAGTCAAAAGTGAAGAAACTGATACTTTAGGCTAACAACTATTGTTCTTGCTTCTTGTGAAATAACGTGAATATTACTTAAAACTTCGGAAGACTGGTAATTTATAACCAGCAAATACAGACATTTGGATTCACGAAATAAAACCTCCTGAAGATAGACAACGAGCCAGTTTTTCGGATAAAAAAGAAAGGAAAATAGGGAATACTTACCAAGCAACATGACTGAAGAGCGCGCTGGATTATTACTTATAGAATCATCCTGTTCATCAGCAGACATGTGAACAAGGCTTCCTCTCATTTTCAAGGTGTCATTCGATGAACTGGAAGAACTGTCAGAGATAATGCTGTTACGCTCCAGAGAAGGTGATCTGTCATCTACACTTTCCTCATTTGTGAGCTCCGCTAACGAATCCCTGTTCACAACTGACGAATCTACTGGGGCTTCACTGTCTTCAGCTGAAAGAACCTAAAACAGCAGATACAAAACTGTTAATCATAACTGTCTGAATTATGCTAAAATAAAATAAAATAAAAAATTTCTAACCTCTGAACGGCTATTTTTGTTTTACCCATTTTCAATTTTTGGACTGTTAAGATCTAGTCAAGTACCATCTCTATGACATGTTGGGGTCTGGAATATACTTTCCCCGAAACCCGTAATAATCCAGTTATCAAAAAACTTCTTGCTGGGCTGGTGCTGATAATCTTCAGTCCAAGCAGTCGCACTTTCCTTATTACAATAAACAATTATAGCTAGCCTGCGTGCAGACGATAACTAAACTCTGATTAGTACCGTCTGCGAAGCAGCGCAGAGATCCTTGTTCTGAACCCCAACGGACTCAACGAATTACCGGAAGTGCGTTTCGAATTTCCCTTCAACCTGATTGGCGATCACGACAAACAAAACGAAGGCCTTTTTTAACTGGCCAATCGTGGCGCGTACTCAAATCTGGGTACACAGCTGGAAGTCCAGAACAAGGATTTCGGCGCTGTTTCGCAGACGGAGTTAACCAGAGTATAATTTCGTCTGCGCGCAGGCTAAATTATAGCAAGATCAGCTGAATAGTTTGAAACATACATCAGTCTCTGAATCACTAGGAGGACTGGACTCTATATGCAGCTTTGGTGGTGATTCCACTTCTGACTCTTGTTTGACTTCTGATTCAGACTCACGGTCAGACTCGTGTTCAGACTCTGTTTCAACCTGAGACTCTACAGGTGGCTCAACAATCTTAGGAACCAGTACTTCCTCCACAGCTGCTTCTCTTGGAGCTTCTTTCTCAGTTTCCTCTTCGTCGTCGTCATCATCATCATCTTCTTCCTCCTCCTCCTCATCATCCCGAGGTTGTTCTTCTTCCGAGTCATCATCATCTGCATCATTGTCTTTATCTGCTTCGTCCTCTTCTGTTTTTGTATTAACAAACTTCTCCGCATTGGTAGATTCCCCCTCTTCTTTAGCTGCTGGATTGACTCTCCTTCCTGGTAATTCGGTTGGGTCACCTGGATCCATTATTGTTTGTTGACCGCCAACTGATAAAGCAAATCGGCGACCTCGCTCTGTAGAAAACAAACCACCTTTGTGGTTAGTTCCAAAAATGTAAGGATAACCTGGTTAGTAGACTTCCCTACTACTTACACCGCTGTTGACGAATGACTGCATGGTTTGATTTGCCTGCTACTACTCATAGCGGCCAAACCATACGTACTTTAATGGATTACAAGAAAGAAAACTCCGAGGTCGAATTTAGAATTAAGAGAGGATGCTGACAAGTTGACTGCCGTTCCCTCACAAAATCCTAAACATTTACACGCCTTTTTCAGAAATAAAGTTTGAAATTAACCTACCTTTCCCTTTGTATGCCTCGGCGGTATCTGTTATGTACTTAAACCAGCTGTGGAGAGAGAAGCTATATCATCAATACCATTATAGCTATTAATAAGATGAACGCTCATATATCACGAGATATAACATGAGTTGAACACACAAAGCGAAAAAAGTCCATAGAAGTGAACGAAAGCTTTTCAGTCAAAATTAGAAGCTAATTCTCAGATACAAAATTTTGATAAAAATTATGATATAGTAACCTCATAGTAACCATATTGGGAGTCCATCCTAAACGACGCTCAGATCAATACAGGAGGTAGGTGGGAATCGACTCTTGATCGCGTGTTGTAAGACTGCAGTTCCAGTTGTTCCGAACCAAAAATTAAAATTAAACTTTGTACCAATAACAACGTCCAAACAATTGTGTACACAGATGGAAACGCCTGAGATGCAGTTGGAAGGTAACAAACTATGGAAATTTAATATTTGGCGCTTAATCAGTGAATGGTCAGTAAAAATTCAAGCTAAAAATACTTTGACCACAAGGGACTTACTTCTTCCGATCTGTGACTGTTGCTGTAACTAGTTCATAAATCTGTGGTCCAACAGTGGATGAGGTGCTCACAAGAAAGAAAGCTCTTTTGTCTGTTGGACACAATACAAATAACTTGTTATCCATTTTATTGGGGCTTTTTAGTGCTAATTCACAATACTGAGCTGTAAATGCACCCTAATGAAAGTGTTATTTAAGACAGGCACTCACTGGCAGAGATTTTTTCATCAAAATGTTCAGTTTGAAAGTAAACGAAAGTCATATGAACCATTAAAATTATATTTTTCTTAGTAGAAAGAGAGAAAGACCAATACTTCTCTGCAGAGCTGTGCTATAACTCAAAATTGCACTGGCCCCTAAGTAAACCAACGACCACAGAAGCTACGGCCACTATACATGCGCATGATGATTTAATAGTTATACCTTATGTAGGAATTTACTAGTTCATCTCAAGTTAAAAAGGACACTGTGTACATAGTTAAACCCACCTGTTGCCACATTTCTTGTCAGAACGCTATTCAGTTTGATTATAGGGCTGTGAGTGGTCTAAAGGATGAAATAAGAATATGTCTAAATCTTTAACCACTTAGGCATAATCAAGACCCGCTAAATATAGCGCCATCAAACACATCAAACAGAATTGCACACACACTAAAAAAATTAAAAAATAGTCCTCTGGCTAGACATGAGCTTACTGGCAATGGATAGTCTCAACGAAAAAAGGGGTAAATATGGGTACCTATGGTCGAAACATAAACGTTTACCGCCGTGTGCTACAAATGTACGAGGACAATTATTTTCCAACGAAAAAAATAAATCATTTAATAGTTTGTTTCACACAGTATACCTTGTTTTTTCCACAAGTTGGTTTTCTATTGATTGTTTAGTATTGGTTTGATGGATATTTAGAGGAACTTACCTTTACATCTTGGTACCCTGCCGAAAAAGTTGTACTAAGACACTTCAGAACAAGCTTATCATCCTGCTTTTGAAGTAGAATTAATAAATCTTCTAAAAGAAGCACATGAAGATCTGAGAATATCAAAACATCATTCGTTAAAAACTGATGAATCAAAAGAAAATTCATCGAACCAGCGCCCCACTGCACAAAAGAAGAGTAAGTGTTGAAATGAACCTGACAGACCTGATAATATATTGCTCTCCAGTTCACATTTGCGCGACAAAAAAAAAGATTGAAAAAACAGTTGTGGAGAAGAAGTGAAAATAAACGAAGAAACAACCAATACCCATTCAAAGCGATATTCAAAACAGCTTACCAATAGATTTTGTTCGACTTATTCTCCAAGTCAGTGGACCATCATAAACCAACTTTTTCTTAGTCAGGTCCAAGTCCTAAAAGAATATGAAAAGTCAATTTAGAACACAGAACAGATAAAACGTACAGCAAAGGTTATAAAGCTACAGTAAAACGGGCAGCAAAACAAGTGCAACCTGTTTTGCAACATTGCTGCAAAACGAGTTGACTAGCGATGTTGCGCACTTTACTACCCACGTTCAAATTTGACTGGCAACAAATAGGGTTGCGAGGTTTTTTACGTGGGTGGCAAAACGCGCAACATCGCTATTCAACTGGATTTGGGGCAAAGTCGCAGGACAGGTTGCACGTTTTCGTGTTGGCCATTTTACCGTACCTTGAGAGACAACATGACTGAGTATGTGCTACGATACTGACAAAGGAATGTACATAAAAAACAACTGCAGTGTTAGCTCCAGTGGCCAAGTAATAAACCAATTGATTTACTACTTGTTACCCTGCGAGCACAGGTTTCTTTCTGGCATGGCTGTTAGCATTAACAAAGTCGTTCGAACGCGCGACTGACAAGCCACGAGAACGCCTTCGTTAAAGCTTAAAACCGTGCAAGACAAACCTCTGCTCGCAAATCTGACGGGCAAATTTCCAGGAAAATTCGCCTTTCCTGCGCCTGTTTTTGACTATTAATATCCTGCGCTAAAAATGTCAACATTCGTTGAGCGTTTTGCGAAACCTTTTCCAACTGGAATGATGTCTTGCTAACAGAAATGACAAACAAAAACCAAGGGAGGACAAGATGAAAACCAAGTGTCAAATATGGTTCATTGAATTACCAGGTTATTCAGTATTTGCTTTGACGTGCATAAAATATGTCAAACAAGAGACTTTGCAAAAGCCAAGTTAAGTCCTTAAAAGCTAAGGTTATTATTTTCACCAGTTCAAGTTTGAAACATTAACAATACGCTGCTGATTTACAAAGTACTTTGAACGTTTACTAACAAAGCTCTAAGTGTCTGAAAACTGAAACTGCACACTTGCTGTCGCCATTTGTCAATAAAAATTAGGTCGGGTGCAAAGGTTTTTCAAAAGCGGCAAGAAGCTCTTTATTTTGAGAAATGAGAAAAAAATTACATTCACAATATGCTTTAGATATATTTGCACGTGTTTTCACTTCATGATTAATGAAAAACGCCTAGGACGTATGACCGCGGTGTAAGATAATCCATGGTACAAGCGAAATTTGAATTAACATTTTCTTAAGGTACGGAAAAATGGGCAACAAAAAACATGCAACTTGTTTTGCAACATTGCTACAAAACGAGTTGAAGACGATGTTGCACGTTTTACCACCAACGTTCAAACCTTTCAACAACCTGATCTGGTGAAAGACAGATTTGATGAGGGTGGTAAAACGCGCAACATCTCTTTGCAACTCGTTTTGTAGCAAATGATGCAAAACAAGTTGCATGTTTTTTGTTGCCCGTTTTTTCGTACCTTAAATCTGAATGTTGACAAAGCAAATTCCTGTAAATGGTTTGGCCTACAAATTGATATTTGGATGCCCTAAAATATTCAGATATAATTAACGGAGGCAATGCTTTGGAAAAACAACAACTCAAAAAGGCAACCCAGATTAAAATTTAACCCCTGGTTAGGAATAATAGGCCTTCGAGAAAAATGGGCCAAGACGTTAACTCCGTGACAAAGATTGAAACGTTTTGCTCTATTTTATCTAGATGTTAGCCAGAAGACGACTTGGGTGGCGTCATACAAAACGAAGCCATCATTTTTGGTACCTTAAACTCTTCCATTGTTTTATTGCTAGTACTTTCAAGAGGTCTTCTGTCAATTTTTCTTTGAAAGTCAGCAAGTCTCTGTAGGGATAGGAAAAAAAGTTAAGAACATTCTACACTGCAAGTTGGCTGGCGCTTGCTCTTTTGTAATACAAGTCACAGGTCGCCCAACGTTAAAGTAAATAATGATGATAATTAATACGGTATTAAATGCGCGTACTTGTCTATTTTCGCAGTCCTTCACACTCTGGTTCACAAACGCTAGTAAATCCTGCAAGAAACAAAAACGCATGATCAAATATGCAGCACTAACAAGCATTCAACTGAAACCCAGAGAACACCGTTTAGATCAATAATAATAGTGACCGTTGATTAAACTCACTAGCCCATTACGTTATTGCATATTATGCCTTTCTAAGCCGTGTAAGGAAATAGAAAAACCTAATGCTTCTGTTTAGGATGCAGTGAGCAACACTCCTTCGGAAGTGGTAATCATTCAAACACGTATGTTTCTCGTGATTGGCCTGCCAGTTTAAGTTAAAATTGGCGCAAATTAGCGCAAAATAAGTTCATCTTACCTTGGTACACTGAATTGCTCTCTCGATATCTTTACTATCCGGATGAGAGCCTAGGTTGGCAAACAGTTCAACATAATTACTCAGCGCAATGCCAAACATAAGCAACACGCGGGATCTCCAACAACATCCTGTATTCAATTTCAATTTGGGACGATTAGGCTGGCTTGCAGATAGCCCAGAGCTAATCGCGGCAAGCCAGACTGTACAGAGATAACTTTCTTATATAGATATACATTTTAAAAATACAGAACATATACATTAACATAAAATTTTGTGCAACTTATGTACGGTAGACTTCATATTATTAAGTAATTAAGAAACAAACAAATATTGTCAGCTTGTCGAATTGAAGAAACTTGGTCGGATAGTCTAGTTCTAACTTCTTCTAACTGTTTTTTCAAGTCTTTATTTTCCGTCTTTAATTTTCCTGTTGCTCTAACTTTACCAGTCATGTTAAAAATCAGAAGATTAAGAGCTGGAGATTAGGGGAGCAGTGCACAGCGTGACCGCTACACTCGAGTAACATCCTCTTCACAAACGTAACAGACTTACTTGGAGTATTTTTCTGTATTCCTTCCAATAGAAGTGGGTATTTTGTCAATCTCTGATAACTGGAGGAAATTATATCTTGTAGTCTCAACCTTCTACACAACGGATCGTTTTCACAATTCTAAAGAGAAAACATAACAGTAACAGTAAAGACTGTGATAAACTGAAATCCACAATCTCAAAAGATATTAGCGAAAATACTTACAGCGATAAATTTTTGTAAGTTGGGATCTTTTCTTTGACGATGCTGAAACAAGAGAAAACAATGAACGTAAGATCCATTTATCAGTCCACAAAAATTAGGCGTCTCTATGACTCATGACACAATTAAAGCAAGTAACCTAGATACTAGCCTAGTGCTTGAACAAATAACAAGGATGAAATCAAGCTGTACCAACTTTTAAACAACAAAAGCAGTGGACCATTTGCGAATTTCCCTAAACCTTTCCTTCAGGACAAGGGTAAGTGAGAAATTCTTATGCAAGTAACACTCATTTTCATGCCAGGATTTAGCACTTAGGTCCCGTCCACACGTAACTGTTTTTGTTTTTTCCTCCGGTTTCGCCTACCGTTCACACGCATTCGGTGAAAACTGTCACCAAAAAAGAATCTTTTCAAAAACACTCGCTGCTCGTTGACGTGTGAACGGACGAAAACGGAGGTTTTCAAATACGATGATGTCATACATCATATACTACTAGCATAACGCATGCTCTGTGAAAGAAGCTATCATATTTCCATCGATATAACAAAAGGAAAAAATCTCCGCTTTCAAAACTATCCGTTTACTTGTGGACGGGGCTCAGCCTCTCTTTAAAAGTAGTGTTTGAAACTCGGATTTCAGTAAACAACAGGAGTATAAACTTTGTGGATCGCTTTCAAAAGTTACTACCGTCTGCAGCACCAGCATACCTTGAGCTGTTCCAAAGCTAGTTTCTGGTGATTACAGAATGTAGCACAGGCATCCTTGGCTATCTCACCAGGTTCATCATCAAACTGCAAAACAAAAAATACAAAAAAGAACTATTTCTCAAGTTACATAAAAAATTCTATTACATTCTACTCATTAATTAACTTTCTTATTTCCTGAACTATTTGATTTGGAAACGGCCTAAAATTGTTTTTATCAAGTATCAATAATAATGGCCTACTAATTTTAATTACAGTTTGCACTTACTAAAGACTATGATACAAAACTGAAATTTAAATCATATAAATTGAGAAAGGATGTGAACAACAAAATTTAAAAAACATACTGTCACCATATTTGTGTGAGCTGAATAAAAACTGAGGCAACTCGACTTTTCTCAAAAAACATGCATTTCTTTTTAATCATTGCAATTACAAAGAGAAATAATTATCTAAGTAATTTATCCAATTAAAATTAACAGAAATCCACAAACGTAAAGTTTGCATCATGTACCGACAAAAACTCGTAATTTGCGTTCAGGGGTGTAATGACGTAAAAAATACAGCTTGCTTAACTTATCGACCCCATTTGTTTGTTTGCCACGCATTAATGCCCGGAAGATTCAGATTGCCTCTAGTGCCCTGGCTTATCTTAAAGCAGCTACCGCTGACCAAATATGCAAGAAGTTTGCCGATATCAATCCAATTGACGCCACCTGTACTGATAATCGACAGGAAAAGGGACCACAGAAGGCGCAGTAGCTCAGCTGTTCTGGTAGAGCTTGAGAAAATGGCGGAGGATTTCATTTTTTCCGCTGAACAAATAGCCAAACTACTGCCTAAAAACGTAGCAAGAATAGCAATAATACCACTCAAAGAATGGCAAACGCGTTGCTATTTGAATAATATTAGTTGGACTAAACATCCCTTTACATCCTGAAACTGCCGCGGAACAGGTAATTTGAGAAAATAATAAAACAATAATTATTGGAGTCGACTTTTGTCTGATATTGAAAATTATGTTGATCTCTCCATTCGTTGCTAATTATAGCGTAATAATTTGGAGCTCACCCTTTTCAGCATAACATCGCCTATACAAGTTATAACTTCCTCAGAAGGATCTTCTTGTTTTTTCATCATGCTCTCCATTAAAGACACTTGAATAAATCAATTAACAAATCAATTAACACACGACCTAACTTTCTGTGTAAAAAGGGGAAAGTCCCGTTAAGAGTTGCGATTTTCTCTAAAAACTCATCAAAGTATTAAACAAGTTATCTACCCAGCTATTGAATTCTAGCAAAAAGTTTACAACACATCCTACATTAATGTCTCTTGAGATTTAAAGCAGGGAGCTTTGAATGCTTAATACAATTTAAGGTATTTTATCGTACTAATTATAACCAGAACACACAATAGTACGAGTAGGCATAAAAGTAAGATTCTTTTTTAGGGTTATCCAGAAAGGGATAATGGGTTGCAGTGTGGGAGTATGAGAAAAACCGTGGATACACAAGTCAAACATACATCTTTTAAGAAACAGGTAAATTTAACAGCTACAAAATCGATTACAAACTTCAGTGCCACTGTTGTGACTGGTCATAGCTAAAACATACTTGAAGTTCTAGTAACCGTCTAGGAGCAGAAAATCACTAAAAAAAAAATTGTAAATTGTAATTTGTTTACCCACGGAGCACTAAGGAGTTCATAAGAACTCGTTGAGACGTGTCCGTGCGTTCCAGATCGAATTGGAATTTGAAAGTGTTGGTTTTTAAGGAGAGGGGGAAACCGGAGTACCCGGAGAAAAACCTCTCGGAGCAAGGGAGAGAACCAACAACAAACTCAACCCACATATGGCGTCTACTACTAAGCACCACTACTAAGCGACCACTACTAAGTAACCCACTACTAAGCTAAATCACTGATAGGAATTCGTGTACCATCCCTAAGCATTCTTTGTTCACTTACCATGAATTTTAATCAATTCATCTAAGTTGGGAAAAAGTTGATTAATATGCTGCTTGGCCATAACCTGAACTTTTAACATTGGTCTGTAGAACACCTGAAAAAAAAAAAAAATAAAAATATATAACCATTCTCTTCCAAGCGTACAAAAGCACAGTAATAGGGAGCTTAAGCAAAGGCACTTTGAACTACGTACGTGGGAGAGTGCCATTTGAAGCTACCGAATTTGTATTGCTAAGTGTATTTACTCTTTAATTTAGAAACGATCTTCCCTTCAATTTGGGCAAAACCACTGCAAAGGGATTGCAAACGTCAACTTCTGGTTGGCGTGCGTGGCCCAAAAGCGCCTTTGCTTACAGTCAAACCAGGCTAAGCGTTCCCGTCGCTAACGGATTAATAATTTCATTAATGGCAAATTGTTTCCGTTCGTTGGTTTCGTAGTTTATTCACGAAAAAAATACTGCAATATTCAAGTCGAGCCTGGATTCAATAATCGAATGTTGATTGGATTAATAAACAAAAGCCTTGCCATATATGGACACCACGCTCCTACCGCGCTCCAGTTGAAAAAATAGAGGATGTTAGCATCGACAACGAGTACGAGTTCTAGAACGAGATAGCGATTTTGCGTACTGCGCATCCGTTCTGCGCATCTCCACGTTTTCAAGTCGTCCTGACAAGTTGCACTACGACGAGTTCTCACCATAAACTCGAAGTGGGTAGAACGACTGGGAAGAACTGGTTTTCAAAGGTAAATTCCGATCGTTTAATGCAGTTTCTTTTCGTTTCTAGCCTCTCTTTATCATCTTGAACATTCCTTATATTATGTTTTATGTAAAATACTGCTTTTGAAGTCGAGGAAAAGCAACCGAACGCGATATTTCCTACACAGAGTAAATTTGCATTTACCCGGGAAAGTTTCATGTCTCTCTACAGGCCTCACAGGCTCACGAAATCACCCCGAAAATTGCCATTATTTGGTCGAAAATATCCCAAAAGTCNAGACGCAAAATACGACCAAGGTAGGGAATGACCTTGTCGCTAAAACGAAAGCCGCTGAAGCACTCTTCCTCGGAAACTTCATTCAGGTCGAATCTTCGATACTTTCCATGCTCAAATACAGGATAATCTGTGCTGTTTACATCATATAAAGCACAAAATTCTTCTTCGTCCAAAAAACCTTCCATGTAACTGAGTAACAAGCAGTCTTGAACGTTTTTTAGAGTCTTTTTTTTTTTTCGAAATTGTTGTGGAAGCGCTACCTCGACTCAAATTTGGCGCCCAGTCATGCGGAATCCCATAATTTTATTTTCTATAAACTCGAACTCGGTGTCATCGCTAACATAGAAAGCTGAGAAAACGACTTCGAGTACGAGTACGGCTTGAAGTCGTTCTCGTACTCGTACTCGTTGTTGATGCTAACATCCTCTAATGGCGGGCAGGCGAAACAGTTTGGGACGGACTTTACGAGAGTGGAAAGGCTCTGTCTGGAGCTTTCTTGTAAGGAAGCTAAAGTCGCTTGGGCTAGTTGTAGACGGTATTCCAGCGAGCTTTTGCGGTCTTCGAGGTTTTGCAGCAGTCTGTCAACGGCCTTTTCACAGCCTTAACAAATGGTCGCTCCGCTTGTTTCTGGCAATGGTGTGCATAACTGCTCAGCGTGAACTACGCGGTTTTCTGGTGTGCAAGCAGCTTTCGAAAATCATGACTTTTATTTTATGTCGGTTTTTCAGGTCTTTTATTTCGACGTCGACGAACTCTCCCCACACCTTATCATAACCCTGCAACGAAACAGTGCCCTGTACACGTATGCCAAATGTATCTTCCACTAAGTCTCTCTTGGTCGATCTTTCAGTGACTTCTGTCACTTTTCCTGACTTCGTTGAATTCAACCAAGACAACGATTTTGTCCTGAAAAGTCAAAGTTCACGGTTATTCTTAGTGCATTTTACAGATTGCAAGAGGAAATGATAAAATACACAAAGGTTGTATGCATGCTTGATCGATCAAGTGGTAAACTTTCGCAAATATTCACAACTGTTGTCAAATCGAAACTGCAAATAGGAATCAGAGGAATCGTATGGAAGAACGCCTGTAGAAAAAGTAAACAACATTTTATACTAATGGCGTGTTGAACTATAGAGTAACCTACCTGCTCTATCACACTCAACTCCGGAGAGAACTCCGCCATGTTCAGGACATGCTTTTCCTAGCACTCCATATATGGCAAGGCTTTTGTTTATTAGTCCAGTCAACATTCGATTATTGAATCGAGGCTCGATTTGAATATTGCATTATTCATTTCGTGAATAAACTACGGAACCAACGAATGGAAACAATTTGCTATTAATGAATTTATTAGTCCGTTAGCGACGGGAACGCTTGGCCTGGTTTGACCGTTAGGCTCTTTTAAGATGGCGAAAAATTCACCAGACTATCAGGAAAAGGTAAAAGGCTGGATTTCAACAAACGGCGTGGAAAAAGCCTTTTCAACGGTAAATAGAAATAAAAGTTTACAAATAATGAACTGACGATAGAATTGTCAATTCAGCAACCAAAGACTAGAACGACATTAAAAAAATCGCGCTCCGTAACATGAGTAAAATGCTTTCCATTTAAGGTGGCTCGACCCAGAATTTTTGTAAGTGCATCTTCCATCTTTGAGTCTCTTATACTTATTTTTAGGGCGAGGGGAATAAAGATCACGTGACAATGACGTCACAATAGTTTTAGCTGTAAATCGAAATTCTGCCCTTATCGGCATTTTCTTTGGAAATACTTTACGCTACCTATACCTCGGGTGCTTGTCTTCTGTTGTGAGCAGTTTCACAAATATCTAAATGAGGAATTTCGAGATATCTTGCAATTTCTACAAAAAGGGTATAAATTATGCATGAACTGAAGTCTGGACTTAATGCAGACAAATTTGCCATCTTTCGGAGCTTTCCGAAAAGTTTTGATCACTCATTTGTTTTGCGAATGACCTTTATACACTCTACAACCAGCTAAACGCAAGAAGACTTGCGCGATTTCGAAAAAAAACATGAAAACATGTGAATCAGTAAACGCAAGGCTGAGTTTTTTTCCGTAATTTTTTAAGGCTACTTTCACAAAAACTGCAATTAAACAAAAATTCGTCGATAGGTTTTCTTGAAAAGATTTCAGTACTGCAATTGATCAGTATACTATAAAGTGCCCGAATTTCGTGTCCATTGAAAAATTTTTAAGCTGTCCAACGTAGGCCCAAAATTAAGTTAAGCAAATATTGAAGCGATGTCAAATATCTGACTAAGTTTTTGCTCTGGGACTTCCTATTGTCTCGAGTTTAGCACAACATCAAATTCCCATGCAGTACGCGAGAATTTACCGCGCTTGGTTGCCCTTTGAAATCTTTCCGAAATATGGTAATGCTGTAGAATGGGAGAAAACAATAGCGAATAGATTAGGGAGGGCAACCAAGCACGGTAAATTCTCGCGTGGTGCATGAGAAGGTGCATGGGTATCTGATGTTTTACTAAACTCGAGACAATAGGAAATCCCACAGCAAAAACTTAGCCAGATCTATGACATCGCTTCAATATTTACTCAATTTTGGGCCTACGTTAGACAACTTAAAAAGTTTTTAATGGACACAAAATTCGGGGATTTTATAGTACACTGATCAATTGCAGCACTGAAATTTTATTACGAAAATCTATTGACGACTTTCTTTAATCGCTGTTTTCGTGAAAGTAGCCTTAGACATTACAAAAAGAGTTTAGCATTGCGTTTGACTCATTCACATGTTTTCATGTTTTTTTCGAAATCGCGAAATTGCGTTCAACCGGTTGCAGAGCGTATAAAGGTCATTTACAAAATGAGTGGGTGATAAAAACTTTTCGAACGCATCCAAAAAAAATAGCAAATTTGTCTGTATTGATTCCAGTCTTCAGTTCATGCATAATTTATACCCTTTTTGTAGAAATTCCAAGATATCTCGAAATTCCTCTTATAGATTTTTGTGAAACTTCGCGCAACAGAAGACAAACACTCAAAGTATCGGTAGCGTAAAGTATTTCCAAAGAAATGTCGATAAGGACTGAAATTCGATTTCGAGCTAAAACTATTGTGACGTCATCGGCACGTGATATTTATTCCGATCGCCCAAAAAATAATATCAAAATAAAGTTTAGTCTATGTGTAATACATGTGTTACAATCGGTTTTACAGTAAAGATCAATTTGATTACGTATAAGAGATTCAAAGATGGAAGGTGTCGCTGCAAAAGTACTGGGTCGAGACATCAAGGAATATCAGATTGCTCTATTGCTCGATCGTAAACTGTCACTAAGGGTAGTTTTCATTCCTGTGTACAGTTTAAAGCTTATTCAATTTAGTTCAAAGTAGAAATGAAAAAGATATGTGTATATTATATATATATGTTCTCAATTTCTAACTACCAACTCACCTTGCTCAAAACTTTAAGATTCCTAACATGTGTTCTTTCAGTATGAATAAGCTCTAAAAGAGAAAAATACAGTTAATATTAGAATATTCTGATGCTATTATAGTGTTTTTCTTGTGAATTTTTTATAATGAATTTTGCAGTAAACCTTCACAGTAAGTCGGTCACTACTGTAACAATCAAAACCCAGCTTGGTCTATACTGAGGCGCTTTCACGTAAACAAGAACGCATTCAAAACTTTGCGTCCACACCAGAGCTTTTCCACATTGTTTTCGACCATCCACACTAAGACACACGGCACAAAGACACACGTAGCTCAACCTTGAAATATGAGCGATATAAGGTTATATGGAGGGAGTAAACCAGTTGCACTAAAACCCATATAATATAATAATAACCCATACAATGGCCATAAATCGGCTTGGGGACTACACAAGAAAGGAGAAACACAAAAAACTCAGTTAGGTAAGCTGTTGTCTATTTAAATCTCTTTCACATTTGTAGGATTCAGAAACAATCGTTTATATTTTTCACACAAATCCTAAAATTTTGAAGGTTACGCAACAGTATCGACACTCATTCCATCTACTATCTACTATCTACTATCTAGAAACTGTTAAACACTATTTTTATGTCTCGTTCCATGTCTTTATATAAAGTTCAACTTGTCTTACCATGAATGATTTCTTGACGCTTGATTTCCTTTCCTCTTAGTTTTTTAATGACCTAGAACAAAAACATTATAGAGTTCTAGCCATTTGCAGGGCAAAGAAGTAGCTTCATTTCTCAGTTATTTTAAGACTCTGAGTGTTGATCAGGTCCCAGTAATCGAACCCACGACCTCCGGCTCCACAGTCAAGCGCTCTACCAACTGAGCTAAGCCTGCCGCGGTTAAAAATGTCAATAAAAAGCAACCATCAACACTAGAACTATCTTCAAACCAATTGTTTGATAAACCGGCAGTCAGCAGTCAGGAGACACGTTTACATGATTGTACAGACTTATCTACCATATTATTGCCGAACACGACCCACATCCTGTAGGCCAAAACCTTGTCTGACCGATAAGCCGACTATTCGAGCTAAACTTTTTTGTGTGACATTAACTGCATATTTTATGTATGTTAATCTTAAGCTCCGTACAAAAGGACGCAACATTGTTGGATGTTACATGTTGTGTCCGTTTGCACACACTGTTGCATGTTGGTGGGAGTTGTTGCGCAAAGTTTGAAACCGGTCAAACTTTAGCGCCAACAACTCCCAACATTTCTTTCGTTCCGTGATCGCCGAAGCAGTTGTCCCTTTCGTAAACGGTCGATGCCATTTATAAGACACTTAGACAATGTTCGACCTGTTATAGAGAGTGTTTCTATTAAAAAGATAGAAGATCGCAACCCAGAGTGGAATTCGGACCTCGAACCTGGACCTTTTATATTCTGCTCTCTCTCTTGCCATTACACAGCCACCAAAACTCATTCCAAAACTTTTAACGTAAATTCAACTTGGGCTTCAACGTCGTTCTCTCTAAGTTCCCGTCCACACGTATCTGATTGTTTTTTTTTTGGAAAACGAAGTTTGCCCTACGGTCCACACGTATCCGGTGAAAAAGTTAAAGTCACCAAAAACGCATTTTTTCAAAAACGCTTTCCAGAGTGGAGATTGAAAACGCCGGCTTCTCGCTTACGCGTGGACGGACGAAAACAGAGATTTTCGAATATGATGATTTCACACATAATCGAGAATTACGAGAATTGCACATGCTCCGTAAGGGACGCTATCGTATTTCCATCGTTTTAGCGTTTTCGTGTGGACGGACGAAAACGATTCGAATAAGCTATGTGCGGATGCGTAATTTTTTTTGAAAAAGGAGAAAAATATCCGTTTACAAAAATATCCGGATAAGTGTGGACGGGCCCTAAGACTATTCAAAAACGTATCATTTGCCTTAATTCAGGGAATATATTACATCTATCATGACTAAAGGCTTGGTTACCAATGAGGACATCGTCCATTAGAAAAGGCAACGACCGTTTACTTTACGAAAGGAAAACAGGCATCCCCAAAGCAACGCAAGATTGTTGGATCCGTTTGCACAGCTCTTCCAACATTGTTTGGGGCAAGCGCACATGGTTATGGGTTGTATCCTTGCCACCATGCACTGTGGGTCCCAACATTGTGAGGAGTTGTTCTATCCGAAAATTATTTCCGACAGTCTGCGTAATTGAAAATGGCGTCACGATGACACCGAAACGTCGTTCGACGGATGTTGTTTGCGTCATTTTTTACTCGTTTTTTGACAATGAGAAAACCTGTTTAAATAATCGATCGTCAAACGAAATTCAACGTCCATTTCTATCACCAACACCTACCATGGTTTACACCAAAGAAACAACTACCCATTCAAACCGAATAATTCATACACAACTGTTTGCTAATTACCTTTTTATCTACAACTTGGTGCCAAGGTATGGGTTGGGCATCAACCTCCATGTCTGGATCCTTGCAAATCAAAATCAAAACAATTATTGTTAACACTGTAGATTTACTCTTCCGGCGCTGGACAAATTGGGTCCACTTTGTTTTTGTTTGTTTGTTTTTTCAAATTTTTAACTAAACATTTCACAATCAATTTCAATCAAACAATTCACAATCACTGAAAATAAAACTGCAAAAGAAGACTACCGCCAGAAGAACTTTTTTTCTGCTCCTAATTCCCCTATTGCATCCACTGTCGATAGAGATCGGACACACGCATAGTAAGATGCAACCTGTTGTTGTGATTTGTGATTTGCACTGATGCTACATCAGCCAATCAAGCGATCGTTTCTCGGACAAATTCATCATACAACGTGTATATATGACTAGCTTTTTAACTTCCGCAACTAGCAGTAGTGTTCTTTTACGTTGACCTCCAATGATACAAGAATACAAAGCATTTTTACATCTAGCATAAACGTTAGCAAACACTGTTAGTTGGTCTACTTAAGGGTACATCTCAGACTTTTTGCAAGAATGAAGATAGGCAGGGGATAGATTACGTACACTGTATGTACATCTTTACAAAACTATCTTGGGTAAGAAATACACCCCTATGAGACTAGTTACAAAAAAAAAGCTCATAAATATACATAACCAGTGATAAGCCCATGACTTGCCGTTACGAGAACTGTGAGAACGGCACAAAACTAAAAGAATCGATAGGCTACACGTGCGTTCCACATTTTGGTAAATTCAACGAAACGACACTCCAATGAATTCTCATCTCATACCCTGAATAAGACAGCGAATTAACATATACAAACTTACATTATATTTAAAAGTGGAATTGATTTATCACGTGACTTTGATGTAAAGGTTGCTTGCAATCCCTAGTTTATTAAGAATCCTTAACCATCCACTGCCTATCTTCACAATCTACTAACCAAACTGTTTTCTGTGGTATAACGGTGATCCAGGAAGATCAGGGCCCAGTTGTTCGAAGGCCGATTAGCGCTTAACGCGGGGTTAAATTTAACCCTGGTTTCTTTTCTTCTTGTGTTCAAAAGCATTTTCTCGGATAATTTTCTCTGTTATTTTTAGAGCTTCCAATCATCAACTTGTACACAAAAAGAACTAAAACTGAAATGCTTTTGATGCTTTCAAATCTGAATTCAAATCTCGCACTAACCCTGGGTTATCTTAACCCGGCTTTGAACAACTCGGCCCAGAGTTCTTTGTTAGGTTTTTTAAAAAAAATTATCATAGTAGACTTACTGGTTCTTCTTCTGGTGGCAGAAAAGAAGGAGATCGTGAGCGCATACGTCTCCCTGGGAGAAAAACAACTTGTGAGACACAACAAACATAAACACATGGTAATGTTAATGATGACAGCTTATGTTAAGTTATTGCAGGTCAATAGTCAATTTGAAACATAATATTGGTCACTTACATTATTCATTTAAACGTTAACTTCATACGAATCCAAGTCTACGTTTAAATACTTTTTTATTATTTATAGCCGTAGGAAAGTTAGGATTAACAATTAAAACTGCAAAGAAGAAACAACTTATCTATAAAAAGAAGACAGATGTACAAAATAGCAGCAAATTTTTTTTCAAAATACAGTAGCTGGATACTCATCAATTTACCTGCTAGAAAATACGCGTCAAACGACACAGCCATTTATTACCATTTGTTTTCTTTCCTAAGTCTTACTTTAACTTCAAAATAAAGACTTACCTGGAAAATTTATGTGTTTACTTTTAAATGCAACTAATTATCATAACACCTGAACCGCTACATGTAAGAAAATTCAAACATCAACAGTTTCATGAACACGGTATGAACGTAAAAATGACTGTTATGATGCGGAAGGCTATTCGTTATGATTAGTTGAAGTTTGAGGTAAAACGAAATATTCAATAAACATATAAAAAAGCCACGAATTTTATAGCTGCCACATAACGTAGACATTAAGCAAGGCTTTTGCATGTTTAAATGACACTATGGTTAAGCATTTTTGTTTGATAAAAATGATGAATGGTGAATTTTTCAGACTTAAATGAATGCTTGATAAATTACAGCTCGATGCTTTTCACATGGGTGATAAGACTAAAAGTTACTTCTTGTTAGAAACGATTATTACAACGATGATTGGCACAATTAAAGGTCCTGTCGTTGGGGCTAATGTAGAGGAAAATAGTAAAAATATTTGTACATGAAAAAAGTCGAACGTAAACTACCTCTACGTTATTAGCAAGATTACAATAGTAACAAAAAAACAAAATTAAATTCGATGGTCTACTCACTTTATAAGTGTTAGAAGCGACAACCAGATTATATACGACGTTACTCACAACATCAGTTAAAATAATATATCATTTAAGAGAGCGCAGTAAAATTAGATTATAGCTTTTTAAAGTTAGTTTTGCTTTAGTATCATTAGTTAATTTGTTGATGATATTATTGTGTAATTACAGTTATCACTGTCAATATGTGAGAATGAACGTTTACATAAATGTTTTCATGATAACCAGTGGGAATTAACGGTAAGGGTATGGAAGGGAAATAAAAACAAACTAATACACGACATAAACATTAACAAGTTATGCCACAAACACACAGGAAACGACTTGTCTAAAAAGTTTTTCTGGAATTTTTGTTTCACCCATTTTAGGAAATAATGAAACAAAGCTTTGATAAGCTGTTTCATAACTATAAAAATATCAAACCAATGAAAATGATAGTTAATTCCTTTTCAGCGGGTCAGCAAAACCTCTTCATTGTTGGCCATTTTATAAGCCACTATCCAAAGACGAAATGTGTTTTTTTAATCATCGACAACTGGTATAAAGGATTATGTACAGAATAGAAGATTTAGCAAAAAAAGACACAAATGTGACTTACCGTCCTCAGACACAGGATCCATTACTGGGGAATCTATGCCTCTAAAGAAATAATTAACAAAACATTAGGCTTAAAGTAAAAATAACGTGATATTTTACTACCAGATGTGTTTACATCTTCACACATTTTATATGCTCCAAAATTCAATTCTCTCTTCCCCTTTGTTTCTTGATGCTTGAAGTCCCTTCAAGAGACTAAAATTTTCAACATATTACCCGCCGGACGCTTCCAAAAGGTCATCATGACGTCATTCGTGAGTATTATGTCTTTCAAATGATTAGAGATCGCCTTCAGAAGTACTTGAGTAGACTCTTGGTAACTCTTTCTAATATTTTAGTTTTTAAAAAATAACTGTAAAAGTTTTGCAACGTGGGTGACTCAGTGACGAAAGCTGAAGTCAAACAAACAAATGATTCAAATAATTCCCTTCAATTTTAAAAGTTTTGCAAGTATTTGGATTCTTATAAATATTTGGAAAGCAAAAATTCCCAGATTAGTTTTCACAAAAGCTATACTGCATGTAATTTTAAAGCAGCAGCAAAGGAAAGCATTGTCCTTTACCTCTAATCAGCAAATGGCTGTGGATCATAGCAATTGAATCATTACTATAACTAATGGTGGCATCTATGTTACAAATAAGTTTTCCTGATGTTTAATGCAGTGACACAGTTTTACATTTCTAAGACGGTTATGTACTCAGGGCTGTCTTCATTTCTTTAAAAAAAATAGCAGGAAGGGAGGCAAGTCGCCAGGAAAATGTGTGTTGGGTGTTAGCAGTTCAGGTTTTGATTTTTCTGTGAAATTAGGTAAAACCTCATAGAAAGAGAGGCTAACTTACTGGCAGTCCCGGAGCACCTCATTGTTAAGATACCCTAAAATCGACATTATCTGTACTATATGCATCAAGCAATAATGGATGAAAACTTGAAAATTAAACTTTGACTTATATTACTGTTACTGCAAAGGTTATAATTCAGTGACACTTACACAGACTCCACTGTTCCCGCCACTGATCGTCTTATTCTTTTAAGTGGCGCAAGTTGTGACGTAATGTCCCTCTGCATAGAGTCCCAAAACAACAACAATCATTATTATGTACAGTCAACTCTCTCTAAGACGGACACCTTTAGGATCAGCACTAAGTGTCCTTCTTAGAGAGATGTCCATCTTATAGAGAGTCAACTTAGAGGAGTAAAGAAATGCTGCAGGGACCAACTCCAAGTGTCCGTCTCATATTGATGTCCATCAAGAGAGTTGACTGTAACTCTGTTCTTATCTTAATTCTGATTGGCTAAAAGTGCACTGTTAATAGTGCGCTTACGCAACAGCACGGGGGAGAAAAGAAGACGGTAAACCTTGTGTGACAAGCGTGACAATAATTTTGTTTGGAAAACTCTTCCGCCGAACTGCACCCTCCATTAAACAGGTCTTTTTGTAAAAGACTAGAAAACATTAACTTAAGTGAAGATCACGAAACACACATAAGTAATAGGCCTGTCACGTTTGTCACACACAAGAGTTTTGCCGTCTTCTTATTTCTGCCGTCCTGTTGCGTAAACTCACTAATTCCATCTGGCAATAGGTTTCAATACGTCGTTCTTACAGATGAACAAATTTTAAACATTCCAAAGTGACGAAATTTTGCTGATAATCATAGTTTTGTACGACGCCACTTTACAGGCTGCCAAAAGGTTGCAGGAACATTTTTCGTCATTTAAAAGATCTTTCAAAGAGAATTCTACAAAACTACAAGGCTTTCCAGGAAACTTTTAGAGCGAACTAAAGTTGACACAAGGGTGAAAACGTTAAAACGTTGTAAGAAAGACGATGTATCACTTGGTGTTTATTTCGTCTTTTAACATAAGTTCATGTGTGTTCATAATAAAAAATCATTCTATAGGTTTTCATTACCTAATGACGTAAAAGCGTCCGAATCTAAAGCTTTCTTTAAAAGAAAACTGGCTAGTAGGCAGGCAAACTGTTGACTACATTTTACTATATTTTATTATTTGTTCATATTTTTAGTGTAGTTGTACAGTAGTTACTTCTGTTTCTATACGGCTTTTATGTTATATTAACTTGTGAAATAACCGTATTCAAATAAAAGTGAATCAATCAATCAATCAATCAATCAATCATATCGAGCATTGCCAAGGTTTCAGTTTGTGTTATTTGCCTCAGCCTCGATAATTCTGTCTATCAAGTTCAACCTCATCTAAAGATTGTTCATTTTTCGAATTAAGATACCGGACTGGGAAACAATAACAGTTACAACAATATTGCAGAACACTGACAAATCCCTAATTGCAGCAAACAATGTGAATGTTTCAATGTGTTGCCAGCTATAGCTTAAGACACACACACAGAGCCACAAGGCAAGCAGTCATGGCAGACTGATGAAAACACCTACCACTTTTTGTCAAACTGAACATACAAACATGACCAATCTGTTTTAGAATGTATTTAGTGGCCGTGTGAATTACATGGGTTCCACTGGTATCTGGCATATATTACTTACAGTAGTTTTCATGCTCTCAGATCTTCCAACATGTTTTGCTAATTGGGGTTTCTCAAGGTAGAGTTCGCTAGTGCTAAAGAAACAAAATACAAAACAAATAATTAGTACAAAGGTTTCTTATGAGGAACAGGGTGCTAACAAGAAGAATTTTGGACTATTTTCTGCCTTTCTCTCTCACTTTGTTACATGAAAGGCACGCTGCTCTATGCACAGGCCACCGAGTAAAACATAGATGCTCAAACGGTGATAAGAAACAACCTTAATTGCCAAGATGTGAAGGTTCCGACTATAGGGATTGATGGGATGAAAATTTATTTTATTTTGGATATGTGGTCGCTCATGGGATATGAAAATTTTTATGTATGGATCAGAAAATATCATTTCTTCAGTTTAGTATACGACTTGTTTTAGTTCCAGGTCTCTGTGTCTGTATTTTCAGTTTAATAAACCAGCTTTTTTGGTCGTCTAACAAGAATCTGTCGATGGTCTAATCAATGAATTGTCCGAGAAAAGGTGTTTGAAAGTTTATGGTTTGTGTCAAAAGCTTTTCCTATTTGCAAGTGAAGAAGAGTCCTTTCATTTTCATGTTAAAAAGCTTGTCAAAAAAATATACCACGGAACCTGTACTCAACAAAGTTTTATACGGGGAGGCTCTGACCCGAGGTCAAACCCATGACCCTTTTATAAACTATTTTTGACAAAAAAAGGTACCCCTGTGATATACCTTCTATTGACAAATGGTACTCCTTTCACATACCTAATTAAGAACTTTGCATCGCTTTCAACTGCTGTTAATGCACTGTCTTCAAAAACGTGAATAAATCCGCACAAAACCAGAACGTTTTCTCGACTTTTTCACCGAGATAAAATGCATCTGGTAACCCTTTTGTGCCCTTTTACAAACCGAAATAACAGATTTCCCTACCCTTTCATATTTTTCAACAAGTGCAATCCCTACACTTTTATATACCTGAATCGTGAAAAAGGTACCCCTTTCGCGCAGAGCCTCCCCGCATAGGCCATAACAGGCAATACCCCTCCTTCCGGACAAAACCTAGCCGGGCAGTCAGTGAACAACATAGTTAATAAGTTGGAAAAGGCTCACCCAATCAGTGGGTAGTGTTGGGAAATGTTGTTTTTAATAAAACTTTTGATTCTCAAAAAAATAACTTTTCAAAGAAAAATTGAGCGTGGATTACGGAGTCACGGAGTTTTAGAAAACGTGTTTCGTGAGTCAACAAGTTGCATTTATGATTACCACTTTACTTAAAGATTCTCACCTTTTAAGTCTTGACATCCCTTCCTGCAAGGTAAAGAGAAAAACTCAATCAGAATCCCTCTTTAAAAAGAGAGGGCATGATAGATGAAACTTGAATATAAATTAACTGTATGGAAGAAAATGTTCTTAAGTAATTCATTTTGTTTAATAGCTGATGAAACTTACTTCTGGTCCTAAATATCTTTCCCTGCAACAAGAAAACATTACAACTGTTTAATTGGCGAAAAATAAGAATATCATGGTTGGCTTACTACTTCAACAATAACACTGTACTAATACTGTAAACAGCTTATGTTGAAAGAGTCACTGTTTCCCTTCGGCCTAAATTTGCTTGATTTTTGCATGCGACGCAATGTTTTTTAAAGATTATTGCCGAGATCTATTTTCTTAGAATAAAATGCTGTTATTGGTATTACAGAGGATCTTTAAAGCGCGTTTCTTGCATCAGTGTCATTATTATAACTTAATGAATACATGGGGAGGGAGGGTATGGGATTTGAAGCCAAACACTTCACCCAGCAAAAAAAGGCTTCCATAAGATCAAAGATTAATTTTCTAGCAATTGACAAAGCAGTTTAAACCTTAACTTGGTGCCACAGAAGGATCACAAAATACATTCATTTGGAGCTGAACATATTTATAATCATGTTACCTGTCTGTTCTAGACTGGTCATCACCCATTATTCTAAGGTAACAACAAAAAAGACCAGCAAAGCAAATTAGACATCTGACCCTAGTTGTTCAAAATGTGGATAAAGCTACCCACTATCCACTATCCACTATGTGATCTATTCAACTTTTGAACTAGGGCCTGGAGTTACTTTTTTGCCCTCATCTGGAACAAACACACGAAATGATAATGGAAATTCTTATTTTCAATATACATGTTAATAATTTTCCTGCTCACCATGGTGAACACAACATCATTCTAGCATAGAGCATTGGGGTGAGTTGCTCAAACGACAGGTAACACAAGATTGAGGGTTAATTTCTATGACAACTCTTATTCTTTGTTTACAATACCTGAATGCAGATGTGTCTACTATTTCCTTTGTTTGAAAACGAAAGGAAGGAAATACGAGGACATATGCATGCTTTCTACCAAGATTAGAGAAAACGGACTGTACCCTGCTCTTTAATAACTCAATTTTAAGCGTACGTGACAATGGTTGCTTTTACCTGTTCTCCCTTCCACCTGAAATCTGTCAAACAGAACGTGATGATTAGTACGAACTCCATTTATTCAGATCAAGAAAGAAATGTTCAAGATGATTCAAATGTACACGTGATAGAATCAGAACATGGCTCCCTTCAATGTATGATTTAACTGTAATACAGTTTCTGAAAATGTCACCTGGCCTGCTGTACCAGTCGGCCTCTTAGTGACCAGGCCCTGATTCCTGTGATTCCTGTTTGATATGTGACATCCAATGTCATGCGTGTAAATTAAAAAGGCTTTAAGATATTTAACAAGAAACTATACTTGGGAAAGGCACGTCGGAGTATTTTACCAAGGAGAGTATGTGACACTGAAAACTGCCATTAATACAATAATCTGCTTATGCACTAACAGTAATGGATAACTTACCAAGTCATCATCAAGAGAACCACTTTTTGTTTTATAATCAACTGAAAATGTAAAAGGCAATACCAATAAGATAATTATTACATCTAATGTGGCTAAATATCATTTAAGCAAAGTTAAACTCGAGCAATTACAGCCAGGGGTCTTCCCTATCGGCAGTACATGACCTGTGGGGTGGCTTTCAGGAGTTTTGTAGGGTTTCAAGGTTCATTGCTTTACAAATACAGTGTTATCAGCTGATTTTTGCAGATCAAAAGCTCAGCTATCGCTTGCGAATCATTGAGGATTCTTGTATCCTCTCCTCCCTCCCACTGTTTTGTTTGGTTGCCAGGGTAAGTATCCTTTCAGGTAAGTTATTTCAACTGAATTATTTCAGTGTGACTGTGCTGGTTAGCAGGCGCTCATTTGAGTGGTTCCTGCATTCCAGGGTTGCCATGGATATTTCCCTGCCGCTTACCGAACCTGGCACCCCAATAACCTGTAAGGCAACAGTTCCGCAGCTCATCTATTTGTGAAGAGTCTAATCAAAATACTAGATAATAATATTATATCAAGAAGCACTTGACAACCAACTTAATGACGCCCACTGTAATATCAAGTGCCCTTTGCACAGTTCAGCCAAACTCAAGAAGGACAAGATAACTGGATTCAGTGATATATGGAGGTTTGCCATCTCTTTCCAAGTTAACACAGCCTTTCCATAAGATATTTTACTGTCTGATTTTCAGCTGTCTTTTTAACGACTGAGATAATCTGGGGGCGGGGATAATTATGTGAACACATCTTACCTCCGGGGCCATTTTCAGGGTCATCATCATCTTGACTGTCATGATTTTTCACCCAATCTAAAAAGGCAATAACAAACAAATCATGTCAACATTAAACCCACCCTCCACAGACAAAAAATGATATAGAGTTCAGCAAGTTTGTTAAAAATAGAAACAGTAAAAAAACTCAATATACACAATTAAAACCATTCTTAGTAAAGTTTAAATTAGAATTCTAGAATTCTGGGTATCTTTTCAATCCTGATGCAGTTTAGTTTAACTACGAGGTTGATAAAGTTAACAACAATAAATACTGGACCAAAACAATACAAAATGGTCCATTACTGCCACTGTAAGATAAACATATTTAGATACCTTAACAACAAATATTGTCTACTACATTAACGGACATACTGTTTCACTCACATTTTTCCCCAAATGGCTGACTAATTTTCCGATTATTATTTACAACTGATGTTGACCTGACAGCTGGTTTCTAAAACAAACATACAATAAGTGTAAGAGTCTTTCAATTCTTGTAAAGAAAATTTTCACTGTCTATATTTTACAGGTAAATTGTAAGTTATACATAAAAAGAATTTGTACGCTGACATTCAACAATAAGTGCCCGCTTTAAATAAGTTATTGTGACCACATTCCTTAACTTAGCCTGTGACGTAACCTAACAAAACCATTACAATTTGTTGACAATCACTTGTGTGTTTGTACTTATTTACAGAACTGGAAATGCTATAAAATAAGAACATGTCAAAAAAGTCTGTTAATTAAAAAACCCTAGAATGCAAACTAAAAAATATACAAAAAAAAGAAGAACCAATGTGGCACTATCAATCCTTTACAGAATATTAAAAAGCTAACCAGATAGTAAACAAAAAAATAAGGATCAATCATTAGATTAGACCTTTGAAAGAACTGGCTGGTAATCATATTAACAATAATATCCTGTTTGTTATTTCACCCTTATAGTCAAATGGTCATATAAAGGCTGATTAACAGTTTGCTTACTTACCCTTTTCTTTTTAGGTCCAGGGCATTCCTCAATTGCCTCAAAGCAGTTTCCTTTATGCACATTATACTCACAAGCTAACCAAAAAAAAGCATTAACTTAGCCCTGATAAGCTGTAAGGGTAACAACGAGATTTCTCTGATGCTCTGATGGTATACACAACATTACTTAGGAATCAATTTTGCCAAAGCAAGGTTAACAAAATTTAAAGCAAACCGATTATACATGGTTCATAAATTGAGCTACTAATTTTATGGTACTTATCCCAAACTCGCAACAGAAGTGAAAATTGGAACTCTGTTTTTGTTACGTTACAAAGACCATTTTTAATTAACTACGACTGTAGCTTCTGATAATACTTCTATTATAATCATGATACAATGATTTTTTTTTTCACAACATGAGCAAATAAATTTTCAACAATTTTGTCAGCAGTTATGGTAGAAGGAAATGAAAGCAGCCAGCTAAGGATGGCTAACTACTCGGCAGTTTTGGCCAGCTACTGGCCCTCATTGACAGACCTGTCTTCTTCACAAGCATAAAACTCAACTGACTAAAACAACCTCCCTGGTATTATTTTCACTTAAGTTTTGAAAAATAACCAAACATACTTGAGCACTGGAAGCCTTGATCTCCAATGCCCCACAATAGGCCATTACAGTGGTTGCAGAAGGTTAGAATTGTGTAGTGTGTACTGACAAAATGGTGTCCTTTTATCTATAAAAAAACAAACAATATCCTGCAATCAGCCTACAACGTCAGATTGAAGAACATACTGCAGTTAACAAGAAACCCTGCCCAGATCATTTTCTAGTATATAGTTTTCCTAAACACTGTCTTTTCTGTTTCTTTGCATCTCATCACTACCACAGACATCAGGTACCTTTTTGCTTGCTTTAATCTTAAACAGTGCAGGTCTCTGTTCTTTTCTTGTGAAACTTGAATATCGCTCTAGGATATTTGTATTGTTTCCCTGTTGCTGGAAAAAGAAACACATGCAAAATATATATAAAATGTCAATCACCAATACTATTACTAATTTAAGTGAAGATATGATCGTTGCAGTGGTAATTGCAATTTAACCAATTGCAAATTAACCCCCCCCCAAAAAACACTAATGCAGAGGCCATGGGTTCGAATCCCGTTGAAGTCCCCCAATTTTTTTTTTCTGAATTAATTCGCAATTTTATTGCTTAAATTCCAATTACCACTGCGACAATCTTCATTTAAATTCCACAGTTCACATTATCTTCATTCCAATCCTATTACTGTTATTCAGAGGAAAAACAAAAATTGGTATGTTGTAATAACACTGAGTAGCTTTATTTCAAACAACTATTGTTTTCTTTTGTTTAATATTAAAAATAATATCCTTCACAATCACAGTTGTTGCCCCATGCTTGTTTGATGCATCACACCTATGACCCAATAGTGTCCTTTTTACACACCATCTCTTCCCTGCTACTTGACAATGGTGAGCAAAAAAATGATAACCTTACTGTTGTAAGGTGAGAAGCTCAATGGTAATTCTGACTGACCTTAAGAGTGAGTCCAACTTGCTTTAAAAATGTAGTTAGGGCAGATGCCATTGCAGTGCTGCCAAATAAAAAATGAAACATTGCTGACAACATGGCACATTACATTTTCAAAGGCTGCTGCCTAACGGGCACCAGGTCACAAGAGGCACCTATGACTTACCCTCACGCAACCAAAATTTCAAACTGGGAACCTTAGCGGGCCCCTAAAACTTATGATTCTCAGGCTAACTTCCAGTGAACAAACAACAAAATTGCCTGCTCATTCCACACTTTGGAAACGATGACGGAAAACGTTTAATCGTCAGCCATAAGCAAAAAAATATTACTGCCGATAAAAGGTAAACAAACAGCATTATGTCTTGAAATTTGCTTCTGTGACTTCCGCTGCAGAGCAGTTGAAAATGCTCATCTGAAAATGGCGTCACATGAATTTAATAGTCTTCAAATAATAAAATCATGACTTTTTCTTCAGTGTTAGAAGCATAGGTCACTACTGCATGAAGTAAAAACTGATAAAAAGTCACAATCCGTGGAAAAGTAAGCTGGTTTCAAATTACACGTGATGGCTATTAACTTTTGCAAGTTTGAGGCATTTTGTATCTTGCTACGAACATGAACAGTACACTCGGTTTTGCCTCATTACGCAAAGCTCCTTAACTTATCTAGGAAGATCAAAGGGTCTCTGCTCACAGGGTATAAATTGATTAACAACAACTTCTTCAAAGATAGATCTTTCCAGCGATACCTTGTTTTGGATATTCTGACCAATCCTGTCAGAGTTACACTCACAAGAAAGGTAACATTTTGAGGAAAAATCCACTGCCAATTTTGCTGTTTACATACTACTCTTTGAAGATTAAATTTGCCCCTTTCCTAAAAAGTTAGCCAGCTACAATTCCATGCAAAAGAGTGATGATAAAGTGGGCAACAAAAACAAGAAAGGCAAAGCAAAAGAAGAGAGCAAGAGAGAAAGATTGAAATAGGTTCGCAAAAAAGGTCCAAATCTTGACTTTTGCGCATGCGTGAAAAACAAACAGGCTGTTTAATTACATCAGATTAGTCGAAAACTATGCCTTTTGTGTTTGCAAAACTCATTTTTAGCCACTCTTATGCTAATTAGCCAAAAACTAGTCCAAAGAAGAGGAATTGGTGAACAATGCGGTTTTTTCGCTACTAACGGGCTGTCACCAAAGGGTTAATAAAGTTACCAATCTTTTTAATTGAGCTCTTAGAAATGCTGCTTGGGCTCCTAACTTTTTAGTTTAGGAGCCCGAAGCGCTCCCAAAAAATTTTTCTAGGCAGCAGCCTTGATTATCACGTCATAATGTCCTGGCTATGTTATTTAATGTAACAGTATGGGTGCATGGAAAAATGGAACGTAAGAGGCTCAAGTATTCTGTCATCTCAAGCTAAGTGAGCTAGAATCCATGTCTACACCTTTTTGGGAATCTAGAGAATTCTAATTTTAATCCAAGTAAACATTAAGAAGATAGGTTGCTATTTTTTATTTGGTTACTACCACCCAATCTTACTTTCTGTCAATCTGAGTAGCATCAGCTGTGGCATTAGAATCAAGTTCGGCCCTGGAAAGAAATTAAAAACATCATAAAAGGCTCTAAAGAAAAAACAATAAGTTTCAGTAGCAGATGAAAAAAGAATAGTCATATAAAACATAGTTGCCAAAATAGTCATTAGAACTCTTTGTTTAACAAGAAAAAAAACAAAGCAAAAGAGACTTTCGATAAAGTGATAAAAGATCAAAGGAACATGTAAGAGCTATTTAAAGTTGCACTAAAGGAAAACACTTTGATAACAATTTTCCTATGTTATGATTTAGAAAAATTAATAACTCCTTTTTTTTAGTTATCTTAGTAATTATTACTAAGATAACTCACTTCATTATAAAGAACAAAGTGACACTTTCACCCCCCGGGGATTTGGATTGTGCATTTAGTGAAGGTGTCAAAGAAATGCTTTTAATTAAGAACTTCACACCTTCACTACACGTGCAATGCTATTCGCTGCGGGCCAAAGTGCTTACTTAACCAGTATGTGATTTATTTCTTCTCATCTCTTGCATTTGTTCAATAAATTGTAATATTATTCACATCTCACTTGATAATGGAGTCATGAGGACCCTAAAAAGTCATGTTATAAATCTTTCATTTTTCTTCTTAAATGCTTGTTTTAAAAAAACTCTGCTTATAACAAGAGAATTCATGCCATGTTTTCAATTCACTTCGTGTTATGACTTCACAAAGGTCCGTATTTTGCCAAGTTGCTCACACAAGGCCAATAATATTGTGGGCTACATTGTTTGTACCCCTAAATGGGTTTTGAAATTCCCTGCTGGATGTCTCCACGTAGGTTTCAAGACAAAAAGTACGCAAGTGCTGGAAACCAATTTTGAAAATTTCAGTAGCTATTCCTTGACCTGTGAATAAAACATTAATTGACAATAAAACTAAGAAGATAATGAATAAGATGCTTTCTGGCAACTAGTAGCTTTGACACTCAAGTCATCAACACTCCTTTTTTTCAGGCACTTTGGCAACTGAACTTACATGATATTTTCCAAGTGCGGCATCAGGGTCTGTTCCACTACTTGCAGTTCCTTTCCCTTATCCATGTGATCATCTGTAAGACATGCAACCAGTTAAAACAAGAAGTTCATAAGAAGTTAAATTAAATTTAATGTAGTTAACAACTAGGGGTGCAGGCGCGTATTGTCGGGCAATGGTCAGTGCAGTGGTTCAAGCGCAGTCAGGTTTGGATCATCTCTATGTGCTTTGTACGGCATTTCCTGCCGGCCTCTCTCTTTATTTAGTCTTTGGATCACTCTTTTCCCTCCATCCCTTCCCCCTTTTTATTTTTACCCTGATAAATCACTGTGACAGGTGCCTGGTGCCATTGGCGTGAGAGCTCAATGGGTTTACCTGCCACAGGCATAACTCTGCCAAGGGGCTGGCTTTGCCGAAAGTGGAAGCCCCTGCCCATCTGCTCTACCAGACAATAATCTATGAGACAGTTACTATGGGAAAAGATCATCCACTCAGTTATATAAGGTTTCCAAAAAAGATAAGATAACTGTGACTACTACTCTTGCACTACAAAATCTTCTCTCCATGTTATTTCTTGACAATGTACTTACAATGTTAACAGTTACTTTAATAGTGGGAATTTGCTTCTTATTAGTACCTTGAAGCTGATGATCCCCAAACAAACTACCAAGACCAAGAGCTCGTTTATTCCTAAAATCTGCTAATAGTTCTCCTATTTCGTCTCCTGCAGCAGCCCTACAAAAATGAATATGGCCAGGGGAAAAAACAGTAAACATCATTGTGTATATTAGAAACTGCAGATTAAGAACCTCAATAAATATCATATAAAGGACCAATGAATTGACTATTATTCTTCATTCAAAATATTTCTAATTGCCTCAAATTCCCTGGCTAGTTCATCACAACCAGCTGGCTTTGACCAAAATTGGATGATGTCTGAGATATCTAGTAACATGACATCAATAGTTCCGGATAACAACAGAAAAAGGCAGAGCAGAAAGAGAGGCCCTGGGGACAAGGTTATGTTAGCTCCGCTTTTTTGACAGAACTGGAGAAAACGGCAGAAAATTTCACACGTTTTGCAAGGAATTAAAAAAATTAAACAAACCACTACAAAGAAAACAGCAAAAATACAACTCAATCGATGACAACCACTATTTGAAGAATATCTGCTAACTAAACATCCCTTTGAAGACTGAATTTGCTTAAGAACAGTCATATGAAGTCAGGAATTTAACATTGATCAAGGTAACCATGTTTTAGGTTGTTTTTACTCAGCCTCATCAAATAATTGTAAATCTTCAAATGGAACTACTTTAGAAAACCTAGTTCAGAAAATAGCTTTAGAAGCTTCAAACAATGGTTTTGGATAGTTGATCTAATGAGTCTAGTTAATCCACGGTGCAGCTGATGATGAAGCTCACAAAATTAATTCCAAAATTATATGTACCAGCAGAGAAATTGGAATAATGTAAAAAGATAATAATCATTTGTACCTGGCTTGCTGAAATAAGTTCTTAAGATTTTCTTCAGAACCCAAGCAGCTCTCTGAAAAAAGGAATCCACATTATAGAACATTCAAATAAGGAATAAACAATATTATATTACTTTTATTAACAAGTTAAGCATGGTAAATTTCGCCTGCCTGATGTTGTTAAAAAACTGTAATCACCAGTCACAATAAAGTGACAAGACAATGATGTTGGCTGATCAAAAAATGTGTTTTATCTCTTTCAATAGGCCTTTTGCATTAGTTGATCAAGTGAGCAACTTTTAGTAAACACCAAAACAGTTCGCTCTTGAAAAATTTTGTTAGCACGAGTTAAAAGAGCATTTTAAATTTAGGTATCCTGTAAATTTTCAGCCATATATCTCAAAAGTAGTGATTGCAACAGCCACTGAAAATTAGAAGGATTTGTATGAGAAAAGCAGCTCTTGCCACCCAGTCACACTCAAGTGGTTTTCCGTGCAATTCCTTGTAACTTCTGGAATCTTTAAACTGTCGTTAAATCTTTCCCTTACGCATTTAAGGGTTCAAACTGCCATTATGAATATTAGGAGATTTGATTCCTGTAATGCTTAAGGAAACACTTCACAATAATTTGAAAATTTCAAAATTTATAAGGATTTGTATAGAAAACCATTCAAGTGTGACTGCGTGGCAAAAGTTGTTTTTACAAATCCTTCTAATTTTCAGCGGCCATTGCAACTGCTACTTTTGAGATATACAGCTGAAAATTTACAGGTTACCTAATTTTAATATGCTCTTTCAGCTCAAGCTAACAAAATTTTTCAAAAGCACACTTTTTTTGTGTTTAACAAAAGTTGATCATGCGATCAACTAATGCAAAAGGCCTATCTATGTGGCAGTCTTAAACAGTTTCTTAGACTTTCGTTAAATTAATGCTACACCAATAGACCACTCATATTTACCTACCAATTGGCTGTACAATGGTCTCTTTATCCATGTCAACTTTCAGAGGCTGATAATAAAAGAGAGAGAGACAGGTATCATAAATCAGGTAAATGCGATGAGGACCTTCAAAGAGGATGTGTATGCTCTTTCCAGTATACACAGCTACTGGTTGTTGCAGACATAAATTAACAAAAAATATATAATAACATTATTATTATACTCAAACAAAAATGGACAGGTAATGACATGGCTCACAATTCAACCAGAATTTAAGGGAAATGGAGAAAGAAAAATTCTCAATAAAAAAGAGATACATGTGAAAAGGGCCTAAAATAATTAAAGTAATTTTCAGTAATTTGTTAACTCAACTTGATTGATTAAAAGCCTCAGAAAGGGAGTGATTCAACAGGGTATACGAGCAAATCTACTATACATGGACTCACAGAAGTATAAAGGATGTTTCAAAATTGATATTCATACTGGAAATAAAAAAAAGTATCTAATTATCGCTGTGTAGAAGTCATGGGTTATTTTGGCAGCAATATTTGTGAGGTAGAGTAACTTGAATTAAGACTGTAACACATACTGCGCGCTCTGCAAGAAATGTGGAGTAGATCTCATAGGACCATTTCTTCATCTCCTTTGGTGTTCCTTCTCTGTAGGAATCTGTAACCAGCCAAAAAAACTGCAAGAAAAAATTTAACTATCTGGTGAGAAAGGACATGGATATGAAATTTACAAGACACAAACCCAGATCCCAGGGACTCTTGAAGTTATGCCCTGTAAGAGTTAAACTGAAGAAGTTGAAGAAAGACACACTACACATAAAATACTAGAAATAAGTGAATTGCAGAGCCTCGCAAAACTGCGCTAAGGGCCAGTAGGTAGGTAAGAAGGAAGAAAGACAGTTCTTTTTTTTCCTTCTTAAAAACAAAACAAACCACCAGAAAAAAGAAAGAAAAAAGAAAAGGGTATTCAAAGAGGAATCAGACACCATATATCCTGTTCAGTACGACCTGTCCTTACAACTACACTACTGAGGATGATCATACATGATTTAAAGCCTTTTCCATAGCACTTCTGCTGGCAAACGCTGCTCAAAGTTGATGGAGCCATATTAAACACAAATTCAAAGATATATTGGAGGAAAATATCAAGGCTATTGACAGTAAAATTTAATAACGCATTTAAACCAATGGTTCTGATATTCTGTGACTTTGCATAATTGACCTCAAATCGCAACTTTTCGCAGAATTCGTGAAAAATCCCATAATTCGTATAAAAAAAATTGCACAATTTGAGAAAACTAAAATGAAATATTTGCTTTCATTTAAGGTTCTTTGCAATAAATTGAAACAATGTTTCAAGCAGAGCTTCCGATTTTGTGCAATGGTGCAATCACATTTGGCCTCAAATCGCATCTGATCGCACAATTAGAGGAAAATCTAATTATTTGTAAAAATAAAAGAAGTTTAATTCAAGTAAAGTAAAGGATAAATTCTAACTTTCATTAAACATTTTCCCAATTTTAATGTTATTTAAGGTGATTTATCACTAAAGAAAGCCTTGCAATACATCTGAAACCTTCGACTGTGGTACCTTTGGGCAGCCATTTTGATTTCAGAGACAGGCAGCGTGGTCAGCAGTGTAACTGCATCATGTAATATTTAACAAGTGTCCTTTTTCTTTCTTTCTATTTGTTTTCTTTTCCGAGCGGGGACAATTGGACTAATTTAACAATTTTTTTCCGTGCATGCCCGAACTTCACAAGCAAACAGTTTGCATCTGGGTCAGAAGGCTGTGAAATGTATGACCAGTAAACAGTTTTGTGGTAAGTTTTAGCTCCTTATAGCACGACTGTGACCACAAAACCACTCGACTAGCTTCAAAACGCGTTTTTTGGCAAAATCTCCAGGAGCAAATGGGTTAAACAACATTAAAAATCGCACAATTTATCACATAATAGTCCTATCTTGTTGTACAATCTGGTCCAAATCACATCTATTTTCTCTAAAGGTACTTCTAAGTTCAAAATTTATCGCTAAAAGCATTTCCTCACCTCTTAAATGGCCACTAAAACAACCGGGTCAGGTTCTGGTGGTTTTGTTTACATGCTACCTTGTTGCTAGGTAACTGCATTTGCCCAAACCAATTGAAAGAGATATTTATGACCAAAGCAAGATCAAGCTTTGCTTGACGATCCTTATGTGTATTGGGCACGCTACGCACACAACCAATTTACAGATCTTCGCTCTTTTTTTTTTCGTAAGGAATAAAATATTGACAATAATGGCAGTCATTTAAATCTAAGCACGACATGTATTTACAAGAAAACATTAAAAGTCTGAAAGATTGAAGTATTTTTTGTTTTTTTTTTGTCCTCTGACAAGTGAAGGAACTGCAATTTCTGCATCAGATAACCCCCTGGTTGCTGAGAACCTGTGCTGATGGAAATACCCTCTTTACTAAGATCTGGTCCTCAAGAGATGTCACAGGGCATTAAATTTAGTCCTGTAGATACTGAATCATAAAGGAACTGACATGTCACAGACGTTTAGTGTATTTCGTTTAAGTTTTGTCAATATCACTTGCTATGACAACTTGCCATGAAGAAATTTCTTCTGGATGGATCACAGCTTTGTGACGGACTATGTCTTCCAAGAGAGTGAGAGTAGACAACGATAATAAGTCTTGAAAAACTACTGGGCTGAAAAGTTTTCAAACACCCTAATTTATTGCAACGCATTTTAATCTTCAAATAACTTTGCCCATCCACACCTTCTACTATACTTCCTTTGTTATTTTTATGTTCCTTCACTGATTGAAGCAGTTATTTTTAAGTTTCACTCCATTATTTGTTGGCCAGTACCTAAAGGCTAGGTTTGGCTAAACTGCATGATACAGGTCCTATGCGTATTAAACTGAGGACCACAGAACACTTACCAGACTACTTGGATCACTGTTAGATATAAGATAATGTAGAAACACAGCAAGATGAGCTGAAACATAAGCAAACGCATTAAATACAAAATCAAGGATGAATAGTTTCCACCATCTTACCAAGAATAGAAATTACGGTATTTCAAACCTCAAGACCAGCTAAATATTACTTAACTTAAGTTTATTACCTGGTTTATTCTTTAGCATGTCCAAACTATTAAAAGGACCATGGTCATCTATCTGTGGATCAAAACATACCATAAAAAATTGCTATGGGTGTTTATTAGGTAAGATTAGAAATGATCCAAACTCTCAACGTACAGAGAACACAAACACATAGAGGCACTTACGGTACATGTATTCATGACAAGAAAAACCTGAGTATATATGCTGTCAACCTTTGTCATATAATTTCTTGTTTCTTTAATTTTAGGTGTCTCTTGTTAGTTTATCTAAAACAGAAAGGAAGTATGCCTGGTGCATACAGCTGTTACAATAATAACGATTTCACTGCCTTGTACCTTCTCATCATCAGAAGCAAAATCATCGTCTTCCATTGAGATAATTGAATTAATTGACTGTCCGTGATGCATGACACCTGATTTGTTAGTCTCAGCATAACCTGACTGTGTATCATCATCTGCATCCATAAAGTTCTCTGGAGTATCACTTCGAATTCTCTTTTCCATTGGTTCTGACAGTGTTGGTGTGGCTGGAGGAGAACTGGTGTTGATGTTACTTCCACCTTTACCCCTCAAGTCATCTATTTGTACTGCTTTATTTTCATGGCTATATGGAACCCATGCCCGTGGAAGAGATGAGGTCTACACAACAAACATGAAAAAATGAATGCATTATACTACTAAACACAATACTAACACTATGGATATAGATGTTTCTAGATGCAGCGCTCAGTGGTGTCATCCAAAAGAACCTATGTGTAAATCTATGGCTTTACCTCTGGACTTCAAGAATCCAGCATGATTAGTCTGGGCATTAAGTCATTTTTGTAATGTATGTTCAATAAAAAAAGGCAGTCTAATACCAGCTTACCTTTGCTAAAACCGAGGTGATTTATACTGGACTACTGAAAGTAGTATCAAATAGTTCATTAAAATAACATTTTTTTTTTCACATCACAGGAATACTTTTATTTTCCTTTTATTTGATATTTGAAACTTCATATATACTTACTTGACTCCCTGAAAAAGCACCAGAAAACAATTCAAGCTTTGTTTTAAGTCATAGGTATTTACCAGTGAGTTTTTCTGTGTTTTGCCGTAGTGAATAGCCCGTGGTATGGCTGATGTATCATCAAAGCTCTTTTTCTTGACATTATCTCTTGCAGAAAATCCTCTCTCTGAAGAGTTGTTTCCATTCATCATGGGAAATAAAGCATCTGGACTGGATCTCTGTCTTACATGAACTGGACCCTCAGGTAGCTGTAGAGCAAAAAGTTCATATCAAGCACTGTCTCCATCAACCACACTTCACATGTCTAATTTTTGGGTGGAACAATGACATGTTTTGCTGCCAAACATTTGAAGGTTGAAAAGCATTAGATGAACGTTCATGTGCAAAGTAGGCAGCTGTTTGGGAGCTTGAAGTATATGACCTGATTTGTATGCACTCAAAAAAATAATCATTATAATTACATCACATTTTACACCCGTTGATCTTGGTATTTCAAGCAATCTGATTAGTTCACTATAATAATCTAAAACTAACATCTACTATAACTAATGAGGCAGTGTTTTTCCTACAAGTGAATAAAACTACAGGCCTACATAAGCAAGGAATAACTCATTTATTTTTCCTTATGATGACCTAAACTATTATTCTCCAGTTTGCCAACGCCAACGTGATCTGACTACAAAGACTGCGCATTGTTAGTTGCATTCACAGAACTAACGCTACCTGTAGAATTGATTGCATAACTACAAATCTGAATGTTAAGTTAGCTAAGCACAGAAATTCAGTCCCAACTTGTCAAAATATCAGAGTAAAACAGGTCTCAAAACTAAAATCTCACATTGGTAAGCCTTGTACAACGAGGGAAGGTGTAAAACAAATGAAAGATGTCAACGAATGTGTGAACAGTCCGCCATGTTTGGTCACACTTGTGCTTCGAAACATTTGCCTAGTTACTAAACAGGGACAAACATAACACAAACTGATGTGGTTTGTTTTGATTGAAAGACAATTTATGTGATCATTTCAAGTATAATGCGATGAAGACATGAAGAAAAACTGATAGCAGCAAAAAACCCAAACAGCAATTGTACGTTTTCCTAGAGGTCACATTCTTTCCCAAATTGTTAAGTTTTAGATTAGTTTAAATTCTTGTAACGAACAGCTTATAACCAGGTGTTTTGGACTTATCTTTTGTTCTTGGTTATACTGATTCTACAAGTTTCAAGTTTAGGGTCTTGGCTTATAGCCAAGATCTGTTTATAGCCAAATAAATACGGCAGTAAAAGTGACACATTCGTGCTTGCATTTTTCAACACTATGATTTTCAATGTTTAATACTTCTAACAATTAAAAATTATTCATTACTAGTAAAATTCAATCAACACATGAAGCAATATTACGAATAGATAGAAAAAGCAAAAAAATAATTTGGCTAAACCAATTCAAGAATTATCGTAAGTCAAAAAAGAGCATGTTGTTTGAAGACCATTCCTCATGAAAACAAACACCTTATGTTTTTCAAATATCCCAGTATAATATCCTATTTAACCTTTTTATCAAGCCCTAAGAACAATCAGTAACAAATTCCTCCTTGTCATAACAACACTTTACAAAACAGAGTAAACAAATGGGACATACATGAAGCAGGTATTGAACCCAGTCCCTTCAGCTGCGAAGGTTACGCATTAGTACATACATGAGAACAATAGAAATGACCTTACATTCACTCGTTCATTCTTTCTTATGCAGACAACAGCATGGAGCATTACTGGCTATAAGCCAGTAAGCTCAAAATAAGTCACACAAACATTTAAATATCCAAAAAGGCAAGTTGACAAACAGTTTAAGAGTTTATCAGCAGAAAAAAGAATAACTCCAAGGAAAGCGTTATCACAGCTTGCACAAAAACTATGATGATTTTTGTTTCTTATTAGGATCAAATAGAGCTAATTCACTTAAACTTGAATTCTCAAAGAGTTAAGTTTAATAATGCACCAAAATTGAGCCATTCTAAAATAGGGCATGTAAACCCAAAAATACAAGTTTATCCCCTTATATGTAAAAAAGTATTCTAAAAACGATTTTGCTATTATTTTCTGCCAATTCGATGTTCCTAAGGCGAAAAAACGGCGTTTTCTACGGCAGATTAACTTCCAGTTAACAACATGAAATTACCTGTGACGTAACGAGTGGAACCAGTCTATTGTGCAACTTGATTATCCCTATGGCGACTCGATCGAGCGATAAGGGAGTTCAAATACAAAGTGCGACAAATCTCATTTGAACAAATATAATAATACAACTAATAGGTACTTAAATTATATAGTGCTGTATTTCCTTTCATTTATTTTATTTTATTAATTTTTAGGATAAAATTACTTCAATTAAATATTTATTTTCTTCTATCTCGGAGATATTAGCTTTGAGAGCTACACTGTAAATCTGAGGATAAATAAAGGCACTGCACGTATGACTTGTTACCTCAATCCTAATGCTTCTAAACTGTCCCTGAGTCAACAATCTTTTATACAGTATTAGAAAAGATAAGAAATTCTTTTTCTTATTAAGCTCAGTTACATTTAATAATGGATCAACAGCATCTCCTTCTGAAAGAAGCCAACAAAATCTTGCTGAGAAGCGGACAAGCTCTCCACCTGACGGTTATTATACACAACCAACACGTACAAGTAAGAATGACTAAATCAATGGCCAAGAGCTACCATCAAATGGCTTATAAATTGGGAAGCAGTTAAAGATTAATTATTGATAAGTATAAAATTTATAAGGGGGAAATTAGCATTATACTTACAGATAACTTCTTATGCCTTTTTTTGCTGGGGCTAGTGATTGAACCTACACCACTTAGCTGCTATAGATTAATGCACAAGTTTGATTAGCAAAATTAATGTCAGAAAGCTGCACAAAAACGCTGATTAGCAAAGTCTAAGCATAATATTTTAAGTCAACGCTGCCCTGTGAACTGAACCATGGAGAAACCTCAGTGCTTACAGCTTAATAAAGATTACGATGGGGACTATGAATGATAATTCAACTACAACTCAAGTACAAGTAAAATAGGACACACTCTTGTTTTCACACAAGAATTGTCCCAAATTACTGCTTATCTTGTTAGCTCAGATGCCTGTTTTACAAGTTAGGGTAAATGGTGATAAGTTGAATGATGTTCTCAATTTCACCATGGCATTACAAACAGAAAGGTAAACAAAACAGCACCTTTACAAAGATGTTGATTCGAAAAGGTCTCTGTTGCTGATTTTTATATAGGTGAAATAATACCAGTAAGTCCAGTATTCATGGTTTTTTTATTGCCATTACAAAACTGAGCAATACTATCAAATCACACAGAAAAAACAAAAAGCAACAACAACACTGACATGTCCCTCAATCACCCAATAACAAACAGGTCCTTGAATTTAAAGGCTGAAATATCATAACCTAAACCATAATATGTTTCATTTATCTAAGTAGGACAAACACATTATTGCCAAAATTATGACAGGTTTATGGGTTTGAAATAAGCAAAGTGATATTTCACTTACCACAAGCTGATCATTTGTGGGACGGGGCTTCCTTTCTGGTGGCACAGGTGGAGAGGATGGTCTCTGTGGTGAGAACTTGTCTGTGTCATCTACAGTGATAGGTGTCTGAAGGTAGTTGTCATACAGGGCATTTGGATCTTGATTCAGAGGCTGACTTATCCCATCATCAGTCGAAAGTGATTGACACCTGCTTGGAATTCGGCTTGGGGCCTGCCAAACTGTGGGAGGGGCAGTTTTACCAGGGGGTGCTGAGAATGGCCCATTGTTAGAGAGTGGTGGCTGCAAAAAAGACAAGTGTTGGTGGAAATTTGAAGAAGGCAGTACATGTGACCAGGCAGATGATTTTGTACACTAGCAATTTACCATAGGCAAAATTTGTTTACTATCCACATTCGCCATTTTCACATAGACCACAAAGCACCTTATTCACCCCCCAAAATCTTGCACAACCATTGTCTTTGAATGCTCTTGGGACAACTGTAATACCCAAGAGAAACTGGAAACAATGGTTAAGCAAAATTTGAGGTGGGGGGGGGACAAGGTGCATTATCACCATTTTTATCAGTTTTTTTGGTAAAGCACTTAACAAAGGTTGGCCACTTACTACTAATAGAGGATCATCTAATCAGTGTTCCCCTTATCAGGAGGTAACCGGTAAAATTTACCGCCTACAGCCGCTTGAAGGTTTACTAAAATTAACTATGTAGTTTTAAAAAATAAGCAAGTCATGATCCAATCTGATTCTAACACCGAAATGAATGATAATTAGCTTTCCTTTTTCTGGGCCACACATTTTGGAAAGAGAACATTAACGACAGAGTAAAATTATTGGAATTAAATGTTTTAAACTGTTTGCGTAAAATAGGTCTTAAAATGAGGGAATGATGTTTCAGAGAACTTAGCCCCTAAATTTCCCAGCGAGAGCAGGGTCATGTCCCTCACTCCACTACCCCTCTCCCACTACACCCGCTCCCCCACCAAGAAAACTGCCCCTCTGGCACATATTTTTTGCCTTACCGGCTACGAATGGTCCCTTACCTGCTGAGCACAATACCACAATATCAGGTTAGATAATGTCTGAACATTAAAGATGCAACTTCTTTACTTCATAAAAGATTAAACATTCTATACTCGCTGCTCCACCACACACTGACATTAATAATTGTCACCACACAAACTTATTAACTGAATGTACAGAAATGAAACTGATTCTGTTGTTACCTGAGATTGAAGTAAAGCACTAAGTTCTGCCTCAAAGGCTTTGATTCGAGTTGTTGATTCTGCAAACTGAATTGGATATGTGCCATAAATACAATGTAAGGAATAAGAACCAAAAGATAGAGCTTCCTTCAGTACTGGTTTCCTTTGTGGTAGGGTAGAACCCTGCCGACACCGTGTTTACATGCATATGACCAAGCTGCTATTACAGCAACTTTTATTTGACCTGAACATCAAGTCCAGTGGTTTCCTCATCCTAAAGACTCAAACATCACATGGTTGTTATGACCAACCATCATCCTACAATTTCAGGTTGCCCAAAGGCAACTTTCAAAATAGTTGAGCTTGGAGCACTGAATTATAATATAGACTAGTTATAGGAATAAGTTACATAGCTAAAAGTTGTAGTATTGAATATCATAATGTGATGCTGTCCCATTTCAGGGTCATAATAATGGAGCTCCATGTACAGTGGTACATGTATACCATACACCAAACTACTATTGTTACCAGACACAAAAATCAGCATTGAATATTTTGTAACAAATACAGAGTGGAGTACCTCTTTCTGAAGCTTTTCTGATGGCCTTTTCATATATTCTTCCCTTGTTTTCTAAAAGGTAATCATTGCATATGTAGAGCCAGTGCTAAATGCAGCCTACATTTAAGGCAGCACCTACTCAGGCAAACATTGTACATATACTGCTTGACCTTACACCGTATGTTTATTAAGAACTAATCCTTAAGCCACTAAGATCTAAATCTGGCTAGCTAACAAATCAACAGGTAGCCAAGTCAAGTGTCATGTCTCAATAGAAATTTTGAAAAATTTTATAAATAATTATTGGATGCGGCTTTTGAAATGTCCAGAATAATCAATGAGGTCAAGTTAAGTTTCATCACTGCAGCCAAAGGACCTAGACAATGATGATTCCGGATATCACAAAAACCAAATCTATGTATAATTTTATTACGTAAAATTTTACTATACATTGTTTTGATGAAAATAATGACAAATACACCATCGCACAGTTTGAGAATAAGACACTGCAATCAAAACCTACAGATTAGTTAGTAATCAGTTCAGACAATCCGGCAATCAATCTCCAGGTTTATCAGACAATGAATTAAAGCCATATGTAAACAATGCATTCCAAACATTCCGCATGTATACATTACAAACGTTTGTCGGTCTTTTTGCGTGCAGTCGCACAAATCAACAGTGGAAGGAAATACTGTGCGTAATAAAAAGAATGTTGGATTCTTGTAGCTGTGCACGAGCAGGACTTGGGATATCATTATTTTGGCAGACCATCCTTTGGTTGAGAGTTGAAGGCAACTTGAGAATGAAGAGAAAAAGTTCCACATCACTCATTTTTAATTTTTGATTTGTTTGTATTGAAACCACCTAAATAACTGAGGCTCTCTAGTAATTGAAAAAGTCTAGTACCATCCGTCACACGGTCCTGTCACACAACGCTTCACCGCGTATTCAAATTGCTGGTGGGTCAAATTTCAGGTCAAATTTGAACGGATAAGTAAGCTGTTTGCCCGTTTGTGTTAGCCATTCGAAAACCTTAATAACCCATTCAGTCGTTCGATGAACCCGTTCGAACTGGTGAGTGAGCCATTTGCTTGTTTGTGTTAGCCGTTCGGAAAACTTAACAACCCGTTCAGCCATTCAATGAACCCATTCAAACAGGTGAATGAGCCGTTTGCAACTAGTTTCGAAAGCTGGGCGTTTCCCCCGTTTATCGGGAAGCTGTTAGGAATGTTTTCCCGTGAGAGGTCACATATTAGCAAGGCTTCTCATTAAGTGCCGGCAACTGGATAAAAAACTGGCTACTTTAAATTCTGCCTACCTTTTGGGGGAAAATGGTAAGGTGACTGAGTGAAAGCTTGAAATTGCCTTCAGCTGCCTATTTTTTCATGTTGACTGTCTACTTTCAAACTTAATGGCCCATTGACTGGTGGCTTTAGGTTCTAACAAGTCCTGCGCAAGATGACTACTGTGGACCGCAAGCACTAGTTCACATCATCATCTTCAGTAACAGTTCATATATCTCTAGGTTTATACGGAATTCACCTTATAAAACTGTCTTTCTTGATCTAACACTCGCTGAATAGTTATTGTTCTCTCATCTCTGACAGGATCTCTGGGCATCTAATTGAAATAAATAACAAAATAAATGAATTAACATAACAAGTACCAAACAAAGGGTATTGATTACAGATGCCTGTATAGTTACAGTTTGTGACAGTTACATGTAGGAATTTATCATACTCCAACTAAAAAACTAATGAACGCAAGTTTTCCAGTATCCATCCTTCATCCGTCCAGGTCCATCCAAGGATTCATGGATTCATTTTCACGTATCTCAAAGAATAAGGTTGAAGAGACAATTTGACTCTTAAAAAGATAAAAGCAACTTACAGTTGCAGGTGGTGATGCAGATCCTTGCCTCTCTGCTGCAAACAAAAGGAAAATGTTACAGGGCTGTCACTAACGGCTGAGGCCCAATGATTTCTTCCACCTACTATGAGTATAACCCCCATCTACTTTCATGGAAAACAAACGCAAAATATGGTATGGGGGCTTCGCTTTCATTAAGGCTTTTATTTTCAAGCATCCTGTCAACCAATTGACCAAAAAGTATTTTAAACACCTCAAAACAAAGAATTTTACGAATGAAGGCTGAATCGACCGGCCGTTAGTGCAATCCAGTGACGTCACTAACTACCCGAAAACCGGGTAGTCATTGTGATTGGTTGATTGTCTAAACATTCACATAATTATGTATAATTATGAAAAATTTTAGTGGGATTATCGCTTGATGTTCAGCAGATTGCATCCCTGGCATTCTTTCGTGCAGTTCAAACATTTCGATAAGCTTAATCTTTATCTTAAACAGCAAAACTGCCCTTGTCTTCGGCACTGCAATGCTAAATTAAACTGCAAATCATTGCAGAGAGTCGGTAGGTTTTTCATTTGGAGCCGCTTTGTGGTTTCAGTGGCGGTGATTTTGTTTACACGAAGTTTTCTGAGATTAATATTATGATTTGACCTTCTTGCTATTTTTACCATCAAGTGTAACGATTCTGTTAGATTTTTTTTTCTTGTTTCCTTGTTTTTTTCTTCGTTAAGGACCAAATAGCTTCTTTTCAATTAAAGCAAATCATTGTGTTTTTGAACTAAATGTTCCATGTGTGTGTTTATTTCATTGCGTGATTTCGACCGAGTTTGATCATAGAATTCAGTACAACCGGTTCAGAGTTGTACTGCATGCAGTTGATAGTTTGAACGTTAAACATGAACTATGATCGAAAAAATAAAGCAATTCTGTATCATGCAGACATTTCCAAACGATATTTCTCAGTTTGCCACTTGAAAATCGTGTTTTACTTTTTGCATGAATTAAAGCAAAGGTCAAGGAGTAGTGACGTCACTGGACGGCATTAACGGCCCGTCGGTTCAGATTTTACTGAGGGAGTAATAACAACTCGAAGTAATCGGATGAAATTCAGACTACTGCCGCTAGGGTCAGTTTAGTAAAACAAGTCACGGAAATTGTGAACTTTTCCTGCTGGTCGAGAAAGTCCAGAATTGAGACAGAAGCCCATGAAAACATTGTCAGCCTGCAGTGCTTTGAAAGGAATAGCTGTGTATACTTTTTCTTTTCCATATTTACTTCCTTTTCTTGTGCGGATCGGCTTGGATCACAACTTGAGTATTTTATGAAACAACTTATTCGATTTTAGTAACACTTCAAGCGGTTGCAGGCGGTAAGAAGTGTTCCTTCAAGCAGAAAAGTTTACCGGTTACTGCCTGATAAGGAGAACACTGACCTAGCAATCTTAGTGACAGCCCTGTGTTACAAAGAAAACCACTTATCCATTGAGGTAGAGTTACACAGTGCTCAAATAAATATTGAAAAGGAATATGTGAAAACTGCAGGAATTTTGATTAGTAAATTCCATCACCCACATTCACATGGTTATAGGAAAAACAAGAAGAGATCAAAATGATCTGTACAAAAAAATTAACAATCATTTCAATTTTCTTTAAGTAACACAATCATCTGTCCCAAAACAGTGTTCAAAGAAATATAACTGAAAATAATAACAAAAAAATATGTTCCTACACATGAGATCCACACCAAAACTAATCAGCAGTGGTTATATAACAGGAGAGGTGCATGTACTGTCATGACTGCTTAATGCCATAGTCCAATTATTATTATTATTATTTTTTTACATTAGCTTGGTAGTCATCACTCATCCACAAAAATCTATTCCTGACAAATCAAATACACAAACTACTTTTAAATGTCTATAAACTACCTTGAACATGGGCTGGTGCTTTTCCTAGAAGAGTCAGGGCAACATAAGATCCAGCTAAAATAAAATAAATACAAACATCAGCCTTATGATCAAAAAAGGATGCCAGCACTGCAGAGGGTGTCCAATATACACTTGTATCCGCACTACAATGGTCTGTAAATAAGTCACGTTACAATCCATACAGATCGTACAGATCACAAAACTTGCACAAGGTTTGTAAAGAGATGTTTATGGTCGGTAATTGCATCTCATTAGTGGGATATTTTCATGGTGTGAGAGGGTACGATACGTCAACTGCTCATAGGTCGGTAACAGTGCAGCAGTAACTGTTGCATCAGCCAATTGTAAATAAACTTTAACTTAGAAAACAAAAAAGATAATGTTTCTAGTCAAAGAGCTTTGGAAAGCATTTCACAACCAAATGATATGGTTAAAATTATGTAATAAACATTAACTTTCTTGAACTCAAGAAAAGTTGTGGCGTAATAAAAAAAGGAACATGTAAATGTCAACCGAGGTAGAGCATAGAGCATGTACTGGATCAGGGTTATAGAAGATCATTCTGAGATTAACTTCAAAAGGAGTGCCTGTGCATCTTCACTACAAATCACTTATCATTCGCACTATTTACAAAAGAACAATGACCATCAACTAACTGAGTTCAAGATGCAATGGATAAGGCTCTAAATGACTTCTGATCTTATAATATGTATGTCAATTGTTTACTTTCATTCACAAGGCAGCAAAATAGTATTATACCAAGCAAATTAAGAAGAATTGCCCACTACATGTACAATTCTATTACAGTTTCCCAGTTGCATATAATAAATATATTATAATAGTTCAGTTTTTTTTACCCTCACACAATGTGTAATTATCATTTTTCTCAAGAAAATAATTGCATATCACGAGACAAGACTACAACTCCAGAGAGTCAATTATATTTCTCAAATACATACTCAGTAAAAGAAGCACTGAAATTTTATTGGGACAACACGACTGGGAATTTACTTACCTTTAATTAGGTTCACAACTTCAATATGATTGTAGTGCGTCACAAGAGTTCCATTAACCTAAAAAGAAGTTATGGTTGTGTCAACAAAAAAAAGTGATTCTTTCTTAACATAAGAGGCAATTTTGCTACCCATACATCCTGCATCCCTAACATAAGATGCAAATAATATGAATGATGTCACAATTCCGAGCAAGTTTGAATAAAGTATCTTCCTTATTCAAGATTCGATATTCAATTTCTAGGCGCAATTTAAACTTTTTTCTTTTTTTTTCAACTGAGATTGTTTTTAGTGTGGAAACTGTCAATCATATAAGTAGGGTGACTTTCCCAGAATATTTTACTAAGGTAAAATGAAACCCAGGAAAACCTCAGGAAATACTTGGTGTTGTTAGTTTCAGTACACTGCAATACATCTATACTAAAGTAAGGGCAACAAGCAAAATTGCAACAACCACCACAGCACTTCACTCCTTTTCACTGCAGGCAAAATACTTGCCAGAGGTTTCCTTAACAGGATCATTCTCCACCTTGAGGATACTATAGAGCCTCTGTATGAGTTCCTGTGGACCCATTTTCCATCAAATCATCAGTTTTTCAGGTGAAATGTCACATATCAAGAATCGTTTTGCAGAGCAAAGCTGCTAGCAAGCTCCATGCAACCACAACATTGACAGAAATGAGAATGGACAAGGACAACAGGAACGCTACAAAAACACTCTCAAGGCCAATTAAAAAATGGGATTTGGAGGCAGTGAACAGAGTTCAATGGAAAAACTCATAACTATTACCAAGCCATCCTCAACTTTCAATAAGCAAGGATTACCACCCTGAAGAAGAAAGAGCATGGCACAAAGCCACAACTCTCCAGGTTTTCCATGTTTTCCAGGTCTTCAATTACTAATAAAAGCCATAATACAGAGCCATTATTCCAAAAACAGACAATATTTTGCTTTATGAATAAACCATAACTTTTGCTTTACGAAAAAAGAATTTCTTAAAAAACTTATTTTGATTTATGAATAAAATTCATCAATACTTTAACATAAAAACAAATGAGAATTTCATACCAAAAAAAGGACCACACTGACAAGTACTTGTAAAGTCATGTTAAGTCAAACAACAAAAAAATGTTTCAAAAGTGTACCTTGATAATCTTATCCCCAACTTGTACACCAGTACGGTAAGCTGCTCCACCTGGCAGAAAGTGATTTATCAGGTGTTCAAAACATTGATGATAAGCATCCAACTCAGTGACACTATGTGTTTACTTCAGTAATTTAATATATAAATTTTATAAGTACAGTAGCATCCCCATTTTTTGAACCCTCGGTTTTTCAAAATTCGTAATAATTTAACCCAAATCTACAGCTGTAACTTCCCTTTAGCAGTTAAGTACTGCAATTTTACCCATGATTTTTCAAACCTCCCAATAATTTGAACCAATTTGCTTTGAAGGTGGTTCATAAAATGGGGATTCCAGTCTCTGGGATTCCAATGTAAAAGCAAAACCAACAGATAAGAAAACTTTTTACACACACTGTAACTTCTACAAATCACCAAGTCTGATTCAATATATGTTACAGGTCAAAATTAAATTCAGGTGAAAATTTTTTAACCTACATGAAGGTTGATTCTTTATTTCCTTTGGATAATTAAAGCAATCAAACAGCAACAAATGTGTGCGTAAAATGGAGATAGAGAATTTAATAAGTTTACAATGTACCATGCAAGTGAACAAAGAGTAACAGTGGGCACCACACAACTACTCGAAGATTTAGCATCAGGTAAATTCACCGTCAGAAAGGATCGACTTTGGGATGATTCATAGAAATGCATAAAATTCTTGCAAGATGCTCTCACAGAAAACCCATCCCCCAGTTTTAAACAAAATTCAAGAGGGAAAAGGTGAAGGTTATCTGCCAGTGTTAACAGAACATTTTCCTACAGTCAAGTAACTTTTCAATCTGAAATTCATGATTTTTCTTCCAAGGCCTTCTGTTAGATTGCTTTGTGTGTGCGTGTGTGTGTGCAAAAAAAAACTCTCTCCTCACAAAAAAAAGAATAAACATCATGCAAACCTTCTTTCACAGACTGCACATAAACTGGATTGTCCCCTGTAACGGTCAGGCCATAACCTTTCTCATCACGTTGAATGATGACACAGTGTTGGATCAAGTGTTGGCCTAAACACAACAAAATAATTACCACCCAGTCATCACTTTTCAGCTGTAATATTTTTATAAATGCAGAGAGGATCATCACATGATTAACACATGATCTTCTCGGCATTTATCTCTTCGTCCTGCAGTTCTAATACTTGTAAAAGTATATGAACTTCATATATTCATCATCTCGTTATTTTTTAAATTATCATGGAAGGGATTCCTTGCAAGAAGATTAAAATTATTCCACAAATGCATGTTGGATATCAGATGGTAGATAGCCAAGAAGGCGCATAGGGCCGAGTTGGCTATAATTATCTCATATTTAACTAGCGCAAGTGGAATAATTGTTTTGCTAAAAATGCCACAAAATAATGAGAATTCTTCCTGACTTTATTCACAAAAACAACCGATTTTCACCCTTTTTTTAATTTTGAGCAGAAGTGTACAGTTACCTTAGTTGGAGAGCATGATATAATGGCTCATACAGCTGTATACCATGATGGCTAAGCCAATCAGAGCTCTAGAATTGCATTATCCAAAGATTCAGTTTTTAATAAAACAAGTTGACAAATCACATTTTTCTGAAAAGCATTTCAATTTGTTATGAAAGGCAAGAATCGTTAGAACATAACTCCATCTCTGACTGCAAGGCTTCTATATTTTCCTTCAGGATTTTTTTGCTTCTTTCTCTTACAAAATAAAAAGACACTGTTTTAAGCATGGCCTTGGCCACAACGCATGCATCAGTTATAGGTCATAACCGAAACAGCCAGTATAACAGCCAGTGCATAACAGATCTCTTTAGCTTGTATGTTGCATAATTATTTATCATAAGTTATTTGTTTTTTTATCTCTGTCTTAAAATATACCTCTGCACTATTATGAGAACACAACAAAAAAACAAAAAACTATTCTGCTAATAATTCTCTCCACTTTAATTTAGAAATCTTTCTTGCTCAACCCATTAACCATTTGATGTTTTAAAAAAACACACCACTGAAAACCACTTAAACCATGTTTCGGTCACCAAAAGAAAGGCAGGACTATCTGACATGTAAATGTTGGTAAGCTCCCAAAACAAAACACATCCTTTCTTGAAAAAGGTGTGAAAATAATAACATGACTAAAATGCAAATTGGATTGCAGAAGAATTTTCTTGTTAAAACCATTAACATAAATTCTGTACTATAGTGTGCAGAACCTCTAGGAACAAAACAACAACACTCTAAACTTGGCATGTTCCATGACAATCATTCACGACTGCCTTATAGGTACCACTTTCAACAGAAACTTTTGATGTGCCCATACCACTCTTCAACCAAATGTCAAGTGTAATGTTTTTCACTTTGAGTTGGAGCATTGCAAAAAATAAGTGGCTTCAATGCTTTAACTTAAATTAAACTTAAACTGATGTACAAAGATTTGCATCTGTGAGCAAAGATAAGACCCAATCCTTGAGGAACAAGTTGAGCAAAATGACCACTTTCTTTACAGACTGCAATCGTTTGAATTACATGAGTGACATAAGCCATGATGTATGTGGTGTAGGGTGCATGTGCTAGCATTTCTCTCTATTCATAGCATATATCTTTCATTACCTCGCATTTGGAACATTTTTTAAAATATTAATTTGTTCTTAACAGTTACAAGCAAAGAGAAAATAAATTTGTAACAAGCAATTAAAGCAAGTTTCATTGTCAAAAGTACTTAAGGCATATGTTTTATTAATAAGATTCAAACTCAAAGAGAAGTTTCCAAACAGCCTGCAATTTCTCCTGAACCGTTGTCATGCCTGAATCGGCCATACCAAGGAATACAACACGAGTGTGCATTGTAACAAAAATGTAAAAACAATATTTTTCATACTAAATTTACTAACAGAACGAAGTTGATTTAGCTGAGTAGCAAAAAACAGCCCACAAAAAAACAACAGGTGATCAAGTTGTTTCATTAACATGCTTTACAAATTATCAGGGACTCGAAATTTTATAAACAATCACATGGCGGACCATTAATCGATAATAAGCCGCATATAAACTTAACTACATGTACACGCGAAAAAAGAGCATTCAAGAGGACAGACGGGGAAGCTAAGGATGAGCAACGTATAAAGCGTACTACTTCATTAGATCAAATCTAACCTACGTGTACTGGAAATAAAATGCCACTTTTTAGATATTTATTAGACTGATGAGCAGGATGCTTCAAATACGTTCTGGGACAAACTGTATCGTAACATAAACAATTAGGTACCCACATAAAAATACAGGAAAATCAAAACTCAAGATCACAAACTAAGATACCAAAAAACAGCACATGTTCAAAATGGGATTTCTCTTACCATCTTGATTTTCAACAGGGTCCATGTTCATGATGGATCACCCTACAAGATAACAGACGACTTGTAAATAAACACAAGTTCCCTTACAAAATGCTTAGAATTGCTCTCACCTTTAATTTATTCACCAATTCAATTCAAGAAACGACGACCAAAACAAATTCATTAACTGAGCAGAAAAATACACATCCTCCCAAAAATTTCCAAGTCCGCTTGCTACCTGCTTTGTTTCTTTATTTTTTTACACTACTACATTTAGGTTGAAATCTTAAGCTTAATTCTCAGTATATTTTAAGCTCATAGTAGTTGCACTCAGCTGTGATCGCAAACAGAGCCCAGTTTGTTCAGCACCAGTCATTAAACTTCTCGTCTGGGAAAGAAATATTTTTTCTGCTGTAATAAAAATAAATTTAGCTTAAAAGTTACCTTGCTACAACTTAATAAGTTTATTAGTGGACTCGCAAGGTGTCAACCACGATTAGAAACTGAACACAACAAAACCGGCACCTAACCTTTTAGCAGTATCAGCTGAAGGAGATAAACGACTTGAATGACATTCATTCTTTTACCGTCGACACATCGACAGCATGGCTGGAAATTCCCACAGAAAGTTGAAAATAATCCGACATAGTCCAACGAGTCGACGAAGAGTATACACCTCCGCCAAACACTTAGCTTCAGTTCTCCTTAGTCACCCAAGCCTTCAGTTAATTTAAGATCTCGGTATCCCAAGGAAATTTGACTTCTTTAACAGTAATGATAGATGCACTGATACCAATAAGTCTAGCTGAATCCTTTTTGACTGGAGAATAATTTAGTCCTGTTCACTCTGGCGTAATATGAGGTCGACAAAATGCTCGAGCAAAACAAATCTCCTAATTTTCCAGCCCTCTTACAACCAATATGGCGCTCGGATTGTCGAGATGAATGCCCCTGATAAACACACCGCAAATATGAGGCGCCCCGCAGGACCCGTGTTGAGTCCCTTCGAGATCCCTAGGGATCAGGAAAAGGGTCTCACTTGCGGGTCTCAAAGACAGAAACAGGCTAAGTCAAAAATCTCAGTGAAAACGATCGGGATACAGTGTTGGAAACAGCAAAAGAACCCTTGATATATTTTTTTCGGACAGTACAGCTCACAAGTACGCCATCGCCCCAAAAAACTGAAGCGATCAATCGTTTGAAGGTTTAGGCTCTCAAAATAAAAATAACAGTTGAGGAATTGAGTACTGTGCTAGTGCAAGCAACTGAAAAACACGTGTCTCGCACAACCACGCTGGAAGACCGCGCCAACAGTAGGAAAAAAACCAGAAAAACACGTAAGCTACGATTATTTTCTAGCTAGCCACTATGATCGTATCATTTTGAAAACGTTTTTATTTGTTTCTTTGTTCTCTTTTTTTTGTCTCGATTGTTCAGTTTGTCCTCCACGCATATTCATTTCTGTTTGAAAACGGATATGGATACCTCTTGCGCTTAAACAGAAGCCCATCTCCTGCCTCAATCACGTGCGCTTCATATTTTCTCTTAACTTAATTCTTGGAAATAGCTGTTTGTTGAGAAAAAGTTGTCCCAGCAAGTGTTTTTTTTCGTCCTGGTCTAACCAGATTTCATGTGTTTGATTTAGGTCCCGTTTATACGGAGAAAACTTGTCACGAGTGGAGGGTTCACTCACCTAACTGAGCTTCCCTAGGCGTGCCAGCTTATATCCCTAATTTTCTTTAAAAACAAAATTGGCAAATCATTTTCATGAAAAAGTTGGCTCGGATAGAAGGGTGACCCGCTTAGCCGCATGGTCACCATTTAAACCGGGCCAACTATTTTCCACATTAATACTTTTGCTCGCCCAGTCGGGTCAACTAGGTCAAGGCACTGTAAGGCACTGGTCAAGGCGTCACAATCAGGGCATGTGCTGTTGTCAGCTCTTGGCTCGGGCAAAGGGGTCTACTTTTCTCTCATTTCGCCTTCTCTTTCCCAGGACAACTTTTCTTCATAGAAACGAGACCTAAGTTCATTGAAACCTATATCCACTTGGGAGTCAAGAAAACTAAAAATGGTGCCCCGCCTGTTGTCGTTCCCTCATCTTTTTACCCTATATTTTCAGGGTGTTTTGGCGGAAGTTCTGTGATATAAAGGTAATAATAAAAAACACGGTTATTGTAAAATCACTACACGGCGTTTTCTACTTCACAATTATGCATATCGGTGACGCATCCGAGACGAGAACAATTACCTCATTCAGCACGTAGCGTGTTGCAATGTCATTCGTAAGAGCGTCGCACTGGTCCTTTAAACGAAGAGACGGTAAGGTCATAGTTGAAAACAATAACATTTATTGCCATTCTAGTGCCATTACCTCACTTGGAGTCAAGTGAATTATAACTAATAAACAGTCTTCAGACAGCAATAAAAATGAGGAAAAATCACCTGAGATATTTGCAAGAGCTACAATTATTTGTAGTGTGCCCTACGATGTTAATTGTTATTATAACCTATTATGGCGAATGAGGTTTACAGGAGAAAACATCCATATATTAATGCCTTTTTGTAACATGTTGATTCATACTGTCGCTATTTGACATTAAATAAACGTACTTGGCCAAAAACTTTTTGTATACGCTAGTCGAAATTATAACTTCTGGCAATTTACGCTGAGGCACCATGTATTTCTTTCCAAGCTCTTATTATATGAAAACCGTATAACGATCATGTTATGTTAGAGAAAATATATACCTCTACCACAAACTAATTCAACAAAACTTTTTCAAGACCCTTTAAGGTGCAATTTGTAAGTGTACTTACTGTTTTCAAGGTATTTTAAAAATCCTTAAACTGGCTACCATTTAGTGACGCTGTAATGTTTATGCGTACAGATACTCTTTTTCCTAATTACTGCACCGTGAAATTTATCTTACGTTGTCAAATTCACTCCAGATGTACTTGACAGAGTACTGTCAGCTGAACATTCCTAGATGCCATCGGACCAATGGTAAGCGGTCCTTTCCCTACCACGGGTAGGTACTTAGATCAGCGATAATCTCAAACAGACTCAGTTTTATGAAATCTTTAACCCTTTTAGTCCCAAGAGTGACGAACATCAATTTTCTCCTAACAATATCCAAACATAGTTAAGAGGAACGGTTATTAGAATTAAAACAATGATCATCAAAGAAAAATTCTTTGATCTTTTATCAAATTCTCTCAACTAATTCTTTACGGAAATGTTTGGAGATCGGTCTGGAGAATTTGTATGTGGTTATTGGGACGTAAAGCTACTTCTTTCTGATCAATAATTGAATTCGGAAACAGCTAATCGTTTCCTATCATATCATTTAGTTTCTGTAAACTTTTTGATACATTTCTTTTACTTGTTCTTAATGAAGTATGTATGTGTGCATGTATTTATGTATGTATTCTTTGACAGTTCAGTTTAAAGCGCCCAACTCTAATTCATTAGAGGAGCAAAGATAAATTCATTGAATGTAGATCAAACTTCAGAAGATATTCACTTTTTCAACGAACTACTAGGTATCTATATAGTTGTAATAAGGTACAAAAGCGGAATGAGGGATTGCGTTTCACGATAACGTGTCACATAGTAACGCAATCCCTCATTCCGCTTTTGTACCTTATTACAACTATTTATATACCTCGTCGTTCATTTTGCTTATAATGCTTATTACCGCCAGTTTTGAAATGTACGGGTCATTCGTTAAGCCTGATGAGTGTGGTCATCTTTTGACCATACCAAACAGAACTGCAGCATTAAAAGAATGAAATATTCTGAAGTCTGATCTACATTCACTGAATTTATGTATGTATGTTTTCAAACTGAAAACAATATGGCTACACTTCCACATACTTTTCACAAAAATGGCTGAAATAAAATCAGCTTATAAATTAGACATTTTTTATCCTATTAAGGACTATTAAGACTATTCATCCCCAATTAACGAAACTATTCTATCTTTGATTTTCTGAGTTGCTTTCCTTGCATTTGGAATAATATATCTCTCCGTCTCAGAGACATGAAGGTTTTCGCCATCGCTTGTTCCATATTTGAAGGTTATTAAGTCGGGATGTCGTCTTTTAGAAGTGATTTTTACTACAGAGGTCAGGTGATGTCTCTGTTGAATGTAAGCCCAGCCATCTCTCTTAGGAATCTCTCGTAAAATAAACATCTGAACGTCTGTAAGTAGAATGTAGCTGTAACAAAGAAAACCAACAAAATAAGTGAGATATGGATTCAGAATATCAGCTGCCGATACCAGACTTATGTGGCGCTCTTTCATGGTCGCCCAGGAATAAGTGCAGTCGTACGACTAAATGCCGCAGCTTGTAATGTATAACTATTAAACTTTATCGTCAAATCAAGGAGGTGGAACATAAAAAAGTTATAGTGTCCAGCGGAAGTAACACCAATGACCTCCTGAATACCGGGCGGGTGCTTCGCGCTCAAGAGTCATCGAGGCGCGAAGCGCTGAGTTGACTATTTTACTCTTAGAAAACGGGAACGGTAGAAACCAACCAGCATACTACTCGACTCCAGATAAACGTTTGTTAACATACACTGTGAGCAGAGGTTTCCTTGCGCTACAACTTTCAACATGTGTAGAGTCGTAGCGAATGTCAGCGACGTGAACCACTTTGTAAATACCGAAAATGATGCCGAAAAAAAAACTTCTGCTAGCAGGGTATTGCTAACACAACTTGAATTACGAAAATGTTGTTTGTTTGTCACAAATATACAACTTTTATAAAATTAAATTTTAATTTTTTTCTAACCACTAAAAATGTCCATTCCGTATTTTGTGACAGCTTCAGCATTTTTCTGGGATAGCATTCATCATGAATTAGTCTATCTACTTCTTTCTCCAAAACATTGCCAAAACTATGTAGTTGAATAAACTGCAATTGTTCGTTCCAAAAGCCAGCTACGTATCTTCAGCTACCACGGAATAGATAAAGAGTACGTTGGCCAATTAGATTGCAGAATTCGTGATAGTATGGTAGTAATCTGAATTGCCGGTATGGGTTATGATTACTACGATTAGCCATTGGAGTTTCTTAAACGCGGATTTGTTAGACAACAGTAAATCTTTGGTTTTTTTTTCATCAGTGCCTACAAAAACCAAGTGAAAATCACCTTTTTCAAATCTTGTTCTTTTTTTTAAATTTCAATTTTTTATAATATATTCAAATGTGACGTGGCATTATTTTGGAATAGATTTTTGGCGACTGAGATGAAGTTAGTTATTTTTATTGTACAAACATAACAGGTAAGAAATCTAAATGGACGGAGACAAACCAATTGGTCATATAAAAGCGTAGCCGAAAAGTTGAACACGAGAATACAGATAACAAATCCGTCGAGCGGTTAGGGCGGGGCTTGAACTTGCGACGCGAGACCAGCGCTCGACTAACTCGGCCACGGCACAGTTAGTGAGTGAATGACTCTATCATGAGCTGGGAGGCACGGACAAGAACTACCATTTGTAAATTCTTGCAGCTGTTTTTGTCGCGATTATTGATTTTTTAATTAATTTTTTTAGTCAATGTTATTTACACGACGAGTATTGTTGGTTTTCACATGACGTCACTAAAATTCAAACTACAAAACTATCGATCCTATACTGAGATTTTACTTTCATGATGTATTAGAGCAGCTGAAAACTAACTCTCATTCAAATTTTCGCTTCAAAAGGGTTCTTATTAGTTTTGTGATAGGATACGCTTGAATTTCTAAGCTTTTGCGTGACGTGGCATTTACATGACGGCCGAGAGAGCTGTCACGTACGTTAAAAAAAAGACGTTTTTCGGGGAATTTTGCTATCTTAACAGTTCATGTATTAGAAAAAGTATTACTTTAATGTTTATGAATTCCTCGAGGAATAAATTCACGCTTTTGTACCAAAATTTGGAAACAGATGTTTTTGTAGGTTTCCGTCCGCCATGTTGGTGCCCACCCAGGTGGCGTGTCCATACAAATCTCTTGGGTAAAACATTTCCTCGGATATCTCGTATACTAGACTACGAGTAGTCCCCCATTTAGCCTGAGTATCAGACCTTCCTAAGGGACTAGGGGAGAGGAGATTTGAGGTGGGGGAGGGGGGAAGGGGAGAAGAGAAAGGGATGGGTTTCTCTCCTTCAGCTCTCTCCCTTTTTCGCTTCCATCTTGCCCCTTTTCCCCAGAAACGCCTGATACTCAGGCTATCCCCCATTTTTCCTCAGGCATATTAGAGCGAGCGAAACGCGAGCGCGCGTGAAAATCACCCCACGCGAGAAAAGGCGACACGTGGCGGGGAGAGAGAAAAATTTTTCTCTCTCCTCGCCGAGTGTCGCCTTTTCTCGCGTGGGTTGATTTTCACGCGCGCTCGCGTTTTGCTTGCTCTACTATCCCTGAGGAAAAATGGGGGACTACTCGTAGTCTACTCGTATACGGAATATTCTTCTGACCTGAATCTTGGCGAGGGGCTTTGTACATTTACCTCCTTTCATTTCCCAGATTCCGGACGTTATCTATTGAACGGTTTTGGTTTTTATTTTGATCTATTTTGAATGGCGTGACACTGAAAACCAGCAATATTCTACCAGCAATGACATATGGCTGCGAGACATGGGCATTGAACAATGCTATGATAGATAGGCTGGCGGTCGCACGGCGTAAGATGGAATGCATAATGCTAGGCATTACCCTTCGAGATCGAAAGCGAAACACCTGGATCCGTCAAGAAACTGGCGCAAGCGGTATCATCAACGCTATCAGGAAAGCAAAGCACAGATGAGCAAGTCACATCGCTCGGCTATCTGATAACCGTTGGACAATCAGAGCAATAGAGTGGACCCCAAGAGATTCGACCAGAAAACAGGGTCGTCCAAAAACAAGATGGAGAGACGATCTCACCAGACAGTTTGGACCCGTATGGTAAAGATTAGCCAAGTACTGCAGACATCCGTGGGATCAATCTAGGGAGGGGTTCCTCCGTCAAGAGTGAATACAAACCCTGATGATGATGATGATGGTGATGATTTACTTTTTCTTAAAATATCTGTAATTATTGCTTGGCAGCCTAATACTACTAGTACCTGAGAACAAGGGACAGTCAGATGGGTCAGAAGAACAGGCGCGCCTTTTCTCCCGACCCAACTGGCCCCCACTGGGTCTCTGAGGATGATAGTACCATGAATACTGGACTGTTTACAGTCCCCTAATTTCCGTAAGATCGTCGAAATCGAGCGCTTTGGGTTGCGGGCGGCCATCTTAGATGCGATAGCCTGCGTGCGCGCCCAAAACCCCCTTTCCCTTCCCTTCCAAACGCCTGCCAGGCAGGCTATAGATGCGATGAGTGTCAAATCTACTTAGGGAGCGGGGGACACCCCGGCCCCCATCCCCTCAGTAAATATAAACCAAGATGGCCGCCCGTACGGATAAGCGCTCGATCCTGACGATCTTACGGAAAAATAGAGGGTTGTGGACAGTCAGCCAATTATTGTTTTCACTTCACTGACATGTTGAAAGATGATTTACCTTGGTGCCAAGAAGCCATTGCGCAGAATTTGATTACATTTATAGGATGATACAACATCCTTGCGTTGAATCCATGTATTAATGTTTACTGCCTCCTTTCGTGACTCCTCTTCTGAACTGGCACTGTAATTATCTACATCAAAACAACACTTCTAGTTACATAAAAGCCTACTGAAAATGAATAGTTTATCCAAGACAAAAGTTGTTTCATTTTTTTTTTTTTGGCAAAACAATGTTTTACCAAACTAAGGCACTTCACTGTACTGGCTACAGCTATAACAACCCTAATTCTGGGTATTTTGTCAACAGTTCCAAACGGTTCAATTTTAAAAGCTCAAATTTGGCAGGGAACCATACGTTTCTATTTTTATTGTAAAATTGAGCTTCCCGTAGTCATCATGGAAGTAGTCAGAAAGCTTGCCTGTGCAGGGCTGCAAATAACAGTCGGTATTGGCCGACAAAAATTGGTTAGTGTCTGACGAAATCCCACCTGTGTTCAGACATTATGTCCGGAGAATTTTACGGTAAGGAAGAATAAAAATCTACCTTGAGTATAAAACCCTCAAAGTCACGAAACAATATTGACTTGGGGAATAAAGTTTTCTTTAACATTAGCGTAGTATGTCCTCTGCTATACCCGAAAGGTAGCATAATGCTTTTCGAAAAGTAGCGAGATGTTCTTTTTGTTCATATTTTAAAGATATATATAAACGATATATATACGACACGCTTCTCAATACTCCAGTAAAATGCCCGTATAAGCGAGGGTAGATCAGTGCTTTAACGTAAAGTTCGTCAAATGTGTTGGGGGAAAGTAACATATAGAAGACCATCGTGCGTTGCTGGCTATTAACAAACTCAAGTCAGTCAATGAACTTCGTCAGCCTCTAATTCCTTAACAAATTGCACATCTAAACCGTCTCTCAATACATAACTTGGATATACACGTAATAACGTACCACCTTCATCATCCTCGTCATCAATACTGAAAACTGGCTGCACATTTCTGTAGAGTTTGCTTTGTTTATCTTTATCACTAACATGCCTGTTCAAAGAAATACAATTTACTTCAAATACCGTCACACCAAAATGAATCTCCCAAACAGGAAACCATGCATTTATAGCAAAAGCCTGTGTGCAACAAACATTGTTATTTATTCAAAATAACGGGCTAACGTTGACAAGAGTAACTAAGGTGAATATGGAGGTAACGGTACAATCAGTCAAAGCTGATTTGACCTGCTCCCTTAAAAAACTTGCATCTAACAAGCAATCATAACAGTTGTAACGAAAGCACTAATGAACGAAGGACACTGAGCAGTAACTAAAGCATTTACAAAATCACAGACTACAAAACGGCAAAATGCAAGGCCGGACTTACTACATGACTTACCTTTCTACAGGGTGATGAGAGTCAGCTATGTACTTTCCTATCTTTTCTCTTACATGCGTCCCAGATTTTATAGCTGACGATAGCATGCTGACTAGGCCACCCTGCAGTACGTAACAAGCACAATAAAATTAAGGCTAACAGAAGGTGTTTTCAAGTGACATACAAGAAAAAATCTTGCATTTACCTCTACCTAAAGGCCCAATACAACTTCCAAGGATGAAAGAGATTAAAATTATCTCCTACATTCTCAGCCATAATAGTTAATTCTGAACTATTTTGGCGTTACCCTCAAAGTAAAAAGGGTTTAGTAGATAAACAGCATAGTATTGTTAGGCTGTTATAAACTAAGCTTTGAAGTGTTTTGTTTGCCTTTTGCAAACTTCTCTCATTTGATCACGGCTATATAATTATTACTAGTATATTTTGAATTAAAGCACTTACTCTATATTCCCCAGGACTCTCTTCTCCTCTGGAAAGCTCATGAAAGCTCTGGAGATAAAGGGGAATCCAATCTGGTCAGTCTGCTTGATAAAATACCAGTTACTTTCAAATTAACTGGGTGGCACAGGGGTCAAATCAGGAGTCGTTAGAATTTAGATTCTACAAGAGGATGTGAATAACAAACAATACATCCAAAACTAATAATATTTTTTGAACAGATTCGAAATAAAACTAACTTATTGGTGTGTTCTCTCTTTTACTGTGTGTTTGCTTCTGAAAGTAATTCCAGCCTGTTTGCTTTTTTGGTTTGTAACTAAAAGAGTTGCTTAATCCTGTCATAATGATATTTAGAGTAAACGAAGATTCAATTCCCAGGATAGAAAAACTCATCATACACAAGCTTTCACTTCCATCATGGAATCTTTATCAAGCGATGGAGTTGGATGCTCGTCACATGATTTATACTGTGAATCATGTAACAAAATGTCCTGTAGATTGTGGGAAGCTCATAACTGGCATCCCTGTTCACTGAATGTTGGAACCAGAAAAAAAAATTTGATGGCCTCTCTGACTCTTCTCTTAATAATGAATGTGTTGTACTAACTTATTACCAAAAATGAAATCACAGCAAAATTCTACTTTTATCCATTGGATCCCAACAATGAACTTAAATGAGGAGTTTTCAATGAAATGTTCACACCAAACACTTTTGTCTATTGTCTTAAAGGGTACGACATTTTTACACTCTGAATGTCTTCTTTTCTTCCCAATGATAAACAAAAAAGATACTCTTCTATTATAGAACTTTCATACTTTATTCTGGTGACAAAGGTTTGCAGAGATGACATATTCGTTGTATGGAACTGATTAGAACTTACACTAACCTCGCCTTCTGAAAAACACTCTGGATTACACACAATACAAGTGTTGGGTGTGTGGTCTGCCAGTCCAGAAGACAAATCATCAGATAAAAGATCATGCAACGCTGAAAATATACAAAAAACTCATAATATACCTGATACATCCAATGCACATATCCACCAGGAGTGAATGTAATAAGGCCAGAAATTTTGCCTTAGGTTTGTTGGCAAGTATTGGTGTTAGGTTGGGTTGTTAACTATATAATTTACGACAAGACCCTGCTATTAACCATAGAGAAAAATATCTTGTAAACACAGATTCATCAATAAGTACTGAGTATTATTTTGAAAGAGGAGTATTTGAGTACATACATCACAAAAATAATATTGAGTAAAAAAGACCCTTCTCTATGTAAGGCACTCACTAGTATAATAGGTGAAGTGAACAATCAAGCAAATTCGGTGTTCTGATTGACTACCTGGCATGCCCTTTTTGTTTGCTCTGGATTCCTCACTTCATCCCACAAGAAAGGACAAACCTTATCAAAGTTAATTTGTTCAGTCAAAATGAATGAATATTGAAGTCAGTATTTCTTGTATCTTTATGGACCAAGATGAATTTCAGGCCATAAAAATACAGAAGACAACAACAACTTAGCCATCACTGAACAATCTTAACATCACATTTTATCAGTACCATTATTGTCAAACTCAGAAAACGGTCACCACCTGAAACATTACAGGAACATTTATTTTGTAGTGAACAATCACAATAATCGCAAACCTCAAAACCACAAACTCATGACTGTCGCTGTTTGCGGTTAAGTTTTATAACAGCTTATTGGCTTTCTCCTCGCAACACAAGTGCATTCCATAAATGTTTATGGTGTTGATGGTTTTGTGAGTTTCACAGTAATAATTATCATTAAAATATATATTTTGTTGCATACCTAGGTAACCACCACAGGCAATGCTCACATATTTCGATTTTTTCTGAAAACAAGAATAGGAACAAACATTTCCCTTCATTACCATTCACTCAAAAATCTTCTTCATATCTGATTAGCTTCAGTTTTTCTTATACATTTCAATTGATACTGTTGGACAACAGACGTAATGCAATGCCAGTGGAATGGCAGCTTGGCTGTTTTGGATGTATAGACCTCACAAAAATGACAGAAGATTTCACAGGCTATGTGAAGACAATAAATTGAATTACTGCCTCAAAAAGATTTCACAAAAATACCACTCAACAACATTAATATCGACTTCTATTGGAATATCTTAAAGAAATAAAACACAGCCATGCCATATTTCGCATAGCACTTCTAGTTACCTGAAGAAAGTTAGCAATGACCATGTGAACATACTGATCTTCTTCTTCCCGACCAGAGCCCATAAAACAGAGATGTTCCCCACTTGCAGCAGAGCCTGCCTCAATAGACTGTTTCTGAGTGGCAAACAATGCATTGGCAGCTGTGGCAAATTCTGATGGAGCTTGCAACATCTGTGATGAAAAGCAAGCAATGTATCATTGAAGAACAAGCAATATGTACCATATTAGAAGGAAAAAGGAAGAACTGCACTTACCAGGTTTGCATCTAAATGAAAAGCGGTGGGAAGGTGACCACTGTTGTACTGATCAGCAGGCCTGCAGTCGACTACAAAGAATCGAACACCATCCTTCTGCATAAAGTAATAAATGAAAAATTCCAAATTTATATCTTTAATCATAATAATATGTTAGCGACCTTTAGAATCAGAGACCTTTGGAATTTAAGACAAGAACAACTACAAGTATGAGATTTTCACGATACTAACTTAAGTAGTGCTAGGGCGTGAACCATCGTCATTTTGGCAACAAACCATGATATGCATCATCATTCTTCTATGTGTTTCAGCGAGTGTGTCGTAGTGGCAGAAACAAGTTATCAAGTGTTAGAAGTTTTATCAATATGCTATCAGAAGAGGGCTTAGCCCCCTTTAATAAAGATAACAGTGCTAACTTTTCTGGTAAATAAAAGTAAAATCAGGGTGCAAAGAAAATCATTTTTACAGCTTGCCATTCGGGCAAGCTGAAGCTAGCATTTACTAGCCCAGACGTCATTTCAACTAGCCCCAAAAGCTTTTTGACGAGAAGAATTAACTTCACAGTTCTTTTGTTATCGAATTCTTCAAAAAACATCACTTGCCCGTCGGGCAAGTTAAAAACAGAATTCACTAGCCCGATAGCAAAATCCACTAGCCCCGGGCTATTGGACACTACTTTCTTTGCACGCTGTAAAATGAAGCTTTCCAAGGAATCTATTTTTCGAGAATATGCAAAAAAATTTAAGTCAAGATCCTCATAAGTGTAGTCGTTCTTGTCCTCAAATTTAAAGGTCTCTATTTATGACATCAAGATCAAAGCTCATTCAAAAGTGTACATTAAGCCAGAATTTTAGCATGTGCATGGGGTACGTGCACTTGTACTGTAGTATTACGACCTTAAATTACCTAAAACAAAAGGAAATATAAAAAAAAACCAAGACAGAACCTACCCTGTCAGACTGATTGACTTCAACCAGTTCAGATACAGAAACTGGTAAACAAAGAGCTTGGGAAATACTACTGGAAGTGATTGTTTTGATACCAAATAGCTGGTTGTAATAATCCTGAAAGATAAAACACTGTCTTATTATCAGGGGAACCCAACAACTGTTTTCTGTAAAATATCTGTTCCAAGAAGTAAATATGGCCTAGAATTTTCTATTGCTTGAGATGGGCTTAAAATTTCTAGATGACCGTTCCATTCATGTACCATTTTCGAAGCTTATCTGATTAATTTCCTGTGATTTTCTGAAGTTTAATTTTTCACATTTCACTCCCCAGGTTTGGCTATTTTTGTAGAAAAAGGAAACCTAAAATATGTGATGGAGAGAGGAATCAGAAAAATTCTCACTTGCATAAAACAATAATTTGCATCTAAAATTTTGGGGAAAATAATACTGAAGCCCTTGCAATTTTGAAAAGTTAAGTTCCCCTAGGATGACCAAACAGATACAAATTTTATAGCGCAGCTTAGAATGCATTTCTAGATATCTAAAAGTGCTCTGGATAGTCTAAAAAGTGTTTTCAATGTATTTAGGAGGAGACGGCCTTTGGGTGCCAATATGCAACCTACACCTGTAAAATTCTGCAGTACACTTTTATTAGGCAACTGAATAGACAGAAAAATTTATTTGCTATAAACTACAATTACTCATTTTAAGAAAAAAATATTATAAACTTTCTGAAAGTTGTAAGACATTTTTACTGTCTTATTCTATTATCATTCACCTTCACAAATAAGAGTAAGGCTATGAAGTCAACTATCAAGTTTATGACAGTTATGCTTTTGTAAGCACATACACTGTAAATAAAAAAATACAAACAGACTATTCTATAAAGACTCTATAAACATTCTATAATAACCATTTTTGGTTTTTGGAAAAATAGCAACAATGTTTATTAGCAATTGTTTCTTGATGCTATCTGTTATCTTTCTGCTGTGACTGATACTGTATGTGATATCACAATTAAAAGTTAGCCTGTATTAATTTGTACTGCACTTGACCAAAACTTTGACATCCCAAGAAGGTGGTATGCAAAAAAGTCGTCAATATGCAACAAATGGTAGTACACTACTGTAAAGAGAGCAGCCAAGCTGGAGTAAATACCACTTTCATTCAAATATTTTAACTACCCTTATAATTTCTCCGTATATGGATCTCTACGATAGTCAGACACCAGTAATCATTTTATTGATCATGATACCTTTCTAAAAGATTGTGGTGTCCTGGAAGCATAATGTTGAGCTAATGAATAGAAGTCCTCAATATCATCTTCCTCCAGTTGTAAAAGAGCTGAAGAAATTGTTTCTTAAACAGCAGAAAAACAGAACAAAGTGTTGTTAAGCTATTGACACCAACAAGATCCTAAACTCAGGAGTGGATCTGGGGAATAGAAATTCCAATAATGCGAGCATGAGGTTCTACTGGAATCCGTTTATTGAACTGCACCCCAAGAAATCTGAAGGGGTAAGCTCTGATAAAGTCCTAGATTCTCCTTCCAATTTGCCTGGTACAGTGTATATGCTAGTGAATATGTTTGTGTTGAGTTTTGTGTTAGTACATGAAGATAAAATGTGTGTCTTCTCCCTTAAAAGAGTATCCATTCATGTGACTAGTATGTGTGGCATTCTCAGCACATTAAAATCTTCCACACCCCTGTGTGTGGACTTAGTAAAAACAACAACAATAACAACAGATATTAAGAAAAAGTAAAAATAAACATTCTTGTTCCTTTTTGCTCGATATAAACAATAGCTTTCTCCTATAAATATTCTTCCACAATTTCTGACCGAATTGATTAATTATATCATAACCTAGAGTATTCTTTATTATAATTGACCAAAAAAAATCATACCTTGTTCACAACTTACCTAATAATTCTGTTTTGCTTTCATGTATCATCTCAAACAGCATATCTCTAAACAGCAATTTTTTTAAAAAAAGGACATTGAAAAAGAGACTTCGTAAGTACTTTTAACTATGATTTTTTTTATTTTGATGAGAATTTTTGCTGTAGAGCTTTTATAACAGAAATCACAAAAAGCTATATACATGTAGTAAGAAGAATTCTTTGGAATGTTTGGAATGTTTGTCTTTCATATGATTTGAAGAATTGTACAGATCTTGGAGGGTGTCATACACTATAGCCATAACACCCTCTTCAATCTGCATAATTCCTCAGATTATAATTACATGTAGCTTCATCCAATAATTGAACGGCAGCAAGCAAACTATGTATGTGACAATATTTGGTCCTGAAAACCCAAATATTGCTGATAATGAGCTGAACCTTCAATTCCATAGATAAACAAGGGTCTCTAGTTTGTTTTGCTTGATTCTATTTCATATTCAAGGAAACGCCCATGTAAAATACCCAGGCTTTCCTATTGGTTTCTTTTGAAGATCATGCTTACTTTCACACCCTATTCAAGACAAAGAATACTTGCGTTTTGGTTTAACAAGTGAATTATAAAATAAATAGCAAAACATTTTTTAATTTCCTCGAACACAACGAGTGTTTTCCACCATAAATACATGTACACCAAAGCACCAGAGACCTTCAGTGGTCACTCGATCTTGCATTGAATTTAATAACTTAGTTTAAAACACACACACACACACAAACAAAGAAACCCTGTTTAAGGCTCAAAATAGTGAAATTGTGAGTTTCACTTAATAGTCCAAAGGTCTGGAAATACCATATACAGCATCAAGTACATGTTTGGAACAATCAAGGGAGTTCCCACCCACCAACCCCTAACCTTAAGGGGAAAAACCTTTCAAGTCTCAGCTTTTGAACTTTATCACATCGCACCTGCTATTTACCACCATGACAAGCATCAGAAAAAATACCAAAAAAGGGTCTGCTTCCAACAAGTACAAATCCCAAATGACCCGTAGAACTTCTGGTTCACATGCAACCATAAAAAGGCTACGTAGCTGAAAAAAAATCACACAGTGATATAAACCAGGTAGACTTGATAAATACAGGGTGGCCTATTTCATATCTCAAAGGCTGGTATCTAAAAGGGACCTGTATTTGCATGTTGTAGTTCAAAATAAAATTTAAGTCAAATTGGTTTATTTGTATGATTCCTTTGTCTCCTAGCCTAATTATTTAAGATTAAAAATAATTTGGACCTAATTACTCATGAATATGAATAATGAGGGTTAGGAGACAAAAGAAATTGATGATATTAATTATTTAGATCATCAGGAATAAACAGGGTTAGGACACAAAAGACACTGAGAATCAAACTAGGTTGAAACAACTTTAACCTGAATTTCATTTTAAACAATAACAGAATCGCGTGGAGCTTTAACTGGTGTTGGTTGCAAGTATGTACCTGTACTGGTATTTTTCTGTACACGCATGTATGAAAAAAGCTACAATTTGATGTAAATAATTGCACATTGTAAAAGAAAACTTGATCAATATACCCCTTTGATACTGTGACTCAATGTTCACTTCCTTTGTACCCTTATATTACATTACATTACATTATCAGGTGTGGTGTCATATAAGGATATTGTATATAGAATACTACTACTAGCTATTTCATTCAATACTGACCCATCGTTGACAGTACATATCAGGCCAAAGCTTCTTGGATTCCAAGAATGAGCATAGCTCTGGATCATGGTACTGTAATAAGAGTCTAAAGAGGTGAAATGGCTTTCCATCTCTTACACAGTCTCTACCAAAAACAAATAAATAAAGCACATTGAAAAAAAAAAATTCATGAACCTCCGTTAAAAATGCTTTTTGTAATTTTTAGTAAAGTTACTGTAGTAACTACCTGTGCTACCATAATCATCCCAGTCAAAAGGAGCCATCAGCCAGACATTTTACCAAATTCAGCAGAAATGATATTCAGCTATTTGCTCCCTCCTTTTCTGGATATCAAAGCTATTGAAATACTACAAAACACTTTAATGAGGCTGTGACTCTCAAAATCACTAACCTGCTAGTGCCCAGGAAAAAAAACAATTGTTTGCATTTGAATTTTTGTTTAGCTAAAGCAACCCTTCTCAGTGCCTTGTTTGTTCAAGAGATTATCCATTCCTTTTACAAAGGCAATTGACAATGTTTCTCATTGTTCAAATGTTCTAAAACTGCCAGGATAGATCTCAATAGAAACTTCTCTGCATCCACTTAAAATACCATCAATATATCAGGGACCTTTACCTGGGTATGTATTTGTAAAGCATTGCATAGAAACAGTTGTAGACATCGTTCATAGGTAGATCTAAGATCATCAAAGGTGCAAGCACTTCTGTTAACCCACTAGTGGAATGGTATTTCTCATTCCGTGACTTGCAGTAGAAGGTGATAATACCTTCCATGTCTCTGGCAACCTCCTCTGCCTCATCTTCTGGCAAACGAAGTATGGCTGAAAACAACAAACAGCATGATGAAAATTAATTTAACGCTAACCAAGGCTGTGCTCTAGCAGTGCCCAGGGTCCCTGGCACCTAACGTTTACTCCCAGGCAACCAGAAAATCTTAGTCTTTGCAAAGAAAACATATGCTGGGCACCCTGGATTTTACAGGTTAAGAGCACTGGGCTCTTTTCAGTTTTTTTGTCATCATGGGTCAGTTTGCATTTCTGGATAGGAAGGAATGGGGTAACTTTCCTAAACCCGAACTGGGTTCAGAGAAAGGATAATTTGGCCTTTTTTTGCTATGAAAGTGGGTAGGTTTTCTAGTGTTATGGAATATAAACATATCAATAAAGGAGATCAATGTGCCTAAGGTCCTCGTTGGAAAAGTTACAAGCCCTATCAGTGAGTTTTAACTCTTCCTCATAAATTATAAATGATCAAACCATATTCAATAACTCCAACATGACCTTGCACAATTTTATGTTTCTACATAAGATCAGTAAACACATCTGAAATTAAAGCACCCTTACATTTATCTAATTTTAACAAGTTAAGTTCGCGGTGACTCGGTTTTTTAAAACGTGAACATTAAGAAAGCTTAAACGAGTTGCTGGTGTCAACACCTCAATGTTTATTACCTCAACGACATGACTTACTGCTACATTGCTAGGAAAAAACTGCACTTACAGTTTTCAGTTACTATACAGTAAAGTAAGCTGCGAGCAATCAATGATAGATAAGGTGAACTCACTCGCTTGCTTGCGACAATCTTCACGAATCACATCCTGTTCATTTAAATCCAGTAATCCATCCCAACTTGATAGCGCGTCAGGTTTACCCACTACGTTTAAACAGACCTTCAAAAGTAAAGAAATGTTTCTCAATATCTAAAAATTTGTCAAGGATAGTCGTACTGGAATTCAATTAACTTGTACCTTCCATACGTCCGCTCTATTTTCTGCTGGAATCTTCCTTCCTCGACACAGCTCACGCAATCTGTCGATGTCCTTTTGTTTTGACAGTGCCAAAACTAAATCTGTGTGCCTGTGAGAAGTCATAGGAGGAAATAGAAAGTTTCAAAAGGTATCCAAAATAAAGCTGATGATAAACGTAAGGCTTAAAACCACTTCAATAGAAGTGTTTTGACGATTTTACCATCCTACATCGTCGATACCACCACCTTCCGCCATTTTGAAAACGTCATCATTGTCTGATGTCCCACAATTCTCTCCGAAATGACCCAGCAGAAGTGTAGGGACCGACAGGCACCCCAGACCCATATCGGCTTTCGGATCGGAAAGGGGTTCTAAATTCCGCTTTTTCGAAAAGATTCCAAATAAAAAATGACTTACCTTTTGTTTGTGTTGTGTGTTTAACAGCAGTTCGTTCTAGAGCCATTTCGAAGCCGTTTTCAGTTCGCGTTAGATTTACATTTCACGATACTTCGAGTACAACTCGAAACCTAAACTCGCCAAAACGAATTCAAAATGGCTCTAAAAGCAAACTGACTGTAAAACACACAACACAAACGATAGAATAGAAAGGAACCTTACCTTTAGTGTATCCGTTGGCTCGTTGCAAAGACTGCTGCTATCGCAACGATCGTCAAGTAAGAGTTGCGGTCAACCAGGCTTAAGATAAGGGGAAAAAAACTAGAAACTACATGGTAAGGGGTTGGACATCGGGGCGGAGCCTCCCCGTATAAAACCTTTTTTGAACCGCCCCCGGGAAAAGCTCCATCTAAGAAGGGCGACATTGATTTGCTGTCTTCATTTAGTATGTTAACTGATCTTGCCCAGTTTTAACCTGAGATTAGGCGTTATTATTATTTTTTTTTGTTTGCTTCTTTGGCTCGAGAGGGAAAAACGACATAAAGGGATAATAGGGAGAGGGCATGATCTCAGGTTAGCCCAGTTTCATTGCTTTACCCTTTTGTGTACCGGCATTTTTGGCCGAAAAGGTACCCCGTTCGTATACCTTCTATTGACAAATAGTACCCTTTTCGTATACCTAATTTAGAACTTTGCATCTCTTTAACTGTCGTAAATGAACAGTCTTTAAAATGTAAATAAACCACAAAACCCAAACGGTTTCTCGACTTTTTCACAGCCATAAAATGCATCTGTTAGCCCTTTTGGGCCTTTTTTACCAACCAAAAATGACAGATTTCCCTCCCCTTTCACGTACTTCATCATCAAGTGAAATCCGTACCTTTTCATATACTTGAAGCCTGAAAAAGGTACCCCCTTTCCACGATGGGCATATAGGACGCCTAAAAGTGTATCCTAGGAACTATATTTGAATTTTTTATTCCCGGCGTTTGAACTCAAACTTTTCAGGATGTCCTGGATGGTAGAACTTTGTATTCCAAAAGATCGTAGTTTTTTTTCGATTTAAACGTTTTTTTGGCGGGAAAATGACGTCACAAGACACAGAGGACTGATCATGGCCTGTCTCATGATTCCACTTCAACTCAAAACAAAACAAAATATTTCAGAAGAGTACCGTTACAAAGTACCACTGCACTGAGCCAGCCTTCGTTCTACCACATTTTCCGCGGCAGCGCTCCATGTATATTTACGTGGCATGAATACTTAAGTAGAGCAGGTGGACGCCATCCTCGGAGACAGTCAGTTAGGTGGAAAGAAAAAGTGCGACGAAAGTTTTCAAGCATGGGTGAAAGAGCCCCAGCCCAAGCTTCAAAAATTTCGTCGCGCCTCTTCTCCCCATCCAACTGACTGCCCAGGAGTCTCCGGCAGGTTAGCCGAGTGTCAAACTTTAGAGAACCGAGATTCAAAGAAATCATTCCACAAGATGTCGCAAGGAAAAACTAACAATACATGAGGCAACTGGTTTACCAATCTAAATGATAAGCAAGGATAGATGGGGCTTGTTCTAAACAATCCAACCAATTCTAGTGTCACTGATGTTCTGACACGTGACATAGTTAAGGAGGTCCACTAAGTTCAGGCAAAATATATAGGTTTTTTCATAACCGATCCCCTTTCACGTTTCGATCCTTGATCCTGAAATTCTCAGGAAATTTTGTGTCAATTCCTGTTGGAATTTTTCTACCCCATACTAAATTCCATTTAAGCGAATCAAAACTGCCACGATTTCTAAATACGAGGAAAGCTCTCCTTATGTTTTCCTTTTCTTTTATTTTTCTTTTCTTGGAGAGGTGGGGGGAAGGGGCGGGTATTATACCCAAAGCTTCAGTTGTAAACATCCGTTGCTGTTGTTTCGTAGTTAGCCTCATCTCAATTATTATTTGTACTTAGTTGTAGACGATGGAATAAGATAAAGATTGTTGTAGTTAAAATAGTTTGCTGGCTAGTTTTTTGACGTTTTCGGTAATTTTGCAAACGCAAGACAGGTACTGAAACGTTCTCAAAGGTTCAAGTCAATAAATAGTCTATTGATTTGGCGGATCTTTTTGTTAACGGAAAAGAGCTTTTATTTACAGTGCACTTGTCCAAGAAACGAACTCTCAAACGAAACGATCTCTGCACTTCAGCGAACTGTTCACCAAAGAATTCTCTATATTTTAAGTTATTGGAGTGTCCAAGTCTACGGAACTTGTTTTTTCATTCTGGAGCCCGGTTAACGTCTTTTGTGAATCCATTTGGCCTTTAATTTCCTGCTAGGACAAACACTAAGTGCAAAGGAGTCTATTGTACTCTGATATTAAACTTGACTTCCTGACGGTGTCCCAAGAACGAGCAGCAAAATGAAACCTAAAGAATTAAAAGAAAAATGGCCTCATAAATCAGAGAATATAAAGCGATGAGGTGTCTCTGGAAGAGGTGATTATGATCGACTGCAGGTCCCCGGGGGTGCAAGGGTTTGCGCCCTTTTACGATCGATAGCTACAGTGTATACCCTTTCTTTTCGAAACTGCTTAAGTTGCGTATATAACTGCGATGGTCTTTCTTCAAATAATTCTTCACTCCGCAGTTCACATATATGACTTTCATATATTCATAATTTCATCATCATCCTTTCACGGTATTATAACGAACCAATTCAACCACCTGCTCCCAGTTGGCTTGTTAGCTTAATTGGTAGAGCGCTGCACCGGTATCGCAGAGGTCAAGGGTTCGAATCCCGTACAAGCCTGGCAGGCTTTCTTTTCGCAACTGCATAAGTTGCGTATATAACTGCGGCTTCAAATAAGTGTATACCCTTTATCAAGCCTTCTAGTCCTTTCTTCAGGTTCACATTTTTACGGCTACACCACGCTCTAAAGGTAGGTCATTTACCGCAGGGTTTTTTTGCACTCTAAAACATCCCAATCCCACATTTGAGAGAAAACGGTACTCTTTAGAACTCTTTCGCTAATTAATTACTGAACTATTTTTCATAGAAACGAAGACGATTTCTCAGCTAAAATAGAAGTGAACGAATGAATAAAAACAAACCTGGCAACCGCAGGCTACCACCCGCGAATCTTAAGCCCCAAATATGGAAAGACGGATAACGTGAAATCGCTAACCGCAAACCGCAGCTTGCCGTTTGCCCCTGTCAAATGCGCTTTAAAAACGATTATGCCCTCCCCCTCCCCTAGAGGCCTACCAAGAGATTTACGGGAATCAATCTGATCAACGCTTGAGGTATATTCTATATAGCATCAAAATATTAAAACCAATAGCGTTTTTTAAAGGTTTATCACAGAAGGAGTAACTGTGGCACAGAGTCTTACCAGTTCCTCTCCGTCAGAGTGTGATGAGTTAGAAGGTGTCGGTGGACAGAAAAGATCTGCAAAAGATTTTAATATCAATTAAGAGTAGACCTCGATAAAACTGTGTCCGTTCAAAGGAATACTCCAGCTGTTCGTCATCCCAATCTATAGTAAATTGTGTGTATATTCGTGAGGGTCATGGAATTATCACCGATATCAGTTTCCTGAATAACGAAAAAGGATGCAGTTCCGATTCAGAATGGCACTTTAAATCAATGACTCTTGGATTCTAAATCCAACTGTTAAAACTTTTGCAAAGTGGTAAGGGAGGACCTTTTTTTAGTAGCAGTGAAAAAAGAAAGCATTAAAGAAGGGACTAGAAGAAAAGACAAAGACAACCCAAATACGACGCCTCCTTTACTCCAGATATCAATCCTGCAGGTTACATCAGCAGAAGAGGAAGAGGGGCTTCTTCTCTAAACAACAAACAATGTTTTTTTAACTCCTATCTAACTGCCTAAAATAAGCTCACAAAATGGAAGCGTAAAAGTACCTGATTTCTAAGAGTCTGCAGCACCATCTCAAAGCTTGGATTTCCTTGATACGTCGGGGACTTGGTGCAGATTCCATTCCCTGGAAGAAGAAATTATGCAAGTACCGACAGTTACTCACAAAAAATGACAGTAACGAAAAAATCGTCCTGTTTTTGGTCACGGTCAATCAGTGATGCAAATGAAGAAATTCACTGGAAAATCATCGTTCGAGTTGCCTGATTGGAGGAACAATTTTATTCACGCACGTCTAGTCGTTGTTGTCTTATTTGTTTCAAAGAAAGCTCAGTAATCAAAGAATAAACAAGTAACTTCGTGGTTGGTTTGCTAGTAAGATTATTAATCATGAGTTCGCGATTCTTCAATACTCTTGAATAAAAATCGTACATGCTCACCAGCCATGAAGTGATCTCTATTTACTCCACATCAATACAAATAGTTCGTCACATCCAGGAGTACAAAAAATGTGCAAAAACCTATCGTGGCTGTGCCGCTTGCTTGAACTCCCCAACAAAACCACCAGCTACATGCTAATTAAGAGGTTACTGGTTGTCTCTTAATGAATGAGTATATGTGAATGTAGATACAATTTTTGTTAAGAAGTGCAATTTCATATAATCTCTGCCTACCACAGAAACCTTTCTGTACCAAATACAAACAAGTGCTCCACAATAACAAATTTGTCAACTTCCGAGACCGCGAACACAATTTAATGTCAACTTTAAATCTAAACCCTATTTTGGCTTGTAATACAGACCGGAGTTGTTTGCCACTTTTACCTGCATGCGGCTGATATAATGGAACTAAGAAGATATTCATGTCATCACAAGACGTCAGAAGAGTTCTGTAAGGCATCAGGCTGCTACTCAACAGTGAAATTCCACCTACAATAATGGATATTTCGAAACGTTTCATACTGAGGTGAGTCTAACCACCAATTCAGTTAATCCAGGAAAAACCGCCAGAAAAGCTACAATGTTCTAGCATAAAATACAAATTATTAGTTGGGAGAGGTTGAACTGCCGCATTACATTGATAGAAGATAACTCCTCACTGAATGCAGGTTAGGGATTTCATTGTCTAAGCAGTTGAATAACCCGTTCATCTCTTCCTCATTTACTGACTGATTCCTGGGTTTTTACCACACAAATACATATGGTGAACATTTTCAGTCACCCTAAGCACCATATTTTCCCACTGAAAAAGTCTTTTACTTGATACAAAGCAAAAAAAGCATCCAGGAGTTGTCAAAAATGATTTTAAGTTTCTTATGTTTTAAAATACGGTGAATTTTAAGCAGCTATAATGCAATCAAGTTTAAAGTACCCTTCGATTTTCACTTATCAATTGCATTCAATTGGAAAATTGTGAGGATTCCTCTAACGGGATCCAACAGTAATTTCCCAAATGCACACAAGGATTTAAATAAGGAGCCAAGGGTCCAAATCAGTTAAGTTCAGTTCAGGCCCAGTGCTTCTGCCATGCTGAACGTAATAATCCACCGCAGCAGGATTGGCTCGGTCAGTAGGACGCTTGATCCGTGTCCCCGTCAATTCTGAGAACATAACCTTCATCCTCTTTACCTTTGCCTGATACTCACAACGAACCTCAAGGCCAATTCTACACCAACTCTATTTACTCGTTTCCCGTTGACTATAACCTTTCCATTGTTGAGTAGTCAGACGTTTTTTTGGATCCTTTATATTGTTAGGTTCGGCATAAGTGTATAAAAGTCTCCCAATCTTGGTTCCCACTCAGTCACATACTCGTGATATCCCCTAAGGAAAGAGTTTACCTACAATTTACCATACAATTTCCTGTGACATTTTAGCTATTCAGCTCACCTTTGATNTCATCGGTTTTAACGGTTAAGGACAACCAACTAACTTGTGCGGGGTGAAAAACCATACCAGACTGACCACGATTCAGTCAAGGAGGCCGGAGAAAATGGGAAAAAACCATGTAACATTGACCATAAAATTCCCTTGAAAATCTTGCTTCACTACCCACCTACCTTTCCTTTCATCTAATGATCCTAAGATCGCAAAAGCTTTCCCAGAAACTCTTCCCACCGAAATGACGCCTACTAAATGCCCAGCAAAAGCAAAAAATGGGGCAAGATAAGTGAACATGAGGGTCAAAACTGCTCCGTCATCTCGAAATTTTGCTTTCTGCGCATGCCCGAACTTTAAAAGTTAATATTTTGCATCTGGATCAGAAGGCCGCGAAGGGTACGACCTATTATCGCCAGTGACCAGAAACGGTTGGACCAGCTTTAAAACGCGTTTTTCGGCAAAATTCCCAGGACCAAATGGGTTAGATGAGATGTAGCCAATAAAACAGGACACAAACTAAATGCAACAGTCAGAAAATATCTGCGAAAGAGTTTTTTGTCTAATATTTCTGTAACTTCGATTGAACAAGAATTGAATGGCCAAGAAAAGTAATTATACTATCACGTACACGGAAAATTCATTCAAGTAGCACTAACTTGTCTCAAAATGTTCCTCCCAAGCTCATGATATGATAGTTACACTTACTTTGTAGTTTTAGCCTGGAGTGTTGAAATAGAGTACTGGTCACAGCATGCATCGAGCTCAGGTTTTCGTGGTCAAAATCTTCTCTTGTGGATTTATTATATACAAACACTGAAAGTGAAAAGCATTCTCATAAAGATAACTTTTAGGATAAATAATAGAACACATTCAAAACATCTTGAACTGCACCCAACACAATTTAAAAAGTGTAGAGTCAAAATGATCCCATAGACAAAAGAATCATTATTGTTTTTTTTTTAATAAATGTGCTCCATAACAAGAACACCGTCCATGTAGTTTGATCAACTTTGTAAATTTTACCAGAGACATTTTAAATCACAGGACTTATACGGCAACATGGAATCTGTTTGTTAAGTAGTTGCTGTCGTTAGTGCAGTTGCTTTAGTTTCTTGTAGTTGTTTGTTTAATACATTTTCATTTACACGCGCTACTGCCAACTTCAACAAACAACCAACTAGACCAATTTACAACAACTTAAAAGCAACCACAACAACCACAAGTGGGGTGACTAAACCACGTACACCAAAGCACAGAGCTACAGCAACTACACGAACTACACCCATTCACCCTAGTCACCCTAATCACCTTAGTCACAAGTCACTCCTGACACCCTGGTCACCCTAGTCAGCCTAATCACCATAATCTCCCTAGTCACAAGTTACTCCTGACACCCAAGTCACCTGTCGTGAAATATTTCCTTCAGCATTACGAGGCTCAAATCTCCTTTTAATTCATAATTCAGGCACTTTGAGCCCTTAAATGCGTAAGGGAAAAATTTAACGACAGTTGCAACTGCTACTTTTGAGATATACGGCTGAAAATTTGCAGGTTACCTAATTTTAATATGCTCTTTCAGCTCGTGCTAACAAAATTTTTCAAAAGCGAACTGTTCTCGTGTTTACGAAAGTTGATCACGTGATCAGTTAATGTAAAGGGCCTATTCCAGTGGCTCACATCAAATTCAAAGTTTTCACTAACCTATATTGGGGTAATTTTCGTCAGAATCCTCTGAGGAGCCTAAGCTGTTTAAGGAAAAAAGAAAACATGCACGACAATCAATACAAAGCCTTTCTCTGATCAAATCACCGCTACCCCAAGCTTGTGAGAAATGGATATTTTCGTTGCGACCTTTGTTGTTTTAGCGTCATCATAGCTTGAGAGCAAGCTCTCCATTTAAGAATCGCAAGATGCAAGAGTCTAAAAAATTGGACGTCAAGTTTAGCCGTGTCTTTATCAGATATAAGCTATTAGTGAGGTTTTGAATAAAAAATAAATTAGCTAAATTTTCATGCAAACTCAAGTACGATAAGCTAAATTAGAACAGTATTGAATAGTTAAAATTTGAACGTTGATATAAAGGTTAGAAACACAGTTTACTCTCATATTTAACTAAACTAGGATACACTGTACACGAAACAGCACAACGTCTGGCAAACCACACACCCATTGTTAAGACAATGCACACCTAGACCTAATATAAGTCTTACGGTGCTGAGTTCATCAACATAGATCACTTGATGGATAGCGTTTTCCCCAATATATGAGCAGTTCCAAGTAGGATGAGCCTCTAAAGCTTTTTATATCCCGTTGTTTCCGGTGATTTTACTGGTACAATTTTCCATCCCCTTCTTGATGAGCCCAAGGGCACCTATGACCGCTGGTGTGGTTGTTGTTTTCATACCATAAACCCCCTCACGCCCTGATACTTGGATAGTTTCTCTGTTTGTTTCTCCATTGCTTTAGACCGACCTGAACTTTCAAATGATGTCCAGACACCTTAAGGTTAATACTCTCACGGGCAGGAAAATAATACTAAAAGATATTTAGAAATCACTAAAAGTATTATACATTTTGTCTCTCTTCCAGATTCACAACTTGGATGTTACTTATTTCCCTTTCTAGTACGTAGATGGCTCTTACCCGGATGATTCATGTGTTGCANCTAGCCCAAGCTTGTGAGAAATGGATATTTTCTTTGCGACCTTTGTTGTTTTAGCGTCATCATAGCTTGAGAGCAAGCTCTCCATTTAAGAATCGCAGGATGCAAGGGTCTAAAAAATTGGACGTAAAGTTTAGCCGTGTCTTTATCAGATATAAGTTGTTAATGAGGTTTTGAATAAAAAATAAATTAGCTAAATTTTCATGCAAACTCAAGTACGATGACTAAATTAGAACAGTATTGAATAGCTAAAAGTTGAACGTTGATATAAAGGTTACAAACACAGTTTACTCTCATATTTAACTAGACTAGGATACACTGTACACGAAACAGCACAACGTCTGGCAAACCACACAGCCATTGTTAAAACAATGCACACCTAGACCTAATTTAAGTCTTATGGTGCTGAGTTCATCAACATAGATCACTTGATGGATAGCGTTTTCCCCAATATATGAGCAGTTCCAAGTAGGATGAGCCTCTAAAGCTTTTTATATCCCGTTGTTTCCGGTGATTTTACTGGTACAATTTTCCATCCCCTTCTTGATGAGCCCAAGGGCACCTATGACCGCTGGTGTGGTTGTTGTTTTCATACCATAAACCCCCTCACGCCCTGATACTTGGATAGTTTCTCTGTTTGTTTCTCCATTGCTTTAGACCGACCTGAACTTTCAAATGATGTCCAGACACCTTAAGGTTAATACTCTCACGGGCAGGAAAATAATACTAAAAGATATTTAGAAATCACTAAAAGTATTATACATTTTGTCTCTCTTCCAGATTCACAACTTGGATGTTACTTATTTCCCTTTCTAGTACGTAGATGGCTCTTACCCGGATGATTCATGTGTTGCATGACCGGCAGATGAAGGCTTTAACATCTCAGCTGTTTTTAGAAGTCTGCAAAATAATAACAAACACATAGACATGTACATCATAAGTACCACAAGATAATCATGAGCACTTGTCAACTGTATGTAGAAGGAGAGGGTTTATTAAAACTGAAGTTGACACCTGTGGTGGGGTTTACAAAAACTCCACTTACAAAGAATTTTATGTGTTTGTTTTAAAGATAAAAGAAATGCCGCAATGTATTTTCAAGCAACCTCTCTGGAAATGTTTATTAGAAAAAGGAAACTTAACAAATTCCTACGAGACTTGTCCATTTCACCTTTTCAAAAACGTCTGATGAGAAGGACGAAATGCTAGCTAATCTCAACACAAGGGTGAGATTATTTTTCTTTCTTTTGCTCATGTTGTAAAGGAAACTTAAACTTGCAAATGCGATATTAACGGGTGGCTCTTCTCCATCTCATCGAAACATAAAGGCGGTGCAAGACAAAGTAGACGAAGTAAGGTTTATTTCGAAAAATATCATGGAAAGCTGTACAGTCACTAATGGCATAAAAAGACACGGAGAATTTTAATGCGACACTCTCATCAGTTTTCATGCCCGGCATGTTGTGTCTTGAACTCGTTATTCTTTTACCATTATTCAGAGAAGTCAGAATGGAAATTCAGAGGCTACAACCTTCTGGTGTAATAAGGACAGGAAGAGCTCAACAAAACGAAACCTTAAGGAACAATAGCTTCTCAAAAATTCTTCACTCTTGTAAACTAAAATTATACCTTTGAATGGCCTATGAATAACAAAAGAGAGGCATAACCCGCAAAATGTAACCACTTGTTTTTGATGATTTTTCCCCTTCCTAGAACTTACTGAGAATGACAGAAAAAAATAACGAAAAAAGAAAACAGGTCAAAGAAAACAAATTTTCAAACCAAGCAGTAAAAAATATTCAAATCTCATGGGGCCCTTGTGTGGATGAAGGTCTGTAGTATCTGCAAAGTTAAGGAGACTTTTGTGACTACTTAACCAATATAGTAACAGTGTAGTACCTTACAACGTTGAGGTCTGTAAACCAATCTTGCACCACTAGAATCACATGACAGACAGTCAACAGAAATGTGACAATCTGTATAGACTAAAAAAAATAAAAATGGATAGCATCAGACTGATCAACATGGTACAACCAAGAACAGTTACTGTGATTAACATCCTTGGACAGTCTGAGTAGAGAATATATTACATTACGCGCGGTTCCAGACTATGAAAATGGCTTGGCCTACTGAAAGTGGTGCAAAAGAGCTGTTAGTAGGTAAAGTGATTGCATGTAACATTAAGTCACGGGCCAGTTGCATAAATCTTAAAATCAGTCAAAACAGTAACGTCAGCTAATGTCCACCGCAGACAAGCTTTTTATTTTAACAGAAGACATTACACTTAAGCGGGTCTCAGAAAATTTTGGCCCGATCTCGAAATTTCAGAAGCGTTTTTGATAGGTTTCGAATTCTCGTTTAAGGGTGATTTTTATGTCTCGGAGTCTCCAATTTTTTTTGTCCATGGGTCTTGGATTCTAGGATTTGCGTTTTTTCTTTCGGTTTGGTCTTCAGGAGTCGACTTTTTCAAAGTTCAGGGGAACACTTATCAAAGTGAGCTAGTAGATTAAAACGGTAAAACAAGACAAAGCAGTATATTGGTAGGCTTCCATTGGCGTTATTTGTCATTTTATTTAGCTTTATTTGTACCATTATCACGAAATTTTCGGCGCTAAGAGTTTCGGGCTCGGATTTTAGAAGTAATTAGTCTCGGGCCTGGAATTGATTAAAACGCTTGAGCCCTACTCTCGAATTTACCATTCTATAGCCCTATAAGACATTGGGTTAACATCAGTAACCACAATCTACTGAAAACCTTGAACCTTTGACGACAACTTATTACTGTATAAGCAAGGTAAGAGCTTCCATCTAGTGGCCAAGGTTTTACAATAAAGGGATTCATTTAATTAACACGAAGCTAATGAGACTGTACAATCATGAACGTCCTACCTGAATCTCATTGTAGTTTTCTGGAGAAGTGTATTCTGGAGGAATGTTGCGATCATGATGAATCAGGTGGTCCAATAATGCTGCACTCAGAAGTGGCTGGAGACAAGACACAGAAGAATATAATCAAGAAAATTACCAAATAATGCGAGTTTCGCAGAAAACCTTTCAAAAGACTGAAGATGTACGTAACAATAAATTTGCTTAGGTCTTTTCTTGAAAAATGCCCTTAAAAGATTAGCATGTTCAATGTAATGGTCAGTTGCTTTGAAATAAGTCCTGTACATGTGCTCCGAACCAATAACCAAACTGTGAGGTATTTTTAAGTTTAGACTGTCTTTATGACCAATCATATTATTGGAGATCAGGATACAACACAAAGCACAATGAACCACAAACTAGTTCCCATGCTGCTTGTAGTTCAATTATCTTATGCCTGATTGCCTTTTTCATTACAAAGCAAGTACAAGTATGTAGCAAACACTACTCTTGCACCTTTAAAGCCAAACTTAATCTTAAATTGTGTAACCAAATGGCCCTTCTTGGGAATTGAAGATTTCTACGATTTCAGTTTCATGGGCAAAAGCAAAATATTCTTTACGATGGATGTTACCTGTAAATACATCTTTGTAGTTCGTTAAAGCAAACTGAGGTCTTCAAGTCAAACCCATGGTCTTAAAATTAATATTGTGTCACTCTCCCATCAACAAGTTCCACTGTTTCTTTTGAAACTAGTTAACCTCTGCTTGGAAATGCCTTATCTTCCATCAATAAAGCTTCAATCAAAAATGTGCTAGATAACATTTCATGGTTACTAGAATTGACTAACATTCTCCTTCACTATTTTGTTAAATCATTTTCAGTTTCACTTTAGTTAAAAAAAAAACATAGACATTCAATATATTACACACAAGAAAAAACAAATAATAGTTGAAGGTTAAAGGTGATGTAAAATTGCATAAGTAAAAGAATTAGAAATATTTTTCTGTTAAAGATAAAGCTCAAATTGAAACTGGGGGCCCCTATCTAACTTCAGACTAGACATGCAATAACTGAGCAGCGTTGAAAACAAAACAAACTAAACTGGCAAAAAGCAGCAATAAAGGAACAAATAACATGTGCAGTAAATGCAGAGGTGGAGAAACAGTTATAGAGAAATGCTATCATCTCACCCTGCCAGATTCATATTGAATGCTGACCTGTTTATAAAGTGGAAAAAGAGACAGAGCATTTCAGCAGCATTACACTTGCACATAAATCTTACCTGAGTATCAAGCAGAATTACTCTTTCTTGAGTTACAGCCATGTCGATACCACGTGTCTGATACGTTCCATCCTCCTGAAAAACAAATGCAGATGCTAATAATGATACATTCAAGGTCAACAAAAAAATCCGACAACGAGAAGACGGGAAGGAAGGGGAGTATGCTGTGATGAACCTCAAAAGAAAGTAAAAAAAAATTCCAGCATACTTATTAGAGAGATTTAGAATGACGCTTACAGCAAACGGCAAATGTGAAATGGTACTGTACCATGTGGCCAAGTTTTCTGTTTACTTGTCATTTGCTATTCATTATTTATGCACGAGAATAACTTGCTTCTGGTTATGTTCATCTGTCAGATATATTTTGGACAGTTTTTGTTTGTTCATTTCCTAAAGTGAGAAATTCTCAACTTGGATCTCACGTTTGTATAACGTGACTGTAGATCTCTCTAATATTGTAATATGTAAGTGAATTGAGGCATGACATGACAGGTCACAAAAGCAAACGTAGTATTTGATAAACAACATTGTAGTACTGATTCATGATCTCTAATGAAAATATCTCCTGTGCCTTCAAGTAGTTTCAAGTTATTTAAGTTTTGCCTTTATCCACTAATTTTATAACATAGTGTCAGGTAGTAGACATGGCAGCTTGTGGAACTGTGAGAAATTGTTTATGAAAATCAAAGGACAAACTTTTTTCTGGTTGAGTTGAATCTTGTAGTGTTCATATTCACGGATGCCTTGTCCATTGACGCTTCACACTAATGCTACTGATTTTCATTCAGTTTTAAATCTATTTTGTTGTGAAAGGTTAAGATGATAAAGCAGACAAACTAAAGGTAAATTTGTTACTTCATTGTGCTAGACAAGAAGCTGTCAAGGATTCTAGCCACTTAATTTGCGTACACCGATAACTAAGAGAAAGATTGCAAACAAGACACGCAAATTCAAGGAATAGTGTAAGGATGCTAGCTAGAAATGTAATTTATGTACGACTAGTTAGAGGATTGGAAATCGCTTGCCGTTAACTTGCGAATTTGGCGCCCTTCAAGATTGGCTCATTTGAGATCTCATTGTGGGAGGGGTCTGTCAGACAAATTGCAAGGCACACTGCTAAAGAAGCCAGATTTGACGCTGCAAACCGCTCATGGTTATTGCAGTACATTCAAGGAAACTAAACTCCAGAAATACAAGCTTAACGCACCAACACTTGTTGGTACAGAATGTTCACTAGAATTTCACCCTGCTTCATCATGATATGCACACACATTTTGGATCTGTCAAGGTCTCGGTAAAGGAAAACGAGGTGCCCACAGAAAAAAATTATAGTCGCGAGATTATTTTCGCTACAAAGGCAAGTTATATATCAAATTAAAGCTAAAAGACTAAATTACCTTATTAAAGATTTTATTTCATCGAATTTCAAAAGGCGCTTAAGTTTTTTGCTCTCGAACTCAGAGGTATCGAGTTTACTGATGAAGCTCCAGCCCTTTCGCGTTGTTAAATATTCACTTCCTTTTTATTGCATCTGATTGACAGATAAAAGACCTAAAAAAGGGTGTGAGGAAATTTGCATGTCTCGTATTAGCGGAATTATTGCATTTCAAACTAACAAGTCGAATCTCGAGCGCGATTTACGCAAAGAAACTGACATAAAATGAGTTACAAAGGGAAATCGGAAAATTCCTCACACCCTTTTTTTAGGTCTTTTATCTGTCAATCAGATGCAATAAAAAGGAAGTGAATATTTAACAACGCGAAAGGGCTGGAGCTTCAGCAGTAAACTCAATACCTCTGAGTTCGAGAGCAAAAAACTTAAGCGCCTTTTGAAATTCGATGAAATAAAATCTTTTATAAGGTAATTTAGTCTTTTAGCTTTAATTTGATATATAACTTGCCTTTGTAGCGAACGTACTCGCGCGACTAGAATTTTTTTCTGTGGGCATCTCGTTTTCCTTTACCGAGACCTTAAGCTGGATAGTGTCTCCGGCGATTGAAAGAAATCTAGGAGTTTAATTACCCTCAAGATTACTCTAAAGGATGAACAGATCAAAGCAGACACTGGTGCAGAAGTTTCAGTCACTCCCTATGAACTGAGCAAGGAAATCATTATAGAGGAGCTTGCTCTGTGAGTTATCTAGGCTTCGTGGAGAAGTTTAAAAAAAAATCAGACAAACCTATTCTAAGAATTCAGCAAACTTTACATGGGTGGTTGACGTCTAAAACCGTTACAACTCAATATGAGAGTCGTGATAACTTGTTGTATCTTGTTGGTGTTAGAAACTTTACACCATTGCAAGGTTGTGATGCTTGTCTAGATTTATAAGTCCTCATGTTTTATGAATGTGGAACTGACAAATACTCCAGAGTTAGAACCACCTGTGCAAGAAACGCCAAGGGGCCTCCAAACTGATCCTGTGTTATGGGACTATGAAGATTGTTTCAGTAATAACCTGGTAAGCTACCAAACAAAGTACATAATTTTTGGAAGCTGATCTCTTAGTTCCTCCAATAGTACAATCTTGTAGGAAAAATTTCCACTTGCACTTCTTGTATCAGCACAAGAAATAGCTCACACAGATGGAAGAAAATGGGAATATTATCAACGAAGAGGAACACTCCCCTTGGGTTTCATCTATGTTAGTGATTGACAAAACGAAAGTGAAAGAAAAGAGCACTCCACCCTCAAAGAATGATGTTCGAAGAGATTTGCATTGACCCAGGGCATCAACCTAAAGAAAGCACACAATCCAATGGCCATGAAACAGNCTCCAAACTGATCCTGTGTTATGGGACTATGAAGATTGTTTCCGTAATAACCTGGTAAGCTACCAAACAAAGTACATAATTTTTGGAAGCTGATCTCTTAGTTCCTCCAATAGTACAATCTTGTAGGAAAAATTTCCACTTGCACTTCTTGTATCAGCACAAGAAATAGCTCACACAGATGGAAGAAGATGGGAATATTATCAACGAAGAGGAACACTCCCCTTGGGTTTCATCTATGTTAGTGATTGACAAAACGAAAGTGAAAGAAAAGAGCACTCCACCCTCAAAGAATGATGTTCGAAGAGATTTGCATTGACCCAGGGCATCAACCTAAAGAAAGCACACAATCCAATGGCCATGAAACAGGCAGTTGCTAACCGGCTTTCATGTGCTGTGAGTTTTGCCTACCTTGATGTATGTAGTGGGTATTGGCAGCTCCCAGTGGATGATGAAAACTCAAAGCTCTAGACATTCAACACTCCCTGGGGTCAATATCGATTTACAAGGCTCCCCTTTTATATCTCACCGGCCCCTGAAATCACCAAAGGGAGATGAACAAACCCTTTGAGAGGGTTCCTGTGGAGATTATGGTGGACGATGTCCTGATACATGTACATGGTGAAGATCAAACAGATGATGATCGTAAGTTATGACGAGTACTGGATAGGAGCAGGGAAGCAGGACTGAAGTTCAACCCTAAGAAACAAAACCTTTGGATTTCTGAAGTAAGCTATGATGGACTTGTGTTTTCTGTTGACGGCTTGAACCAGACCCTAAAATGCAAGCAATCAGTGTCAAAGAAGATGTGTCTCAAATACTAGGAACGGTCATTTACCTGGACAAGTTCATTGAACAAACGTTAATCTACAGCAACTAATTGCACAACGTACCCAGAAAGATGTAGCAATTTGTGCAACAAGAGGCTTTTGATGAACTGAAGTCTTTCAACACTAGTGCCCCTAGGTTGGCATACTCTGACAACAGCAAAGAGAAGTTCTCAGTAATGATACAAGTTACACAGGCCTTGGAACAGTGATCATAAAGAAGAGGAAACCGGTTGCTTTCAGTTCAAAGACAATGCTTTCCTCTGGGAAGATATATAACGTTATTTAAAGAAAGCTGGTAGCTGACGTTTCGCATGTGTACAGGCAGAGAGTTATTGAGACAGACCACAAACCAAATCCCTGACAACCGCTGAATGAGGCCCATCCCAGACTACAGATTCACCAAGTGCGACCTTGAGGTAAGATATGTCCCTGGAAAAAAGGTCATTTCAGACTGTCTTAACAGAGCACATCCCAGTGAAACTGAAGAAGACAGTGCATGATATTTCAGGATTACCTTGGCAAGTTGTTTGAAGCGACCTGTTAGTTACTGACTTGTACTCAAGGTACTTTGAAGTAGAGCTACATTGCCAAACCATGTACAGCCACTTGTCTCATCAACAACTTGAAGAAAATATTTGGGAGGTACAGTACAGCAACAACAGACATTTGTACAAAATTAGTGCAACAATCAGTATTAGATGGTAGGGTGGTAAATGATCGATTTGAACGTGTACAGTAAGCCAAAGATGATTGAACAACTCTACTTTGAATTAAAGAGAAGGTTGGGTTCTCAGGACTAACTCTTTTTTTGACATTGACACAAGCATTTTCACAACTTTGCTTGAAGCTCGTGATCCCCGCCTTAGCAAGTGCATCTTTGCATGAAGTAAAAGCATAGATAATGGAGAGGGCACACTTCTGGATTTTCTCCATGTCATTGGCAAGGTAGTTGGGGAGATTAGCAAAAGCAGCAGCTCCATATTCAAGTACAGATCTGACAAGTAAACAGCAGATAATAACAACATCATCTGGATAGACTCCACTCTTCCTAATAGCCTTCAGTTGGCTTTCTTGATAACATAATTGCAGTGAATAACCCATGGGAGATCTTTGGTAATGTGAACACCAAGCAACTTAAATGAATCGACGGGATTCGATGTACATGCTAACAGTGGCAATGGGCTGCCACACACAACTGTTACAGCAAAGAAAGTTGACGATAAACTCTTTACATTTTTTGCAATTTAAACTTGTTGCAACAACCTTAGGCACAGAGGCCCCTGATTGTTTGGCATGGACAACCCAACAATGAGTTCCCATGTGAAATGTGTTTTTTGGCTTGTTCAGAGAAGAGTAGTTTCAAGTTATTATATTAGTTTTTGCCTTTCATTGACTGATTTTACAACCGTTGGCTTTAATTTTATCCTAAAACCCCAAATCACTTCCCTTTGCCTTTAGTATGGTCATGTAAGATTTAAATAAAGAAAGCTTTTAAAAAAAATAGACAAGAACATGATAGAACCACAACTTTTCAATATTTCCAGGTGCTCTTTGCATGGTTTGACTTGAGACAACTTAACATTCAAGTTTGACAGTTTAACAGTGAAAGCAAAGGTAACAATATAACNACTGAAGAAGACAGTGCATGATATTTCAGGATTACCTTGGCAAGTTGTTTGAAGCGACCTGTTAGTTACTGACTTGTACTCAAGGTACTTTGAAGTAGAGCTACATTGCCAAACCATGTACAGCCACTTGTCTCATCAACAACTTGAAGAAAATATTTGGGAGGTACAGTACAGCAACAACAGACATTTGTACAAAATTAGTGCAACAATCAGTATTAGATGGTAGGGTGGTAAATGATCGATTTGAACGTGTACAGTAAGCCAAAGATGATTGAACAACTCTACTTTGAATTAAAGAGAAGGTTGGGTTCTCAGGACTAACTCTTTTTTTGACATTGACACAAGCATTTTCACAACTTTGCTTGAAGCTCGTGATCCCCGCCTTAGCAAGTGCATCTTTGCATGAAGTAAAAGCATAGATAATGGAGAGGGCACACTTCTGGATTTTCTCCATGTCATTGGCAAGGTAGTTGGGGAGATTAGCAAAAGCAGCAGCTCCATATTCAAGTACAGATCTGACAAGTAAACAGCAGATAATAACAACATCATCTGGATAGACTCCACTCTTCCTAATAGCCTTCAGTTGGCTTTCTTGATAACATAATTGCAGTGAATAACCCATGGGAGATCTTTGGTAATGTGAACACCAAGCAACTTAAATGAATCGACGGGATTCGATGTACATGCTAACAGTGGCAATGGGCTGCCACACACAACTGTTACAGCAAAGAAAGTTGACGATAAACTCTTTACATTTTTTGCAATTTAAACTTGTTGCAACAACCTTAGGCACAGAGGCCCCTGATTGTTTGGCATGGACAACCCAACAATGAGTTCCCATGTGAAATGTGTTTTTTGGCTTGTTCAGAGAAGAGTAGTTTCAAGTTATTATATTAGTTTTTGCCTTTCATTGACTGATTTTACAACCGTTGGCTTTAATTTTATCCTAAAACCCCAAATCACTTCCCTTTGCCTTTAGTATGGTCATGTAAGATTTAAATAAAGAAAGCTTTTAAAAAAAATAGACAAGAACATGATAGAACCACAACTTTTCAATATTTCCAGGTGCTCTTTGCATGGTTTGACTTGAGACAACTTAACATTCAAGTTTGACAGTTTAACAGTGAAAGCAAAGGTAACAATATAACTTGTGTTAGGCTAATTAAAACTTTGAAATACTCACTTGTACTTGTCTTGTTTGCACAGGGAATAAACATGACCTGCAGGTTAAAAAGAAAATTTATATCTGCATCAGCAAAATGAGCATAGGAGGCAAAAAAAAAGGCACCGCCAGTTTGAAAGAACATCCAAAATATCAATGTTTACAAACCTTGAAAAAGGTCCTGCTCCAGCTACCACTGAGAGAACAGTTGATTTACCAGCACCTTGAGGACCAATGACACCTACCACTAAGAAATCTGTCTGGTCAAGAAGCACCTAGATAGAAAATTTTGAAGCACTGTCTCCTTTATCTTCACTGATATCATATATATATCATTTGTTAGTAGCAAACAATATTAGGCATTATTCCATAAAGACGCAATAAGATATTTAATTTGGTAATGATATTGTAATGTGGGTAAAAACAGTGTTATTTTGTAGGAATGTTTAACAACATTTTTGTCATGCTCCGAGTCACCCAGGGGCAGGAAAAGAGGATGCTGGGATATTAGGGACAAAACCATTGAAGGCTAATGTAAAAAAAAAGTCTTGAATGCAGGAACTGCTTCTAGCTAGCTTCATGCCAGGCAATATTAATTTCCTACTTGTAATTGGCAAGAATTAATGTTGCAGTGTAGTTGGAAAAATATTTTTAACTAGGTAATATTGGAAGTGAATTTGTGGCTGGGTATTTGGTTTAGGCTAGGTTGAGTCTGGGATTGAAACAGAATAATTTGTGGAATAATTTGAAGAAAAATCATCTTGTGTGGTCTATTGGACATACAGAAGAACTATGAATCAGAAGCTTGTGTTCAAAACATCAGTAGGTACAGCCTGAATTCTTCTTTCTCGTGACTTGTGTTTGTAATAGTGTGAATGTTCGAAATGAGAGAGTTAATTATAAAATATGATAAAAAGAAGAGGACACAAATAAATAATAAATTACAATAAAATCATTTTTTAGACGGTTAATTACAAATGCCACAAACTGGTTTTATTGCAATACACTATTGTTCAAACTCATCACCTCAAAAAAAGACTTTAAATCCTAACTATTCAGAATTGTCACGTGCAGTTTTCTCATTAATACGAGTTCATGGAAATTGAAAATACAAAGTATATCCTATCTAACTTAATTGCATATAAGAAGCAGATCAATGAGGAAGTGATCTACTCAATATCAGTACACACTGTACTACGATCAACCAAAGGAGATGAAATGAAACAAGAAAATATTTTATTTCTTTTTCTCCTTTTCTTTTTTTTCAGCTGCTTCAATTGATCACATAACTGTGAGAATCACATCCACATTTGACCAAAGAATTTTTATAAAAAATATTTATTACACAAGATTAAGACAATCAAGGCTTTAGAATTTAACTGCAATGACACTTACAAAATTTATTCTACTTTACATTACATGCATCACAGATAATGGCATACCTCTAAAGCACCATCATTCCACTGAAGGTTTTCATCTAGTAGTTTAACAAGTTGAGAAGTATTATTGGGTTTATGAAGACCAAGCTTAAGGGATGCCATATTAGCAGTAAGTCCTTCAACATTACCACTGGCTCCTATAAGAAAAAACAAAGTTCTTCTTTTTAATTTTCTGTAGTTCAGGCACTACAGCTACACTGAAACTAGTCAGCTAATAAAATTATAGTCACTTTACTTTTTTATATTTACTTAGGTTTGCCAATCTAGGTTCGCCTATTTTGGAAGGATCACTAGAGCGCTTGACACCAATATTATTACTATGAGCCCGCAACAGTCCCTCCCCCGTGGGAGATTAAAAGACCATCACATCAGGGGCTACATCCCCTACTCTTAACAAACAATGTGCAAGGGTTGTGAGACAGGGCCAATGGTTTATCATCCTTATCCAAGTAGACTTAAAAGTTTAACTGTTTGCAGAAGTCTAAATACAAAGGCAACACTTTCTACTCACTTTTAAAAATATTATAAGACCTTAAGTGTTGGTCTAGACAGGGTTTGAACCAGTGACCTCCTGCTTAGCAAATGGGTGCTTATCCCAGGGGGGATTCAACATCCTTGACCCTCGAACTGTAGTCAGAAGCTCTAACCACTAACCTACTGAAGACGCAATGGGAAGCAACAACTTTTTTCTGTGGGCTATGACATACAAGCTGCATCACACGGTCATCCAGTCAATATTAATTACACAATCACAATCAGCACAACCCCACAACTAGCAAAACTCCCTCAACCAACAAAACCGCCATAATGCTACAAGTACAACTCTCACAATATACATGTAAGTAACACAACTGCCTCAACCAGCACAATCCTACACCCAGCAGAATACTCTCAACCAGCAAAAATAGCACAAATGCAACTAGTAATATGCCACAACCAGCAGAACAACCACAACATTACCAGCACAACTCCCACAAGCAGCACAAATTCCCACAACGTTGGTCATTGTGGCCCTTGTGGTCATTTTAATCTTTGTGATGTAGTTGTGGTCCTTGTGATCATCATGGTCTTTGAGATCCCATGGTTTTTGTGGTGCTCATGGTAGTTGTGGTCATCATGGTAGTTGTGAGATCCTTGAGGTTGTTCTGATCATCATCACTGTTTAGTCCTGGTCATTTACTCTTTGTGGTCATCCTAGTCCTTGTAGTCTTTGTGGTCCTTGAGGACATTGTGGTCCTTATGGTCATTGTGATCCTTGTGGTAGAGAGGGTTACAAAGATAGTTGTGGTCCTTGAGGCTGCCATAGTCCTCATGGTCCTTGTGACTGATGTGGCCCTTGCGGCTGAAGTGGTCGATGTGGTTGTTATTCAAAGTCCTTGTGGTTGTGGTCCTTGTGGCTATCATGGTCCTGGTAATTTTAAATCCTCCTGGTTGTTGAGGTAAATGTAGTTGTGATTCTTCCAATCTAGGGTGGGGAGGGGGGAGGGCAAACTTTATTCCAGGCCCTCGCTCCCACTTTCAAGTTTAATGCTTGTAACTGTCATTTGACGCTTAGTTTATGAATTTTTATCAATGTAGATATAATCTTCACCTTCAGATGTGTAATTTACTTCCTTTTTTGATTCCTTTTTTTTTCCTTTGTTGTGCCTTTCTTGTATTTCTATTTATACACCAGTTATTATTTGGTTTATGGAACATTTATTTGTATAGCTAACTTTTTTTATTGTTGTTACAAATCTCTGACATTAAACTGGATTTTCTGGAAAGTAAGTTGTGAAGTGTTGGCTAAATTAATTCATAGCACAATCTACATGTTTCATTATGGTTGGTTTGTTGAGTCCTTGAGGCCATTGAGGCTTTTGTAGCCCTTATGGTGCTACCTTTTGCTTTACAGTCAGTGCCTTACTTCTTTTGCTCAGCTGCTGATTTGACAGCAGGGTGAATCCTTGAGGAGAACTACAACAATATTGAACATCTTTCATTGTCTGGATGATTTTCACACCCTAGATTCTACTAATCCTTGGACTTACCAACACAACCTAGATTATAATATTGTGTTCACCTGATAGCTATTTAAGGATGAGGGCATCCCTCTACACCCAGACAAGCCACAGGGCCCCTCCGCACCAATGACAGTGTTGGGTATTCCATTTAGAATCTTATTCGCTTCAGCTGCATTCAGCAGGATGGCATTCCACAGGAAAAATTTGATGATGATCACGCCCTATTAAACTCCTGGACACAAAAATGGAATAACTCACAGAGGGAGTTGGAATTTTTAGCTGGCAATCTACAGTGTACCTGCAAAGTGCATGTGTAGCCCCTTCTGATCACATGTCTATCTAAAGAAGGTTGAATCTGCATCCAGCACTTGTCAGAGAAGACCATCCCATAAGATTTAGATCTATTGTGATAGCTTGAATTTTTTCAATATGGGAATGGGTATAGTTTTCTTTTTTTCCCTCTCCATGGGCCCCAGTGCTGGACCTTCACTTCTCCAAGATGCTGCAGGTTCTGTCTTATATGGAGCTAAATAATAGAGGCAGAGAGTGCTCTGTAGGAAGGTGGTCAGGAAAAATTTGACCACGTTCATGTACTGCTAAACTCCTAGTCAAACAAATGGCATTGAAACAGAAGGAGTTGCAATCTTTAACTGCCAAACTACAGCATGCCTGCAAAAAAGCAGTCTCTTCAGATCACACTTTTCTCCAGCATAAGGTTTCTTTGAGCCATCCCCCCCCCTCCCTCCCCATTGTTTTTTTTTTCTCCACAGATATTCTTCAGTGTGATGGATGCCTGTGTGTAAACATGCGTGTGTGTGTTTTTTGTTTTTTGTTTTTTGCTTTGTGGAAGCCCCTGGACACCCCAGGCACCTACTGTAGCAATGCAGTTGTTAACACAAGAACTTGGCAATAACAGACCTGTAATATGATGCAAAACATCCACCCTTCAAGTAAATGATAATTTATTAAGTACATCAAGATTTGAGGTTGTTAAGGAAAATCTTTTCAAAATTACATGGCTCTTTGCAGTTTTTATGCAAATAACATTCTGGGTCACAACTTAACATGCTTGAGTATTGTCATACATGTACATAGATACAACATTTAAATGACTATGGATAAACCCAAAACATGCAGCAAGTGTCAATTTTATGGTGAGCAAAACAATTTTCATTACCAGTAGTTGTGCTTGCTGTTGCTGCAGCTATACTGTGAGAATGGCCATGCCCAGTTCCTACTGATCTGTCCGGGCCTTGGCTTGTCGCTTGGTGATCTAGTAAAAGTGTTTTGCTTTGCACTGCTGGTTGCGCTGCATTTGGTCTCGTAACTCCTTCTTTTGCTGGTTCCCTTCAAACAAAAATCCAGTGATTAGTACACTTAAAATACAATACCACCAAATTGACTCTACATGAAATTACCACTAATTTTCTGCCTATAGTAATAAACCAGACATAGACAGCATATAATTCATCCAAGCAAAATGTATCCAACAGATAACAACAAACTGCAACTGTAAATCCAGATTAAACAAGCTCCCCAAGTATTTTGGGCAAAGACTAAATTACGCTAATCCAATTTCAAGAAAAAGTTTCATTTTTTTGTAAATGAAAATCAGATGAAGAAGTACAAATAATTATTATTATGCAACTATTAATAATGTGAATTGGTTTAGAACAGGCACTGTCTCACTGATTGGTTCAGAGAAAAGTCTAAATGAAGACTGAAAACAGAAGGGACATCCAGAAATCCAGAAATAAAACTAGCCCTTCCAATATGTAACTCTATAAATTATAAACTAATCTCTCAACAAAACTTTGAGCTACATTTGGCACATAAAAGAAACAAAGGAAAGAAGTTGGAATACAGGGAAGCAACAGTTCAGAAAATAAACAATGCAGGTAACTTTTCACAACTCTAGCAAACCTGGAAATTACTTTAATTAAATTTGCCTACAGAGCTTTTTTTACAAGATCTTGTTGTTTTTATACTTATGGATGAATCATTATTCATGAGTTCCTTGGTACTTAATTCTTTGCAAAGTGGGTTACTTCATTAGTTAACATTATTTTGCTGAAATTTGCATCGCATTTGAATCACTAGAAGCAAATTGTGATAATTTCCCTTTGTCTCCTAGCCCTAATTATCCATGAATTAGGGCTAAAAGACAAAGGAAATTGAGAATCACCCGCGGTTAAAAAATTTCAACCTGAATTTAATTTTAACCCATAACATATGCACTCGTATACCTTGCCAGTAACTGTGCTCACATTGTGGGTGGCTCCGCCTAAATTCATGTTCTACTCTTGGAATAGGGTTTAATGGAGCCGAAACCAATTGTGGAATATTTGCACGTGATATACACATTTTAGGAATCCTACTGATGAACAGTTACGACTTTAGATATCTTGAGCAAAAACAATTTGCTGTCTGTCCTCGCTGACAAATAATTTAACACATTGTATACAGATGTATAACAGGTTAATGTTTGCAGTTGCTTATCAACAACACTTTGGGAAAACAAACATAGACCAATTGTTTCTGTGACCATTTTAGCTGCCACATAATGCTTTTTGCGATGAATTTCAAGAGCAGAAGTCATTTTAAAGGAAAACTGGAAGCTATCTGGATCACCAGCTTCAAAATAAGGGCACCAGTAAAGTGTACAATTTAGGTAAAAGAACATTTTCCATTGCATCTCCCTTCACAGACCTGTTTGCTTTAGTTTGCTTTCTATCTGGTGGCAGAAATAATGTAAAAGATGCTTGCTATAGGCAAGTATGAAATAGGACAATGAAACAACAAAAAGGAAAAGAAGAAAAAGCATGTCTTTATGACAGGATATTCACAGTGGGTCCTAACTCCACCCATCTGGCCAGTAGGCTTGACTTGGAGATTCATGAGGTTTTGCAAGAAAGATATTTCTATTAGTAAAATGTACATAAAAATATTACCTTGGCTTTATCAATATTTGTTTCATAGGCGTTTCTTGTCCCTGGTAAATTAAAAGCATTATGTATCAGAGATGTTGTACATGTATTTAATATCACTGACTGCGAACAAAATGCTGTACACATTATACAGTAACGGATCATATGTTACATATTATTATTACTATTATATTATTATTATAATTATTATTTCCACATGCAGTAATAAGGGGGGCTCTCTTCACAAACAAAACTTTTCTATGATATTCCCTATATCCACCCCAACTGTTAATTAGCAAGAGTACAAATATTGACTCTTCATTAAAAGAGAATTATGCTGCATGTTGCAAAAAGAACAGAGACATATGATCAACGAGATTAGTGTTGGTTGAAAAGTGACAAACTGTGTCAAAGAATACTTGCATCTTATTGATGGAAACTTAATTCATTGTATGGTCATTGTATGTTCATTGTAAGACATTACACGCAACCAAAAGGTTCAAAGTTTCCAACCAATTACCCACCCTGTGGGTTGAGGACCCACTGACAAGTGTAAAATTAGTTTGACAGGGGTATGATTTGTATTTGCTTTTTATTTATTCATCATCATTATTAATTATTTTTTACAAGGTTGCCCATTGCATGAAGCATTAAGTGCATCAAAATGATAAAAGTTGCACAAACTAAAATATTCATGCAAAATAAAACAAGCAATGTAAATGTTTTGCACTCCGTTGACAGCTATAATTAATTTTACTTTGCTGGCTTTTGTTAGTGATAAGGCCAAGCACACAAAACTTCAAATTATTTAGCCAATAGTGACTTACTGTGCTTATCAAGAACTCTGTCATAGAAAACAGTGTGATTTAGATGTTTCAGAAAATAGGAAAATAGTTCTTCCTAATTGGGATTACGCCTAACAGAATTGTAATCATTTTCATAATGATGCAGAAAGCTTGTCCATCTCATTTTGATTAATTCTGATTTTTAGCCAACCCAAATGTATACCATTATTCTCAGTTGACTTGTGGTTAACTAGCTACATATTTGCACATGTAGGTGCAAGGTGGAAGTTACACCAAATAAACTAGTTCAAAACAAGTGGTGGATTCCCTAGACAGTTTTTTCCTAGTATCTTCAAATCCAGTAGTAACCAAACTCGCAGTGCAAAACAGTATAATAATAATTACCCTGTCAGCTGTAGGCTTGGTAAGTATAATAGGAGTCTTCATTGGTGTCATTGATGCTGGTGACACCCCTGATGCACCATCACCTTTACCCTAGAATTAATAAGAATAAATTCATGCATTTTGCTTTTATAAGAATACATTTCCAACAATGGCCAAATATGTCTACAGAATCTTATTTAAACATCTACAGGATATACGTCTACAGGATATACTCACAAATTATCGATAAATGGGGTGTCGCTCAGAGCGCAGGCCAGGATACCAGTGGTATGTGGATTAAATATGGTACTAGTGATTCCACCTGTGCAGATCACATCAGACAACCAAATTACAATTTAGGCAAGTAATCGAAGGCTAGTAAGTTCGACTCATGTTTTTACAATGATGGTGAAATATTAACCACCCAGATTTAGGAAAGCCTGTCATTGTCCAAGACTGTAATTTGGTTGTCTGAAGTGATCTGCACAGGCATCACTACTACCGTATTTTATCCACACGCCACTGATATACTGGTCCGCACTCTGAGTTTGTTTATTATTTATTGTTTTGTTTGCCATAAATTGTACAAATCAAATAAAATCTAATTATTTAAACTATCATGGCGAGAAAGCCCAAGAGAAGCCACCGGGCTTATAAGGAATGGGCTCCCTCAGTTAGATAATTAGAACAAAATATTATCATAATTACACTTGGGAAAATCAATGGCAGAGCTACAGCAAATCTTAAAATAAATATATTAGATAGTCGTACTACGACACCCCATTTAAATCCATACATAAAGGGTAAAATGAGTGGCCTGAGGTCGATTCTTGTGCTTAAAACAAAAAACAGAAAATGGAAGTAGATTTTTGTTTTTGTATTTTTTGGCAAATATAAAACAAAAAATGGAAAATGAAAGTAGGTTTTTGTTTTTTGCATATTTTTTTTTTGTACATAAAATGGAAACGGGCTGATTTTCGCTTTTTTGTATTAGTTTGTTAGTAAAACAAAAAATGAAAAAATAGAAATTAAACTGAATGTCATTTTAAAAATTGTGGTCAATTTTGAAGATTTTGACGTTTTTCTTACGTATATAAATAGGTATGGGTGATCTTAATTAAAAATTCAATAAAATGATGTGTTTTACAAAATTAAGATTTTTTATCGATAGAATTTTAAACAGGAAAAGGAAACTAAGAGATGGGATTATCCTTTTCTGTTTTTGAATGTAAAATAGACAATGTAAAATATTGAGTGGCAGGACACATTTTGTTTCTGTCCACTTTTTAGGGGTGATTAAAATTTTTAACTGCTCGCAAAATTTTACCTTTGCTCAATTTGCTCACAAAATTTAAATGAGTGCTCGCTTGCTTGGCTCCCAAAATTTTTGCAGTTGCACGCATGCATGCTCGCTTCTCGTCAGTATTGCTTGAAATTGTGTAAATCCTTCTTTGAGGCCCTGCCAGGGTAAATTCCGACAAGCGACATGACCCAAAAAGTAGTGACAGAGCCTAAAATGAAATCTCGACAAGTGACAACCTCCCTCGGCCAAATTGCTACAGTGATGGATTTCAAATCCAATGAATCCTTTTTCAAAAAGGATTTACCAGATGAAAAATCCGAATTTGGATTTGCCGAAAGGAACACAAAATCCATGCTAAGATCTAAAATCTGTTTTTGGATTCACCAAAAGGAATACACCCTTAATAAATATTGAGAATGGCGATGGGGGTCACGTATAGACCTGTGCTCGATACCCAAAAGGTTAACTGAGAAATTGCACAACTATTATGGTTCCTTTAAAACGCATTGCTATCCCCCGACAATGACAAAGAATTTCTGTTCAATTTCCGACAGCGACGTGAAGCATTTATAAACACTGACACGAGACGTTTTAAAATTCAGACGAGCAACATGGGACCCCCCCCCCCCCTCCTGGTGGGGCCTCTTCTTTGGGTTAAAGTAAATGCAATTCTGTATGGTGCTTAATTCCTTTAAATATGGCTATGTCAGTGGAAATGCACAAGATAAATGAAACAATAGATAATAAATTAGCTAATCTAGCTATATATGGTTATACATGGTTGTTATATATTGTTGGTCTTCTTGTGACCTTTGCTTTCTGATCCGTACAAACACGTGTGTGATGAAGTGAAGGGAAAATGTGACGTCATTTGGCATCAAACGCAACTGTAATTGGTTAGATCTCGATAAGGCTTCACTCAAACTAGCTTCAAAGAACTTGGTGTGCTCTAAATTAAAACCCCGTTTTAAAATATTTTCTGTTTTATTTGAAAGAAATGGATTTCCAGAAGGATTGCTGCAAGCGGAAAATATAAGAAGTGCTCACTGCTCGCAAAGCAAATTCTTTATCTCTGCTCGTGCTTGAAAAAAATCCCAGTGCTCACAAAGACCATTCATCACCCCTATTTTTCTGTCAAGGCAGCATGGTATTCAAGCTGCCACCTTTTGCCATCATTTCTTAAAACATATTTTCATTTTGCAAAGTACAGATTTTCATTTTGTTTCATTTCATGTTGTTTTGCAAATTACAGTAAGCCATTTACACTGTAAAAAGGAAGGTATAAAATGTACCAGAAAAAATAAAAAAAATTCAGAGTTGTTGTTCTGATCATTAAATCAATTTGTTTGTTTGTTGTTGTTGTTGTTGCTTTTTTTTTCATGTGGTCATTACAGCGTAAGGGAAATTCCCAAGTATAGATGTTGTAACCATACCTCAACATGCGACATAACCACTCGAACTGTTCAGTAATCAAACTTTATTGAACTTAATCAAATGATTGGGTTCCATTAAGTGTGGTAATAGAACACAATAGAACCAAAAATTTGCATGAAAGTTCGATTAAATTTGATTTCCAAACTCGATCGAACCAATCAAACTTAATCAAACATTCTAAACCAACATTCAAAATAGACAAATTAACTAAAATCGTGAGGAATAAATGTTCTGGGTTTATTGAATTGGCTTTATTTTTCTGTAGTGCTGTGACTCAAGATGCTTTCCCTGATCCACATGGCAGAAACAAACAAGGAGGAGGTCTGAAAGGGACAGTGCGATTGACTGTGACAGTACCTTTTAAGTGCCAAAGATTTTGAGGTAATGGTACTAATAATGCTAAGTAAAATGTCAGAAAACCCCAACAAAAGCGGGCAGTTTCACACCAATAGTAAAGCTTCAGCTAATTAGCCCGACACCAAGTCTTGCTTCTACCCAGATCAAGTACCATGTGCAAAAAACGCATTGTCAGTTAGCTAGGAAGGCTCATATATTACTGTAACAACGCCTTTTTGAATACCAGCAAGTTATTTGAGCTTGTGTAGCCTCCATGTGGCTGTCATTGGAACTACTCTCCATGACTGAATGGCTCTCGGAGTTAAAGAAAAAAAACAAAACTGTTGGCGTTTTCAACAATGGAAGAGGCACCAGTGAACAAGAGTGCGTCAGTTTCAAATCTTTCTGGGAAGCGGCGAAAGCGAAAATGTAAGTTTTAGTAATTGCCATGTTTTACAGCTGGCTCTAGCTAACTGGATTTCAAGATTTCTGTCTTAGCTTGTAATCTAAAGCAGCTGGTTTTGCACTGAGCATAACATTGCAACTTCAAAGGGAGCAGTGATTTTCACATGTTGCCTAAAAAGAGGTAATTATGGCCCTTTTGTAGTCCTAAAGAATCAAATTATTAAAATTTGAGTCCCCGAGACGAGTCAATTTTTAGCGAGCCCGTGATTCCAAGGCACTTCTTTCAAATGCCAAGATTTCAAGATCGGGCCAAAACTTTCCAAGACCCACACTTTTTGAGGTACCATTCTATACCCCTTCATTAAATACACAGTGTCATCCACGAAGCTGAGAGATTTAGAGTGACGTTTACAGCAAACGGCAAACATCAGATTCAAGTTGAGAATTTCTTAACATAGAAAACCTGCAGCTAAAAACAATCCAAAACAATCGTTGTACACAAAAATAACATAAAGCTACTAACTTTGGGGTAGAAGTAATGAACAGTAAAGCACAAGTTAAGGGAAAACTTGGTCACTTTCCCGCTGCTTTTAATGTATAATTCCGACACTTCGCTTGAGGTAAGTGTGTTGTTGTTTCCTTTTTCTTTGAAATTATGTCTCAGCTGCTGATTTGACAGCAGGGTGAATCCTTGAGGAGAACTACAACAATATTGAACATCTTTCATTGTCTGGATGATTTTCACACCCTAGATTCTACTAATCCTTGGACTTACCAACACAACCTAGATTATAATATTGTGTTCACCTGATAGCTATTTAGGGATGAGGGCATCCCTCTACACCCAGACAAGCCACAGGGCCCCTCCGCACCAATGACAGTGTTGGGTATTCCATTTAGAATCTTATTCGCTTCAGCTGCATTCAGCAGGATGGCATTCCACAGGAAAAATTTGATGATGATCACGCCCTATTAAACTCCTGGACACAAAAATGGAATAACTCACAGAGGGAGTTGGAATTTTTAGCTGGCAATCTACAGTGTACCTGCAAAGTGCATGTGTAGCCCCTTCTGGTCACATGTCTATCTAAAGAAGGTTGAATCTGCATCCAGCACTTGTCAGAGAAGACCATCCCATAAGATTTAGATCTATTGTGATAGCTTGAATTTTTTCAATATGGGAATGGGTATAGTTTTCTTTTTTTCCCTCTCCATGGGCCCCAGTGCTGGACCTTCACTTCTCCAAGATGCTGCAGGTTCTGTCTTATATGGAGCTAAATAATAGAGGCAGAGAGTGCTCTGTAGGAAGGTGGTCAGGAAAAATTTGACCACGTTCATGTACTGCTAAACTCCTAGTCAAACAAATGGCATTGAAACAGAAGGAGTTGCAATCTTTAACTGCCAAACTACAGCATGCCTGCAAAAAAGCAGTCTCTTCAGATCACACTTTTCTCCAGCATAAGGTTTCTTTGAGCCATCCCCCCCCCTCCCTCCCCATTGTTTTTTTTTTCTCCACAGATATTCTTCAGTGTGATGGATGCCTGTGTGTAAACATGCGTGTGTGTGTTTTTTGTTTTTTGTTTTTTGCTTTGTG